AGGTCAGGGTACTAGTGGCTGGACTTGCTTCTTTTGAACAGAGATCACTGGTTTTTTTTAGGCGAATTACAATAGCCTCTGGTGTTTGCAGCATGCGGAGATTTTATGCTTTTGGCAATTTACTAGGCACCTGGTAGACTATAGAGAAGGATTCTTTCACGATAGCTTTGTGGCCGGTTTTCACCACTTGATCCAATATCGAACTGTTAATGGTTTTCACTACACCTTTACTTAGCCATAGTGGGAGATGTTCTCGAGAGAGCACGTATAATCAAGCTACTAGAACAACGGCTTCACAAATGCAGTTGAATTGGTAGATACAATATGACATAGCCAGTCCATATACTTCATCTTTCAGTGAGGTATCACCATCGGTCGTGTAGAGAATTAGACGAGTATTTCCCCAGCATTCAAAGTTCCTTGAACTGATTATCTTAATTTCTTCGTAATTATCTCACTTGATATAGCGCCCTTGAATTTCAGTCGTATATAAACAGGTTTCTTATTTACAGATAGTGAATAGTTCTTTTCCGCTTTCTTTGTCAGGTTTTTCTTGATAAATTTTTCGGGATAGCTATTTCCGACCAAAGTATAATATACAATGCTTAATTCATCTTCAGTTACTTCTTCTGAGCATATAGCTCTAAATAACCCTGTGGCTGAGGGTCTTCACTAAATTTCTTTTGTACTTGATAGGAACGAAGCTGTGAAAATGTGCATATTGTCCTGTCCATGTACTTTTTCTGTGTAAATTTCTTTTTATGCTACCATGTGGTTTTCTTGTGAAGAGGATATCCAGGAAGGCAGTTCTCTCTTGGGATTCCTCTTCGCATGCGAATTTTATTGAATTCAGTAATTATTGTACTCCTATCTGAATCATTATCACAAAGTATGAAGTTGTCACGCATATACCGGCAATAAAATGAGAACTTTCTGAAAGGTTGTTCAAAGGTGCATTTTCTGATTTACTTAGAAAGAAATTTGCCAAAATGAGACCCAATGGGGCGCCCATTGCCACCCCGTCCACTTGTCTGTAAATTGTGCCGTCAAATTTGAAGTTTACATTCATGGTACACCTTATTAACAATTCTTTAAGGATTTCAGTACGGATGTCAATGCTGGTCGGCTGGTTATCCGCTTGTTCACATATGTAGTTGACTGTTTCTACTAGAGGTACATTTGTGAATAAAGATGTTATGTCCAGAGATACCATGGTTTTGTCTGCATTAGACTGCATTCTATTTTGATTGGTGGTTCTCAGGTAAAATTAATTCATTAAATTGCTGAAATATATGACCTTGAGAGTATTTTAGCCAATCAGCTTGAAGTAAATATGTATAGCTTGTAGAATAAATTATACGCATTGTGATAGTGAGTGTTTCAAACTTTTGATCTCATTGAGAGAATTTATCAATCAGGGAGATGTGTTTTTGGTATTGCTGTACTCTCTGAGCTGGTAATATTTTTAAAACTAACTTTGAAGGTAGCAAGCACTCTATCTAACTCAGAGACGTGAGAACACCAAGAATTTGATAAGCGTTAACGGTTGAATAACACAGTAGTGCTAACACCTTAGTGACTGATGGATATATGCAACGGGATCATACAAGAGATTGGTTGCATCTGAAATGTTTCATTACCAGTTTCTCTGATTCCTCTGTTGCTACCCTGACCTCAGTTGAAACATTTTAGTCAATTAAATTACGTCATCTAACTTACTAACTAACTCAATCTTACTTTAGTTGCTGTCTGATTAACCTTGTTTCTATATTAGATCATTCTTGTATTACCTGATCAATTATCGAAACTTGGCAAACCTCATGTACACACATACGCACAAATAATTATATATAAATACGATTGTACAGCTGTATGAATGAATTCGCCATCGGAAAGAGTCTCTTCGCTGAACATCTTCTCTTTCTCTGATTCCAACAGTGGGTTAGATGAATTCAAATCTTTGAAGTGAGATCAGTTTCCAGTAGAATACAGACACGTATTCTTTTGAATTAAAACATGCACATAACTTAAATAATCTTCTACCAAGTATTTCTATTCCCCACCACCCCCTCCCCAGCATTTCACACGTCTTATAGCTGTGAAATATAGCCATTAAAAGTGTAAGACCTCATCAGGTTAGCTATCTTTAACTAAAGAATCTTTGTACTGTATCTGCTAGGTTAATTAGTCTAATGTGGTGAATCATACTGCAGTTAGGTCAGTTGATTAATGTTATCTGACACAAGATTCGAATGATAATTATTAATTAGAGCATCAATCATCTATGAAACTCAAGCTATTGATTTGAGTCTATTTGATTTGAGAGGTGTAGCCTGTGCCACTGGGTCATCGAGACGCTAGAAATCAGTATCAGTGAGAATTTTGGTTACTTAGTCCCAAATCCTTTTCAATAGAGTAGATGTATTAACTCGTACTGAGCTCCTGAATCCACTAAACTGTCAAATGCTGGAAGTTTGAATATACTTTTCAGAGAGTGCCACACCTGACTCCTACGAAACCTTTGTTTTATAATAATGGAGAAGATTTGTAGCTCAGGTGGATGATTTTGATGTAGATGTGTTCTCTGGAGTAGCTGGATGGTTTATTCGTGAAACTTTCATTGGCCTACCAGGCAACATCTTCAACGGATACTTGGATTTGAAGTGTGTGCTTTTAAAGGTGAATATGACTTATCTTAATAAATAGAAAACCAAAGAGTATTTCTGTCACCCATTTAATCGCAGAATTGCCTCCATTAATGTTACTTGGTTAATAATGGTTTACAGTAAAAAGCAGTTTACGCATTTTGTTCTGTGTGAAACTCGTCGACCGGATAACATCTACACTCGATTAAGTGATAGTAGGGCTACTAAGATTAGAAACTGAGTGCCCTTATGAGTGATCGTCAAAACAAATTTACCTCCGTTTCTTTCGTGCCTTCTTGACATAGATGAGCCAGAAGCAGTCACTCGCTATAGGAATTTCTTCACTTAGCTGGTCTTATATAATTTTATGTTTAAGGAAATACCAAAATCAAAGCATATGTTACATTTGACCTTTTACAAGGTATTTTATTGATTTGTTTACACAGTTGAAATACCTATTGTGGCGTTCACCATGGTACTACTATGCGCTGAAATGCCTTTCAGTTACTTTTGATCCTTACTTTCCACCCACCCCTTCCCCGCTTATTTTTCACCACTATTTATATCGTTCCCATGGTATGACTGACCTATACTGTTTCTACTAAAAAGGACATAAATCTTTGAAAATGTTTACAACTTCTGTAAAATATGTATGTATGTAATTCAAAGAAAAGGAGAAAAAACGCTAGCAATGTTTTATTCGGTATGTTCACACATTATTTACTTTTTCAGAAACAAATAGATCATAAGAAAGAAAAATGTGCACATTGCACGGAAACAAAGTTACTGTTTATTGTTAGTAAAGACTGGATATGCGTTGGTGGCACAGCGGTTAGGATTCTCGCTGACCATGCACATGGTCGGGGGTTCGATCCCTGACCACAGACGCACTCCTTTACCTCGCTTAACCAGAAATAATGCTGGTAAAGAGGAAAGGATGGTAATGAGGCTAGCAACCCCATCCTGTAAAATTAAACACTACTACAGAAACTTCAAGCCACTAGCTTAAGTCCTTATGTTCCACTGGGGAATGTGAAGGAATAAAAAAAGATTAGATATCAGTTCCATTTGTGCTTACAGTTTCTTCTCGCTTTTCTGACCTAAATAAACATCCTTGTACGTCAGGAGGGTTCAACGGCAGAATGCTCACTTGCCACACACGTGATCTGAGCTCGGTTCCCAGTAACCTACATGAAGTGTGAAACTAACGACCTCCACTGCTAATGAAACTTTAAAGTTTGAAGTTCTACTTCATACTGGGAACTCGGAACTGCAATAGTGCGATGAACCAACCAAAATTCTGTTGTTGCTCAACAATTTGGCAGATGAAAATAGATATGGGTTGGATATTCGCTTAGGAAACCTTCAAACTGCATCCCACGCTATGCAGGTTGTTGAATGGTACTTCTATGAGAAACCATATGTTGCGTGTCCATCCAAGAGTGACGTAGAGAGGATTATTTGATGAAGAGAGGAAAGATTGTGGGTAATCGTAATACCAGTGTAGAGTGCTCTCAGTGAACTAAGTACACTGAGGATGTTTCAGTGAAGTCCTATGTTCTAGAGGAAACGTAAAGAAAGTCTAATAAATTAGTAAACGATATTTAGCTATAAAATTCCCCTCAGATGGTGTTCCGTAACAAGAATTCGATAAGTTATATGAACGGCAACAGAAAATTATGTGTATGAGAATTGGTAACTCATTGGAAACATTGCTACAGTTCTAATAGTTATAAAAAATTGAAAATATAAGTATGTTTTTCACCACTCCAGTTTAAGGCTGTGCTTTGTGTTGATGTCCTGACCGATAGCTGCTATCTTGATGCGGTCGTTAGGGATTACTTTCTTATCATAACGACTCAATGAGATATACTTGTTGAAAGGAATGTTTCTTCAGGCCTTAACATACCAGAAATGTCATTTTGCATAGTGGTTAGACAAATAGCAGTTACCGTCATAGTTTAAATCCACTCACTGTAGGGTCCCGAAAACTGTATATCCTAACTTACAAGGTGGCAACCAGCACTTCAAATAGGCTATGTATAACCGACGTCAAGCATTTTTTCCTTGAACCCAGCAGTTAGGCAACATTAACACTCCATCAGTTCAGTGGGTTTGAAGAAGAAATCAACTTTCACGGAATAGGCAGCCGCCGGGAATAACTCACCGCTGACACACTTCCATAAGCATACACACAGCTTTCTTGATCATGTGTTTTGCTTGAGACTGAGTAGTCTCAATCAAGAAGAGTAACTATTTCTCCATCTCTCTCTTCCCCTCCCTCTCCAATATCATTTCACTTAATTTATCTCCATCGATGATATTTTTGTTGTTGTTGTTATTGTTGCTGAATAGGTCTTGAACCGCACGGCAATACAGTTGGTAATCCAGCCCGATTTACAATTGATACATTCAGTGCTGGTCGAGGAGCTGTTGAAGTGATTGTACTGAATCCTAAAGGACAAAGAGAACCAGTAAGTTGATTGATCTTCTACGCTTAATTAAATTGACTTACAATTTCTCGCTAATTATTTAAGCATTTTTTGAGATATTACATTTATAAAAAAATAAATCTATGCATGTTACTACACAATAACCAGTTTAGAACAAGACATATAAACGAACAATATTGCTGTTATCAATTAGATCTTCTTCAGACTTTACTCTAACTTACATAGCTCTTTATATATAAACATTTTTAACCAATGACGGTGACTTTGTGGATCAAATAATAATAATCATAATATACAATTGGTGGATGGTGGCTAGCAGTGGAATCCAGGATGCGCATTTCGTCCTATTTGAGACTTGTCATCTGGGGCTTGTTTGATTCTCTCCAGGATGATGCGACTTAGTATCTTGCTTGGAATGGACAGAAGCATAATTCCACGCCAGTTTTTACATTGACTTAAGTCTCCTTTCTTTGGAAGTTTGAATAAGTATCCGTTCTTCCAATCTTCGGGTACTTTGCCCTCTTTCCACACCTTCTCCAGAGGTGGCGTCATCAAGTTCGCTGTTGTCTCTGGGTCTATTTTCAAAGCTTCTGCTGGGATTCCATCTGGTCCTGGTGCTTTCCCAGCTTTAAAATTCAATTCAATAATCATAATAGTAATAATAATAATCATAATGATAATAATAATGTGGTAAATGTTTTGAACGAAGTTAATAACGATGATTATAATAATAACAAAATATTGATAATAAGGCTTATATAGGTGATAAGAATAACAAAGTTAGTATATGCATATATGTAGACAATTCAATAAATAAATAAATTAGGTCAAATCAAATGGAACGATAATTAGAGTTTAAATAAATATCATAAAAGTATGAAGGAGAGGGATAATAAGAAAGGGTGGGAGGGTTTTGAATAGAATTCACCTAGGCCAAGCAAGGGAGACACAAAGGTAGAACAAATTTCTTTTGTATACAAAGACTAGAATTGTTCTCTCGAATTCCCATAGCTGCGGCTATCTGTAAAAGGAGGGTTAGAATTCCATTCGATAGGTTCGATGGAATGCGATAGATAACTTTGAAGGCACTTCTTCTTATGTCCACTCGATGACCGCTATCAATCAAATGAGGCAAAACAGAAGTTCTTATAGATTTTATCTGACTATTTCTGACCCATGAAGGAGGATGCTCATTAATGCGTTTGTATTAAGCTGTCTAGTTGTTCGCCCTATATAGCTCTATCCACGGGAGAAACTAAGTTTTTAGATACACATATAAGTGGCACAGCTAAACAGCTTATCTTTCACTTGAGCAATCATAATTGGTTGACAGCTGGAAAATGACAAACAAAGGGTGGCGGCAGTATTAGTTCGTTTTATTCCTCTCGATAATCTCAGATATAGACTTCACTAGCCACATCCCCATTCAATAGAAATTTCATGAGCAGTTGTTTCTTTTCAACTGTTGTCAGTTTCTCTTTATTGTACTTGGTATTCATGTGTCTCTTACAAATCTACTAGGATTACCCATTTGGACTAGCGTATTTTGCATGCATCCTAACCCATTTTCTAGGGGGTCATCTGTACAGATCTGTCTTGCTCTATTCGTGAGGCATCTGACCAAATTGACTTTATATCAAATTAGTACAAAACTGAGGAAATGTGTATATTGTCCTACAGGTGAAGGTTTTCTATAGACATCTCCCTTGAGTGAACCATCCTCTCTTCTGCTCAACTGGACGTCAAGGAAATGTAGTCCACCATCATATTCTTCTTCACAAATGAAGATGAGCAATGGATGTGCATCATTGAATTTTATTAACATTTCATTCTTGTCAGCTTTCACATCAAGAATAATAAATGTATCATCAACATAGCGAAAATAAGAATCGGTTTTCTCTATTATACTTGTTTTCAATGGACCATTTTCAATCTTGCTTTTTTGGCACATTTTGAGTTTATGTTAGGAACAATAGGATTGGTGAAATGTCTAAGTAAAGAGCACAAAAACTAATTAGTACCAAGGACAATCTATTACAGGAAGTGAGACATGTAAGAGAAGCCTTGAAACTTAATAATTACCCGATAAATTAGTCAGAAAATATGTAGGGAAATGTAAAAATAAAATAAATAATGATAGTAGTGATAGTGATAATAATAATAATATTAGTGGCGACATGCATGTCAAATACGCGCAAGACAACGCCAACAATAAGGAATCTAAATCATCAGTAGTAATTCCATACAAGGAAGAAACCTCGGAAACATAAAACAGAATTCTTAACAAGGCAGGAATAAAATTGGCTGATATTTACACCAACAAACTCAATTCGAAACAAGCTTTGTCGGTTAAACGATCAATGCTGTGAAGCCTTTAAAACAAAACAATTCAGTTTATATAAAACCCTGTCTACAATGATTTTCAGGTCAAATACATAGGTGGAAATAGTAGAACAGGGGCAGTCAGAGTAGCCGAGCAGTACAAAATCCTAGCGAAATCTAGATTGGCTGACCCAAACAGATAAGAAATCTAGAGAATAGTCCAGCTATAGCACTCACACTTGAAATTACACACAACAAACCATTCAATAGGATGGGATAAGATGATAGTTTTAGAATCCAATGTCATCGGGTGGAGGGAGAGATTGATAACAGTAGCTTTGTTTATCCAATTAACTGCAAATACATGTAATAGGAATGATTCATCACCTGTCCAGTTGGATATCTGGAAAATTCTACTACCCCAACAACGACAAATAGGAGAGGACAAAGAAAACTATGAAACTCGACTTTCGAAGTCATGTGATTATAATTTATGAAATGATTACGAACAATAAATTTTGTTCGAAACCTTGTCATCAGTAAATAATACTGTTTCACTGACTGTGTGATACATCTAATAAACAAACTAATATGGAATTACTTACTACCACCATAGTGCCCAAGTTTTACACATATATTAATGATTGAAGCTTAGTTTATAGCTGCGTAATTTACAAACTTGTTGGAAGAGAAATACCACTACAGTTCCATTTAGAAATCTAAATTATTCAGATCATAAAATGATAAATGATAAACAAGAAACCAAGCATAAATGCATGGTGTTATATATACTACTGATAGACTGATTTCAGTAGTTGGATACTACTTACATCAACCAGTAGTGTTTATTTTTCAGCCAGATTGAAATAATCTCAACACTAGATAGACGTTTCGCTTGTGAAAAAGCAATTTATACCAGAATGATTACTATTCACACCAACCAATAGGATTCGCTAGCTGTATCGAAGGTATTTAACCACTGAACTTGAGTTCACTCCTACAGCATGAAACTATGAATGCGCAAAAAAAAAGAATCGACAGTGCGATTTCACTTCAAACTGTCATTTTATTTTGATTTCATGAAATAAAATCAGTTTAGAATAACGAATTAAGAATACTAACACTTTGAGCAGTCAGCTCAGATAAGCGATAACGTAATGCTTGTAAAACTCTATACGAGTTATAGCGAATTTTGAAATAGGATCAGATGTAATTTTAAGGGTAAGGGTAAAAATAATGACTCAAGAGGATGAACATAACAATGACCTTGAAACTTCAAAGAAGATAAAGTTAGTGGAACCAAGCAATAGATGCAATATTTGTAGAAAAATGCTAGAAGAAGTGTAGAGATAACTAACAGTGTAACAACAGAAGACAAGGGCCAGGCAAAAGATAGCTTATTAAGGAAATCAACACATACTTATAGATTTTCATGTACATTATTATAGATTATTGTCAGCAGGAAAACACAGTCTTCTGATGGGTTGTTTCTCACAGAAAGTTAACCTTGCATCTCCTTGTGGCTGTTTCTTGAATGTCAGATCATCTATATGTGCGTCGGTGGCACAGTGGTTAGGACTCTCGCCGACCATACACATGGTCCGGCGCACACTTGATATCTATGGTCGGCCTGCGAATTTCGGGCTACCGATATCCATGCTGAAAATTCCATACTTGTACCAAAAATACAGTGTGGAATCAAGCTGTAATCAAAAATAAAATAAATAAAATAAAATGTTAACCGTATCCGCCTACGCAAAGTGTGCTGTGATTGGTTGTTGAATCAGTCTTTGTTCTCATTTTTCTCACGACGAATTTTGGGGACGTAAATTACTGTCCACTAATTTGTCTAGCAGCTAGCTCTCACCACAACAGGATATTTTATCACTTTAGGGTTAGGTTAGGGAAAGATGAAGCTTAGGTTAAGGTGGGTGGAGGGGGATCAGTTTCCTTCACTCGCCTTTGTGTTAACAGCTTCGAAGGTTCAGTCGTATGTGATTTGGTTGCTAGCCTCAACCTCCCCCCCACCACCACCAGCAACTTATCCTCTTTAGCAGGCTTAAGGTTGGCTAAGCGAAGCTGAAGAGTGCATTGGTTGCTACATGTGTAATTAGCGAGTATTCTACAATTCAAACACTGACGCATCTAGTATTGAGTTAAGGACCTAAATTAGACTTTTGACAGTGACTAGTTATTGATTCGTCCTTTCTCACCCTTCAGGTCGTTATTTTTTAAAATTTTACAATTTTAAGGTGAGTCAAATACACAGATGTAGATTAAATTAACTTTGTGAAGCAATTTAATATAAATGTTTTGGTATAAAGAAATATATTCTAAAGTTTGGTTTGTAAGGGTTAGTTTTTGCTTTACGAGTTGATCACGGATTGATATCAGTAAGAGAACTACTGAAAACCAGGGAGAACTGGATAGCTGTTTCAGCCACTAGTTTGCGAATCATCGGCAGTACGCACTCACCACCACAGTTCGAACCCAGGACCTTCCATTTACAAGCCAAGCGGAATCGTATATCATTCAGCCACTGGCACCCGATTCAGTGGCTCATGAATTCCGTGATCAACTCGAAAAAAAAGAAAACTAACCTTTACAAACCAAACTGTGGAATATCATTCTGATGCTCGCTTGTGACTTGCTTCAGGATGGAGTTTAATAATAATAATAATAATTTGCTTTATTCCAAAACACTACTTGTGATACAGAATGGAGTTCTCAGCATTTTAGTACAGTATTGCATCCAGTTAGTACATTAACAATAAATAAAATTCTACATAGATTAAAGTAAACTCAGTTCATTATGATAACAACAATATTGGCATGTCGGTAGCTAAGCCAAAATTGAACACAGTGTTTGAAGGTGTTAGAAAAGCAGATGCTAGCATATTTACTGGCGTTAGCGGTAACAAAAGGTTCTAGTGAGAAGTCATGACCAGTGAGGTCCATCCATATGTCGCGTGTGAAGATGGATATCCCACCGACGACAATGGTTGGGGTGGCGCTAAATCACGAATTGGTAGAAGTTAGAATTCATGGACTGGACATTGAGCAGTCGGGTCTCAGTGGCTGAATGGTATACGAGCCAGCTTGCCTTGTAACCGGAATGTCCTGGGTTAGAACCCTGGTTGTGGGTGAGTACCTCCCGAACTAGTCTCCTGAAACAGCTGTCTGGCAGTACTCCCTGGTGCCTTTCAATGGTTCTCTAACTGATATCAATCCGTGATCAACTCATAAAAATAAAGAGAGATATAAACCGAATAAAATGATTAGGTGCTATTCCTATATCACAATAGATCAGTAGGATTGAAAAAGTGAATGTTCTGTAACTTACTCTTCAATAATTTAATACGGAATCAACTTTTATGGTGAAATATGCCTGATAAACTTTCGCTGTGTATGTACAGTCCACTTTATGAAATTTAATTACCACTTTTATGATAATAACTGGTTCATGAAATAAGAAAAGATACATAACGATCACGCTACAAGTAGCAGATTTCCATTTAAATGTGACAGAATTTTTAAATGTAGAAATATAATCCAGATTTACTAAATTATGTTTATTAAATCAGTGATTCAGTGTTAGAATGCCAGCCAACGACACACCTGTTCCGGGCCCAATTCTTGGCCACCAATACATTCCTAAATCTTGCTTAGACAATCGTGAGTGTAGGAAAGAGGAGTATTTGAGTGTGAGGGCAGTAACACTGACATTACTGTAACTTCAGATCTCCGGTTTGAGGCTCTATGTTCCATTTGGGACGCGAAGATGATGACAAAGTTATGCATATTAAATTCATACTAAACAATAAATAAAAATGGGATGACTGAATGTGTATTCTACATATTTTTAGTTCTTCTGTGTTTTCTGAGGTGGCTGATTTAATTGTGATGCTTTCATTATCCTTCTCAACAGCCCTGTCATCGCCATCTTCAATTTGAAGTGAGCTTTGGGAATTATTCTTGTGTGAAGTTTGTATTTCTCCGGGTGACTGATACTGGCATTGATTTTTTTACGAATGTATTCTATCATCGTTCTAATATATCACCTTTTAGTTGTTTGATCTACTTTTCATGATGATAAATTTGATATACATTCACATGTGATTCGAATCTGCGTCACCCAGTCAGTGCTGCAGTCAGAGACGTTACCACTGAGCTGTTTGGGCTCACGATTGACCTCCTGTGGACTGTAGTGGGTATTTTGATTGGACACTAGTAACTAGTGAGATGTGCCAAGTCCTTTCTTTGGTGCAAACTGAATTCTATCAGTCAGGTTTTTGCAATGCGGCCATCATTCTACTCGGTAGCTCGCCATCACGGTGCGCATTCACATTTGATGATATTCGATAGTTGGAGGCAATCTTCAGGAATTTGACAGGAATTCACATACCTTCACATTCATGAATAGTCACCATTCAGACAGTAATGAAAACAAAACACGTAGCTCAGAGAATTCATTCACTTAGCTGTACAATTGTAGTTAGATAGACAAAAATAATTATATGTTTTAATTTTATTTTTTGTTTTTGATTACAGCTTGATTCCACACCGTATTTTTGGTACAAGTGTGGAATTTTCAGCATGGATATCGGTAGCCCAAATTTTGCAGGCTGACCATAGACATCGGGTGTGCGTCAGCAGGAGATCGAACCCCGGACCATGTGTATGGTCGGCGAGAGTCCTAACCACTGTACCACTGACGTACGATTTGCATCTAAATGAAAACCAAAGAGTTAAAATTAACTGACTGTTGTATTCTCTGCCTAAGTCTGAGTGGTCCTAGATTTGACTCCTTGAGGATTCACGGTGTAAAACTGATGAAGGGGTCTAAATAAGGACGAAACAGTAGTCTAGTACTCTCCAGTTGTAAGAAAAAGGCAAAAACAGTGACGAAAATTTTCTTTTCGACGATTCACTTTCATGAGTTGTACAACCATAATTATAATTAACAAAGATATCTTTAGACCGATGGGATACTGGTAAATTTTGTCCTTGAAAAAATTGTATTACATAATATAAGGTGTAAGAAGGGATGACTAATTGTAAGTTAAAAAAGTGACAGAAGTTCCCATGACGTAATAAGTGTGAGATAATGACTAATCAATAAGCTCGTGTAGAATGGACAGGAACTAGTAGAAAGGCGATAAGGTGTTTTTACATAAAATCTGTATGAAAATGCAACGTTATTAATAAACAGTAATAGGCTGGTAATAAAATGTGGATGATGGGAATAATAATGATAATAAAAGTATTAATAATAATTGTAATAATAACAATAGTAATAATAATGATAATGGACTTACATAATAAAACAAAGAAGCGAAATTGTAGTAAGAACTTTACTCTGGCCATGGTAGGACGAGAGAATGTATGTATCGTTTTTGAATGCAGAGGTCCGGTTTCAGATCTCGAATAGCTAATGCTTCAACCATGTACAGATGACGTATTCGAAGTTCCTTTGTACGTTATTGAGCGACTCTCTGTAACACTTTGAAGCATTCATGCAGGCGGGGATGCTCGATATCCGTAGATGACAAGGTGTTCGAGGACAGAGCTACTGCTGTTATTCTTTTCTCCTCTATCTGGTTAACCAAGCTGGACAATGTTCCAGAATACTTTTGTGGACTTGACGTCGCGCACGGCCGATATACCTTGCTCCACACGAGCAAGTAAATTGATAAATACACATTGAAGTGGTCAAAAGCGGTATCTTGTCCATAGCGTTAGATTGGATTAACTGTCTGCAGGAAAATGCGATACGTAGAGTGGCGGTTGGATTTGTCTTCTTCAAACATTTGGAGCGGCGGTTTCTGAGAATTTCCGCTGCAACATCACCTTTTAATTATATGTTCATGCTGAGAGTCTTCTTAGGGACCTTGCAATGTTTGACACCGGAGGCTACTACTTCATGTTTCTGTCAATAATTTCTGATGGATAACCATTCTCTAGTAGGGTTTTACGTAATAAATTTAATTCTTCCTCTACCATGTCTTCCGAGCAAATTTTTCTGATCCTTGAACACAATGTACGTACTAGGTTTCTCTTTCGGATCAGTAGAACAAAGCTCTGGAAGTTGATAAACTGTCCAGTTCATCTCTCTAGTTGTGTTTTGTTTTATCATATTGTCTGCCAATGAGTAAATCTTTTTTTATCCTTTACATAAAATGCTCATCACTGGTTTCTTCTTTTCATTTCTACCTTTTTTGTTTTAATTAGTGTGATGTCCTTAGTAATAATGATAAACAACAAACTTATTCATGCGCCTATGTACCAACACAAGAAGGTGAATATCGAGTGATTATTAAGTTTGCTACAAAAGAAATCTTGAATTCACCATTTAAAGTGTTGGTGGAAGGTGCACAGGGGGATGCAAGTAAAGCAACTGCTTCTGGTCCTGGAATTGAACCAACCGGAAATCAAGTTGGTCGACGTACATTCTTCAATATATTCACTGCAGGTAATTTTAACTTCTTTTATGCATAGTAATTTATTCTTGAAAACAAAAAAAACTTAGAAAGATAATAACTGATACCCCTTTGCATCCATCAATATTATTATCACTGTTTCCTTTAGTTCTTAGAGGAACATAGCGCTTCAGCCACATGTCTCCGTTGCTTCCAGAGTTCTCCGCCAACGTTTTCGCATGTCTCCAGGTCTGCCCACATGCTTTCATCTCCTCTTGCCGTGACCTCCTTCATATAACCCTCGCAATGACGACCAACTCACCGCTTCTTTTTCGGGTTCCACTCCAGCGATGGCCTGTCTTGTGATGTCACTCACTTGCTGGTTTGTTTTCACATAGTATGGCCAATCCACCTCCTTTTCTCCATGCATTTTTGTTGCACAATTGGTTACTGCTGGGTTGGTTTGCTCATTGCCAGGGATCCCTGTTGCTGATCTCTCCTGGCCGGTCATTTGACCTTGAGCGATATAGTGAGCAAAGACAGCTGTTGATGAAGGTGTATAGTTTGTTTGACGCGCACTGTAAGTCTCTGATCCATATAGTAAGTAGCACTGACTTGACATTGGATTTGAAAATCCGGATCTTATTTTTCATGCTGAGTAGTGTTGTTGACTTCCACAGAGACTTGAGAGTAATGAAAGCTTGACTTGCTTTCCCGATTCTCGATGCTTTGATATTCCTATCATTCGATTCCACCAGTAGTTGAAATGATGCTTTCCAGGTAGGTATGTAGGTGAAGGAGGTTGTTTCTTTCAAGTTCCTCCCATTTATGCTGATTGTTGTCTGTTGTTGTTGTTGCTGTTGGCCAGGAATCTTCATCACCTACCTCTGTCTTCTCTATGTTCGCATGAAGTCCTATCTTCTCTGGATGCTTCTTCTACCGCCAACTTGTTGCTTTTCGCTTGGATATCTTCCAGTTTGTGGGAAATCAGACGTATATCATAGGCGAAGTCCACATCCTCCAAGTACAGATTGCAAACGAGATGAAAAGATACGGGGGTTTCAAGTACTGGGAATATATGCGAAAGCAGATGGAATAGGAGTGGACTCACCAAATTTTCAATGGGAGAGTCGATGATCTACTCTGGTAACCCAGAAGACATGTACACCGAACGTGTGGCTATCATAATATCATCAACGGCAACGAAGGCCCTGATACGATGGGAGGCGATCTCGCCCAACTATGGTGTAGTAGAGTTTTTATACTAAGCCATCCAACCCTAAAGTCTTGTATAGTTGCGTCTATTAGTACCACTACTACTACTACCTGATGGGATACAATAAGAGAGAACTGTGTCTAGATAGGATACTCAAAATCCTACAAGATAATATTTTCTAATCCCCTTGCTTGAGCCTATGTGTTTTTTTTACCGACAGTATTAACAAGTTGATTTAGCTACCCCCTGCATTCGTCATACTGACAGCTTGTGGTGTTCATCGCAGTGAAACAGTCTTTCTTTAGTAGCTTAGATAAGATAAAGGGGGAGTGATAAAAAAGCATAGGTAGAATACATGAATTAACAACATATAACAGTAAAGATTGAGTGATACCAGAGTGTCTTAACCTCTTTAGGTAGAAAGTTTAACGAAATATCCACCTGTCATTTGATGTCTTTTTCAAATGTGTATTTAGAATAACACATTTAAACGAATATTGTGCTTTCAGTTAGATCTCATCAGGCTTAACCCTAATATGCATAGGTTTACAAAGAAAAATTCAAATATAAACCAATCATGGTGTTTTGTCTATAGGATAATGAGATGGTGAATATAAATTGTGCAGTTAGTCATAATACTGGTAATGATAATATTAATAATAGTAATAATAATCATAATAATGGTCTTATCAAAAAAGGGAGGCAGTCTGTGTTAACACGAATAATGGAAAACAGCATGATCAAACAAACAGATGTTCAAGTAGACATAGTAGTCGATAAAGCTAGTAAAAACAAATGAACCGATTAAGTAATATTAGATTGTAAGGGAAGTAAATGAGACAGGTTTTTAATGAAGATGTGATAAGATTAAGGGTGATGATAAGAGAGGGGTTGAAAATATAAACAAGGGGTGATGTAGAAGTCATTAGTTGGTTATGTCTTCATCTGCCAACAAGCGAGGTATAATGGCTGTTCGAATGCCTATCGCCTGCCTCAGATGTGTGTGTGCAGTAGACGAATACGAAGTCTATTTGAAAGATTCGGTGGGATACGATGAATAACTTTGAAGGCTCTAGTTTTCTTCCCTAGATGACTACTATCAATTAAATGTGACAAAATTGAGCTGCGGATTGTTTTTTGTCTGTCCTTTGCCAAAACACGATGATTGGATATGTTCACTAACACGTTGGGTGGCTATGCTGTCTAGTAGTAGTGTGCCCAACATAACTGTCACCGCAGGTGCAGTTGAACTGATAAATACACATAGATGTGGCAAAACTATCAAGCTTATTCTTCGTTTGCGTCCAGTCATTCGTCGGCTAGAGAATGACAAACATAGGTGTACTGCATAAAATGTTCTGTATACTCCTTGAAAGTCTTTGGAATAAAATCTCATTAGATAAGTCACCATTAAATTGTAATTTATAAATAGAGGCTTTTTACGTGCAGCCAGAGTCGCAGGTTTTCTCTCTGATGTTTTCATATGTTTCTTTATGAAACTACTCGGATAGCCCATCCCCGTCAAGAAATCGTGAATATATATCTAAATTCCTTGTGCAAAAGGTCATCCGTACATATCTTTCTTGCTCTGCTCGTAAGACCTTTAACGACATTTCTTTTATATTTAACGGGCACGAAACTAAGGTAGTGTGCGTATTGCCCTGTGAATGTGTTTTTTCTATACACGTTTCTGCAAAGTCACCTATCTTCTCGCCTGCCCAGTAAGACATCCAGAATATGTAGTTTATTGTCGTGCCCCTCTTCACAAGTAAAAGTAAGCGAAGGGTGTATTTGTAAATATTGTATACTAGTCAAAGTATATTCATTATATACCCTTTCATGAAATTTCACTTTTAACTCACTTACTGGTTTTACAAAAACAATTAAACACACAGCTGGTTACAGTAATGACCGTGAGTCCCTGTGAATCAATGTTGTCAAAGTTACGTGTATCTACTTGTTGTCTACTTGTGTAGTGGTTGTACTATTCATTGATTTGTGTGAACTACACAGTTCTCACTTTTCATTTTTTTAGAGACTGTTACTTTATTGATTCAAGATTGTCACTATTCAGCGAAAAAAATATTCTTTGTCGACGAAACTGTCTTCAGAGTCTGGCTGTACAGTCGTATTTATATTTACCAAAAATTGTAAAGTAGTCTTTTATTGAGTAATAGGGGCAGGGGGTGACATATGAACTGATATAATTACTCCGAAGTGGCTTTAGAAGTAATAAATAAAATTGGTGGATGGTGGCTAGCTGTGGAATCCAGGATGCACATTTCTTCCTATTTGGGACTCGTCAGCTGGATGTACCTGCATTTCTCAGTGAGTGATGATGTTCCCACTGAGGCTCGAACCCAGCGCCCATAGTTTCAAACGCCAAAGAGTTATCCACTAGACCACTTGGGCCACGAGAGCCACCTCTTGTGCAACGGGTCATATTAATTATTGAATTGAATTTTTGATTTTCCCGTCGATTGATTGGACCGAAGTGCTCGGTCTCAGGTTGACATGTCGGCTTCTTGTGCAGATGCTTCGACGATGTCTGGGGATTTGATTTGTATACAATTGGTGGATGGTGGCTAGCAGTGGAATCCAGGATGCGCATTCCGTCCTATTTGGGACTCGTCAGCTAGATGTACATCCTGGATTCCACTGCTAGCCACCATCCACCAATTGTATACAAATCAAATCCCCAGACATCGTCGAAGTATCTGCACAAGAAGCCGACATGTCAACCTGAGACCGAGCACCTCGGTCCAATCAATCGACGGGAAAATCAAAAATTCAATTCAATAAGTAATAAGTAAAAGTTGTAAATTATGTGGTACTCAATGGTACAAAGCTGCACTGTATAACGTCGACAAAGATTTCCTTCGCTGAATTTGTCTTTTATTTTCTTCATGACTCATTGGGTATTTTCGGTAGTGACTTAATTATTCAAGTAAAACTGGAAATAAAAAAAAAATTAAAAAAATAAGATATTTTTGCAGAGAATGACTAGTGAAGAGATTAAGACTAAGGCAGAATAAGAGACAGACAGAGGAAACAACACCAAGAATGCTAGAGAATTTTTGAGAAGCCTACCTGGTACTCCAGTGAATCATCAATCAATAGACACCACATCGAGATAGACAAAATTTATCAACCGATAAGAAGGAAATCTCACAAACAAATGGTCAAACCTCAAGTTCCAACACAAGTAACCTAGAAGGTGTGAAAACACACATAAAAACAACCTATCACGTTCAAGGTGACCCACCAGGAGAGATGACTAATAAACTCGTGGAAAAATCTAAAAGCTCACTTCAACGAATTGAAGTACGCGTTGAAGATGTCGCCTAGTAGGGTGATGAAAGCTTCGTCAAATTAACTATCCACCTCAGGGAACACGGCCACATCAAAATTTTAGGGATTTGATTAATCGATTGCAAATTAGATCACAAACTGACATCAGTCAGAAAACTATCTGAAACCAAAAAATCCTGGACATCCTGTTTGATCCTTTGGCTCTACCACTGGATTGAACCTAGGACCTACAGGTTATAAGTTAAGCTACTAGAACATGATGCATAAAGTCATAAATTCTGACTTCTGCCAACTCGTGGTTTATACGCCATTAGTCAGCTAATGTCACTATTGGTTCAGTGGTTCTCTGGCTGATATCATCTTGTGATCCATATTGAAATCAAGTAAACTCAAACTTCAAAATAATAATAATAATTCGAATAGCTGAATGTTACTCATACTTGATTAGTGCTTTTAAAAACTGAACACAAAGGAAATAGAACACCTTGCGGCTGAATTTTTCGCAAACTTGATATACTATAATATTCATATATATATATATATATATATATAATTCAATTTTCTATTTTCCCGTAGACTGATTGGACTGAAGTGCTGGGTTTCAGGTTGACATGTCTGTCGGCTTCTAGTGTGCAGATGCTTCGACGATATCTGGACATGTAATTAGAAGTGAATTATTGGATGATGACTAGCAGTGGAATCCAGAATATGCATTTCGTCCTATTTGAGACTCGTCAGCCAGTGGATGTACGTGCATTCCGCAGTCAGTGAGCATGTTCCCACTTGATGGCACTGGGTTCGAGTCTTGATGGGAACATCACCACTCACTTAGGAATGCAGGTACATGTAGCTGACGAGTCCCAAATAAGACAGGCGAAATGCACATACTGGATTCCATTGCTACTCACCATCCGCCAATTAACTTCTAATTACATGCCTTGACAACTCCTCAGGGCAATTTCTAAAACGTTAGATGAGTAAGGTGTAAATGGTTGTCCACTTACCATCTTGTTTATTCATATTTCTCTTCCTTCCTATCTGTCTTCATCTGACAAAGAAATACGAAACAGTTTCATAAAATGTATATATTAAACTAAATGTTGTCCTCCAGTGTATTCCATTTTTTATTTTTGTTCTGTCTATTTTTTGTTGTTATTATTATTATTATTATCATTTACATTGTAAACACTTTATTGACAGTGAAAATCCCCCTCCCCCCACCTATAGCATTAGTCTGTTTTCTTCTTCTCTAATCTCAAACAAAATGGGATGTTTATTCCTGCAGCACACATCGTTAGTAGCAGTTTAATTCTCTAGCTGATTCATCACTGTTTAGTTGTTGCTCTTTTTCGCTTCTGTTTATTCTGTTGTGTGTGTGTGTGTGTGTTTATGTGCGTGTACGTGTGTGCTTTGTTTGTGAAAAAAATCGTCCAGAGAATACCTTGAAAAGAAGGCAAAATGAAACACAATAAAAAGTCAGACTATTTTGCTTTGGTATCCAGCATGGAACTGACCTCAATGCACGCCTAGACAAGTCAATAATTATTTGACAAATCAGTCACTATATATATATATATATATATATATATATATATAATATTATTGAGTTTGATTCAGTAGTGTATGATGCTTGCTAACCACGTACGTGGTCAGGATGCCATCCTCCTTAACCCCTCTCCTAGCTGGCTAACCGATAGTTATAAAGATGAAAGGTTGGTTGGTTGGTTGATCGTGAAGCTAGGAAAGAACTCCACGTTGTAGTAAAACAATGCCACTGCCACTGAAATGTCATAACTTGAAGGCACATGCAACACTCGAAACGCAGGGAATGAAGCAAAAAGCATTCAACTGAAAGATTCGTGAGAAATTAAATGTTAATATATGTCTAAAACTTGGGCACTGTGGTGGTAGTAAGTAATTCCGTATTAGTTTGTTTATTAGATATACCACACAGTCAGTGAAACAGTATTATTTACTGAATGACAAGGTTTCGAACAAAATTTATTGTTCGTAATCATTTCATCAGTTATAATCACATGACTTCAAAACTTGAGTTTCATAGTTTTCTTTGTTCTCTCCTATTTGTCGTTGTTGGGGTAGTCGACTTTTCCAGATATCCAACTGGACAGGTGATGAATCATTCCCATTACATGTATTTGCAGTTAATTGGATTAACAAAGCTACTGTTACCAATCTCTCCCTCCATCCTGCTATTACACTAGATTTTAAAACTGTCATCTTATACCATCCTATGGTATAAATTTGTTGTGCGTAACTGCATGTAGTAAGTGGTATAGCTGAACTATTCTCTAGATTTCTTATCTTATTTGGGTCAACTAATCTAGAATTTGCTAGGTTTCTATGCTCCGCTAGTCTGACTACCCCTGTTCTACTATTTTGACAACGCCTGTTCCAGATATCTGAAAAATCCTAGTACCCGTACAATGACAAATAGGAGAATACAAAGAAAACTATAAAACTCAAGTTTCGAAGTCGTGTGATTACAATTGATATGATTAACGACAATAAAGAGTTGTGTTCGAAACATCATCCAGTAAGTAGTACTGTTTCACTGTGTGATACATCCAATAAACAAACAAATATGGACAAATTAAATGATTTAATAGTACAAATGTTTATTTTGGTTGATGGCAATTAGAATTGTGACCTATGATGCGTATTTCACCTTGTTTACTACTCGTCATCTGTATGTACTTGCATTCTCCCTGAATGGATATATGGTATTCCTAGTGAGATTTTCAAACCCAGTGCTCATTAATTTAAACAACAAACCTTCAAATACTGTTGGAGTGTTTGAGCAAATATTTTTTATAGAAACGGCATATTTTCGCTCAACATAACCGATCAGGGGGTAATATATAGTTAACTTATGCAGATTTCATAGTAGGCTTTAACACAATCAATGTCATTTAGAGAATCAACTGAAAAATCGAAAATGTAATCATTTTCCAGGAGACAATGTGCGTGTCTTGAAGTGCGCATTATCGTTCCAACAGTGAATTCAACTCGCAGTATAATACAACCAAGCAAGTTGTGAGAGATGTGATTTGATTTTTCTGAAGTTCGAAGTCTATAGAAGCATACCATCGAATTTCTAGCCTTGAATCCACCACTGCTGGCGGTTCTGTATTTCATTAAGCACATAGGTCTCGTGAATAAGTAGCTCTAGACTGTCAAAAGTTTTCTGGTTGGTGATGAAACTTAGAATGCCTGACTATCATTTTCATCCTTCAATTTTTTATAACCTTTTCTTTACTACTTTTTAATTTTCTTTTTCAGCTGCTGGACCTGGAAATGTAGATTGTGTTATTCTCGATCCACTTGGTCGACGTGATGCTATTAAACCATTGATCACTCGTCAAGGTGAAGATAATTATCTTGTTGAGTATACACCAAAAGATGAAGGTCTACATTCAGTTAATGTATTCTTTGCTGGTCAACAAATACCGAATTCACCATTCGGTGTAATGGTTGGTCCACGTAAGTAGAAAATCAATAAAAGTGTAATTTTTTAAAAATAAAGTAATGCTTTCACCAATTAATTACTAGGAAATCCAGACTTATCAAATAAAACACAAAATAATTGAGCAAGGAATATCCTTTTCGATAATTTCCTCTCCCCATCTACAGTTATATATGCATGCTTATATGCATAAAATATTCTAGAATAGTAGTCATGTCGATTTTAAAGTAAGACCAATGGAACTACAATTCATTAAAGATGCTTAGATTATAATAATAATAAAGATACAATAGCAAATAGAGTATTAACTAAAAATAAATTGAGAATCATTCAAACGTAGATGGCCAAAGTAAGGATAATGTCTGAACTAACCTCTTTTGGATGCACAAATTAGGCTTGTTAATATGGATCCCAACAGTCAGACTCAGCAATATTTAGTAGTTGAACTCTTAAGACGAAATGAGATTCGTAGGTATGCTGTAAATGACCCTGAAAGTATGGTTAATGTTAATCTTGTGTTCTGTATCCACACGATGAGACAAAACAGCGCTGAGGATAGATTTCGTTTGTCCTTTGCTTAACCACGCACAGTGACGTCAGGAAATTGGACGAGAATGAGTCTACTGACCAGTTAGTTGATGTAGGTTTTCTATATACGCTTCTTCTTATTGTGCCATTCTCTTTTCTAGTCATAAAGACGTCTAGAAATGAAATACTGGAGTCTTTTCCTTTCTCAATAGTAAAATGTAATGGAGGATGAACCTCGTTAAATTTGTCCATACAGGATGTTCTTTGCTCTATCCTCATTTTTCATGATCAAAACTGTATCATTCATGTAACGACAATGGAATTCAAGTTCATCAATAACATCTTTCAATGGCCCATTTTCTAGTTTCGCAAGGAAAATATCGGCTAGAATGGGTCGTAACGGTGACCCTGTTGCCATACCATCGATTTGGCTGTATGGTTCCTTAATAATTAAAAAGTGGACATTCATTGTGCATTTCAAGAGAAGCTCTTTATAAAAGATATACGAATGCCAATATCAATGTTTCGTCTTATGAATTCTTCGCATACAAAGTCCACTGTTTCCATAAGTGATACCTTGGTGAATAAGGAAGATACGTCAACAAATGATATCATGAATTTGTTGTCAACATTTAAATCTTTTATCCTTTTTACAAATCCAAAAGTATCCTTTACAGCAATGTGTTTTACCAACTCCGTATGAAGAGGCTGTAAGAGTTCAAATGAGAAGATTATGATAGAATTGATTTGTTTCACTGTGCATGTCACAGTGGCTGTCCTAGGTTTCTCCAATCCTACATGTCGAAATAATTTATTTCCATCAACTGGTTTTTCTGTACACTGCACGTCTGCATTGTTAACCCACTAATTCCAGCATATATATATAGGTGATACTGTGGCGTGTGCTACTGATAAGATTTATAAGTAGTGTATAAATATATAAGAAATGCTCATTGGCATAAAATCATCAAATGCCAGGGAGATACATTTGATATCAGAGAAAGCAAATAATACAGTTAAGGCGTCGGCGGCATAGCGGTTAGACGCTGGCATATATGCACATGGTCCGGGTTCGATTCCCGGCGGACGCACTCCTTTACCTCACTAAGCCGAAAATAATACTGGTAAAGAGAAAAGGTTGGGCATGAGGCTAGCAGCCCATCCTGTAAAATAAACACTGCCATAGAAGCTTGAAGCCACCAGCTTGAAACCTATGTTCCACTGGGTAATGCGAAGGATAAAAAAATAATAATACAGCGTTGGTGAGATACTTAGAAGACGTGAGAGAGACATAAGAGACAGGAAACACATGCAATAAGAAGGAAGGCCAGAAGTAACAAATGGTGCGTTGAAGATGAGGTGTACATCATTTGGCTATATAGAGATACCAAACTGCTAGAATGAACATTCCTTAATCAAGTCTCTCATCTTCTACCGTTACAATACCGCAACGGCTGCAGTATATAAATTTCAGAAATCATCATAAATCTATCTTTCGACAAGCAGTTATATCTTCTCATTATGTAATCGTATTGATTGACCTGGAGAGAATCAAACACGCCAACCTGGATGAAAAACTTCGACCGGAACGAGCTGGATTCAAGAGAAACAAGTCATGTATTGATCAGATCGCCACACTACGGATCATCACTGAACAAAGCTTGGAATGGCAGTAACCTCTCTATCTCAACTTCATCGACTTTGAAAAGGCCTTCGACAGACAGCGTCGATTGTGAGGTGATTTGACAACTACTTCGCTACTACGGGATACCACCCACAATTATACATCTCATCCAACAGTTGTACGACAATGCTGCATGCCAAGTAATTCACAACGGAAACTTACGGAATCCTACGAAGTAAAGACAGGAGTAAGACAAGATTGCCTACTATCGCATTTGATTTTCCTAAATGCAGTAGACTGGATAATGTGACAGACAGCAGGCAATGAGGAACAGGCATAAAATAGACTCACACAAATACTTGAAGGATGTGGACTTCGCCGATGATATATGTCTGATTTCCCACAAACTGGAAGATATGCAAGTGAAAAGCAACAAGTTGTCGGTAGAAGGAGCATACAGGAAGATAGGACTTCAGGTGAACATAGAGAAGACAGAGGTAGGCGATGGAGATTCCTTGGCAACACCAACAGCAACAGACAAAATCAGAATAAATGGGAGGAACTAAATCTGAAAGAAACAACCTCCTCTACCTATTTACCTATCTGCGAAGCATCGTTTCAACTACAGGCAGACGGAACTGACGAGGATATCAAAGCAAGGATTAGGAAAGCAAGACAAGCATACATCACTCTCAAGTCTCTGTGGAGGTCAACAGCACTTAGCATGAAAAAAAAGATCCGGATTTCCAACTTCAATGTGAAATCAGTGCTACTTACCATATGGATCAGAGACTTGGCGCGTCGTAAAGAGCACATCAAACAAACTACAGTCATCGTCAACAGCTGTCTTCGCTCAATACCACTCAAGATCAGATGGCCGGTCAGAAAACATCAGCAACAGGGATCTCTCGGAATGAGCAAACCAGCCCAGCAGGAACTGATTGTGCAACAAATAAGCAGGAATAAATGGAGCTGGGTTGTCCATCCTCTGAGGAAACCATCAAGTGACATCACTAGACAAGCCCTCGAGTGGGACCCAAACGGGGAGTGGCGAGTCGGTGGTCACTGAGAGGGTGACTTGGAGGCGGTCATGTGAAGAGGAGGTGAAGGCGTTTGGGAAGACGTGGAACCAGGTGGAAACGTTGGCAGAGAAGGGAACGCAATGGGGACGTGTGGCTTAAGCCCCATGTTCATCTAAAAGTTAAAAGAAATAATAATAATAAATAATTGATTGAGACAGTAATTAACGAGATTGTCCGATGATGAAGACCATTGGCGGCAAAACAGACCACTGGCAAAACAATGAATTTATATATATATTCTAAGCAGCTGATTACGGAAACTATGAGTATGAATAATGACTGCTGTTTTAGTTTTCTTGGTAGGTTTTTACTCATCCATATGTATTTATAACGATCAAAGCTGAAGTAATACAGTCTGAAAGCAGAAATCACACGATGTGTCTTCCTGTATAGATCACCAAACTTTTATGAATCAGGCACACTTTTATTAATATCAAAAAGACAAGTTGATGTCATGGAATCTGGATTTCCATTCTACAATAATAACTTTTATCAAAAATATAAAACTATCTCAACAATGTGATCCGACAGAAGATATACACTTCCAAAGTGACTTCAGTGACAAATTACGTACTACACAACAACATGAAATAACCAAACGCACCTATAAATTGTTTAATGATAAAAAAAGAGATGTATTCTCAACAATGTGAGATCGAAACTCTGTCTACAAGAATCAGACTGTACAAAACACATTTCGCTCAGACAATCCAAGGTCATTTCTCAGTGTGTCACCTTGACTACAGTCATAAACAGTTGCAGCTGTAAAACAACATATTCATGTAATTTGAATAAAGCAAAAACAACAGTGGTGGTTTGTGCGAAATAATATGGTGCCATCGTTGTTTATTTCGTTGGCTTCTCATCAGCTGCTGCTTAGAGCCTAAAAAATTCTGAGATTTATGTACAGAAAAGTTTTAACATACTTGCAAATTTTACAAGGTGTCAGTTAACAGAAGGTACCACAATTAGTGAACAGTGCTCAGAAAATTGCGCTTATATAGTTTTTACACAGGCAGTTCAAGTTTATTCAAAGTAAATGTATGCATACAATGGTAAAGGAGTTACGTAATAAAGACGAGATATGCGTTAGATGCAGAGTGACTAATAAATTAGGTAACAGTAAACTAAGCTCTACTCCAATCATAGAAACACCAGACAATCGAAACTACACTGTATCAAAGAGATGAGGTTAAAGACGAAGATTACGTAATCAAATGAAAAAGAGAATAAAGACATCCAGTTACCAGGGTGGCAAGGAAAGACTAATAACTGCGTCTTTCTGGACAAATAAATCTGGTTTCAAGCGTTTCACAGAAATTGCTTCGACAAACTTGAGGAGAATGGAGCTCCTTTGTCTATTGATAATTTTAAAGGATTTCTCGATTTCCACCTCACAACCCGTATCGAGATGTCTAGTAATAGCGCTATTATAAGAGTTTGTTCCCTTGAGACGTAGGCTTTTCGGCATATGTTCAGAAAATCGGAGCTGTGCCCTTCTTTCTGTCCTTCCAATGTAACTGCTCCTGCAGATACATGTAAATTTGTACACACAGTTGGAGTTAACATTAGAAGGGTATCTGTCGACTTTTGACTGCACCAAAGAGCATGTTGTTCGATGGACGGGAACCATATCGTATGAATATGAGTGACAATAATTTGTGCTCGAAACGTGGTCATCAGTTAATATTACTGTGTGTTAAATGGAATTATATTCTACCACAGTTAATATGTACGCCTTATCTAACTGTAAGGTGAGAATGTAAACCGCCGAAGATTTCAAAAAGGGGATGTAAATATTCTTTGTGATGGTTGACAGTATAAGACATGATTCTATGCTGTTCAAATGTACAACAATAAAGATATTATTCATAATTCAATGTGTAATACTTACCGTCAGTTTGTTCAATCGAAATACAGTGAATATCCTTCACTTGTGTTTACCATACGGATTTATACCCATTAGTACAAAACATGAAATCCATGCATTGTTCCATGTTTCAATCATTTCATAACATATTACCTTTTAAAACCTAAATTATAAAATGATTTGAGTTACTATTTATGGAGTATTTTTATGCAGTTGGTTATTGTCTTCATCAAGGTCACATAAGGTTATATGCTAAGTTTTCAAGTTTTATGTTTGTGCGTGTGTGTATGTGTGCGTAGTGTATATTGTCAGCATACGGGTACCTCAATGCACTACTTGCCTTTACATCAATCATTTACCCCCTAAACGAAGCCGTTAATTGAAACCAATTAATTTGACATTAACCAGCTAAGTTATAAATGACCTTGTTTTTTTTGTATTTTGACATGTATCTATCGAGGTCACTGCCTTAGATACAGAATATAAATAGATATATGTTCATATTACATGGTAACTAAAATACATTTCAGCACGTATTTTATGTATTCGTTAAATGGTGTCAACGCGGAACTCAAAAATAAACTTTAAAGGTCGTTTATTTGCATTGCTAAGGTACTTTTATAAAAGGTAACGTTTCAAGGTCACAAAGGGGAAAAAGCGCCTAAAGCAAACTATATTATACAACAAAATGCTAATTTATTCTGTAATTCCGACGATTATAGTAATGTATATTATCTTACTAGTTAACTACAAAATGAAAATGAGTTAGGATTTCTGTGTTAGACGGCACTAATGCCTGTTGAGGTGACACAACTCCCTTCGGTGATAAGTCCTTGGCCCTAGACGTGATGGGATCCGGCTGGGATTTGAATCCACTACCAGATATTACCTGAAATTGCCTTCTTTCTTGTCTTTCTGAAAGTATCACGAAGTAATCAACACTAGGCGTATACATTTGATGTTTTTTTACGACACTGTTAGTACATTATTTGTGTTTCCGCCTTTTTTATTGATTTAAAAAAATGTATTTGTGTAAGGCACAACTTTTGATGTTCACATTTTTATCAAGAAATTGTGTTTTTTGTTTCAAATAGATAAGTAAGTACGAGCCTTCCCTTGTACACAGCACAATATCATTTCACTCTGTGCTTTCTTAGTGAATCCACAACTGCCCATAAGCTTCCTTTCCCTGACCACACTATCTCCTTCGTGTCACTGGCAATCTCTATTTCCCTCTTTGTCAGAGTGCTTTGATGCTTTGCCTTTCCGGTTGGTTATCTCATATGTGTAATATGGCGCGAAAGCAACTATTGATTACATAATCTGCAGTTGGCTGTTGAAACTGCCTTTCATGACCGACGAAATCTTTGAAACATACAGAAATACTCATTCGACATTAGCTCTGAAGATCCAGATTATGTTTCCTTTGTTGAATGAAGTAGATTTCTACAGTGATCTGAGATTGATGAAAGTTTTGTTTTTGTGTTTCCCGAGCTCCCACTGACTATGGGATACTCATCTGTGGTGCCTGTTTTATTATTATTATTGTTTCCTTTAATTCCTAGAGGAACAAAGGACTTCAGCCACACGTCCTCATTGCGTTCCCTTCTCTGCCAACGTTTCCACCTGGCTCCAAGTCTGCCCAAATGCTTTCACCTCCTCTTCACATGACCTCCTCCAAGTCACCCTCACACTGACGACCAACTCGCCGCTTTTCTTTCAAGTTCCAGTCGAGTGATAGCTTGTCTAGTGATGTCACTTGATGGTTTCCTCAGAGAATGGACAACCCAGCTCCATTTATTCCTGCTTATTTGTTGCACAATCGGTTCCTGCTGGGTTGGTTTGCTCATTCCGAGAGATCCCTGTTGCTGATGTTTTCTGACCGGCCATCTGATCTTGAGTGGTATTGAGCGAAGACAGCTGTTGACGATGACCTGTAGTTTGTTTGATGTGCTCTTTACGACGCGCCAAGTCTCTGATCCATATGGTAAGTAGCACTGAGTTCACACTGGAATTGAAAATCTGGATCTTGTTTTCATGCTAAGTGCTGTTGACCTCCACAGATACTTGAGAGTAATGAAAGCTTGTCTTGCTTTTCTGATTCTTGCGCTTTGGTATCCTTGTCACTTCCGTCCTCCTGCAGTTGAAACGATGCTTCCCAGGTCGATAGGTAAAGGAGCTTGTTTCTTTCAGATTTCTCCCATTTATGCTGATTGTTGTCTGTTGTTCTTGTTGCTGTTGGTGTTGCCCATGAATGTTCATTAAACCCAGACCATTTGCATGGTCGGCGAGACTTCTAACCATTGTGCCACCAACGCACTCTAAATAATTTAATACCTATTATTACTCGACTTATGAAACAGGGATCAGTAATACACTCATCATTGAGTGAGTGGAAAGGTTGTAACTCCTTGTCATCTCCAGGATATATATTTACCACAGAGTCAACTATTCTAATGATTTTGTGGCTCTCATTTATAGGGACTCAAACCAATAGCATTCTATAGAATTTTTTGGGGAATGTTTAGAAACAGGATTAAAGCCATCAATGCATCTCAAAAGGATGTTATTTATAGTCATTTAGGATATGGTGTAACTTTTCAGTTGATACGCCTATGCTACTAAACTGGGAGATGTTTTCATCCCATGTGAGAGAAAGGTATTCCATAGCTTCAAAAATGCCTCATTCGTGTAAAAATGGCGCGTTCAAGGTCATTCACTGATTGGTAGTTAGCCTTTTATTGATTAATTGATTGATTTCACAGAAAGGCAACTACCAATAGTACTTATTATATATAATAAAAAATATTTGTATGAATTTCTTTATACTGAACATTAAAGCAGTTTAGCAAAGCATATTCTAAGATATATACGTATATATATATATATATATAAACACATGATCTCCACTAGTGTTTTGGTTAAGGGGATCAACAAATATATAAATGTACAACATCCAAGTGATGGAATAATTTTGATTTTCGTTCTTCCTACCCTCCTGTATAGGACCACCTCCTCCAGTACAATCTCCTGCTCCTATAGTTAATCAAGAAGGTGTGTGTGTGTGTGTGTATGCGCCTGCGTATGTCTGTTGTGTACCTGTGTATGTATGCTTGTGTGCGTGCGTGCGTGCGTGCATCTGTGTCTGTGTTGCACAGATGACAGTGATTTTTCTTTTTCTTTTCAAAAACAGCATTCAGCATGATAATTTAATAATTCATTCATATATCTTGTGTTATTTGGCAGAGATACTTGATAAAGCTTATCAGGTGTTTGGCAATATTATTCATAAGTTCAAATATAAAAGTGCATGTTACGCATTTGGCTGTATAAAAATTACCTACGCTCTGCTTTAATTTCCAAATTTCATTTGCTTTCAATTTGCATTTTAAACTTATATGTGAAAAATACTCTATTCCGTGAGTTGGTGGCACAGCGAGAGAATGTTCGCCAACCACGCCTCATGTGGTTCGGGGTTCGAACCCTGGTCACAGACGTACTCCTTTACATTGGTTAGAAAAATAAATTTAATATTTCAGGATCGATCACAAAAGCAATTAGTAGAATTAATGACTCCACTACCGGATTCTATCCCGGTGACTGAATGGACAATGATATCGCTGTGGGACCTGAATTTCCTAGGTCCAATCCCTTGCACCGAGTAGTAAAGAATTTTCAGTCGTGTTTGCCCATGAACTCACCTGACTTACAGGACCACTGAAACTCATTCAGCGGTATTTCGTTATTTTCTGGAATTCTGTCTGTCTGTCTATTTTTGACATACAATTTGCACCGATGTACACCAGTTCAAGTCGCCACACTCCCTCCACGTAGCACACAAAGCAAGAGAAGAAAGTAAAAAGAAATGCATAATAGAGGCAGTAGGCAGGGATATGAGACAAAAGCAATAGTAATAACGCAGAACAACATTGTTTCATTGGGTATTATATGTCAAAAAGAGTGGATGCATCTACACCAGCCATTGAGAACGATTTTGAGCGATATCACCAATTGTTTCCAACCATTGCTTTTTACCATTCCGAGGACCGCAACCAAGAAGTCTACACCTCCCTACTTGGCTGGCTTAAACTAACTGTTGTGGACTTCATTGACTGGTGAAGCCATGTTTTGGTTTGACCGCCGCTAGCTCCTTTCCAACCTGACTCAATGTCAGCTAACATTTCCCGTTACCGAGGAAGGCGATGACTAGACATACGTATATGTAACAAATCTCCTAACAACCTCAGTCGATGTAATTTCACAGCCTCGTCGGTTGATCTCCCCTCCTAACCTAGCACTCAACTGACGCCTAACTTCAATATTGCTCACCCTACTATACCACTTCACACGGGAGATAGAGCGCAGGCACCTATGATCGAAGGCACCTAATCTTTCGATGTCTTCCACTCTCATTGGCCAGGTCCCACTCACAGTGATAAAGGAGGATGAAGCGGACTGCTGAGCAGTACAAACGCCCTTTGGTCGATATCCGGATATCACGTCTACGTGTCTGGAAATCTCTAGCGGTACGCACTCATGACTTCATCAGTTGGATAGTACACAAGACCTTGAGATAACAAGGCAAACTTGCTGACCATTCAACCCCTTGGATGATGTTCAAAGACCCACTGGTCTGCTCCTTGCACACTAACACTTGAAAATTTATATAGTGCTCACTAGTGACTAACTACTGGACACTGTTGCCTGAAGTAATCGTTATCAGCTGGCCCACCAAGTTGGTTCTAAGGACACATACTCACCGGTGACACTGGCTAGCGATTGCATCAAATATTGCTAATTGCCAGGAGTCAGAAGTGATGAACCATTCACTGTATGGTTGGAGGTAAGGGGGGAGGGGAATTACTTGGTTTGACCTCTAGTGGTGGGGTCATGGGTACGTACTGATCAAGAGACAGTTATTCAGTGCTCTCTGGTGGTTTTTAGTGGTCTTCTGACGATAGTCAGTTCATGACCAAACGTGAAATCAATCAAATACCTTTCGTAAAGCTGAACATAATGTTTTTAAAATGTCAGAGAAAATGTCAGTTAGAGTCAGTTATCAATGTCAATTTTCTAGTAAAGTACAGACAGATTCCAAAAAACTACTTGGTCGAGTAGTGTTATGTCATCTAGGTGGTAATTGAAGTGCAGACGTGATTATCAATAAAACTGTAGACATAACGTAAAATTTTATAACACAATACAATAATATCCTTCATTTTTTTTAAATCGATTACTTGAATTATGAATACTCATCAAAGTAAGTTACGCAACTGATATAAAAGATTAATTACTCTATACCACACGAAATAACACAAATTTCATTGGATTGCAACGTAGTTTTGTTAGGAACTGACACCAGTTAATGAAAGGAATCCCTGAAAACTAAGAGACACTGTTCCTGGACTCTTCAAGAGTGTATACTAAAGATCCTAATAGAGTCGATCCCAGGAACCTCAGGCTGTTAGTTGCTTTCAGTCATTTTCTGATTGATGTTGTCTGTTGATGTGGTATCTGTCTAGCTCATTAATAGCTTTTTATGAGTTGATCACGGATTGATATCAGTTAGAGAACCATTGAAAACCAGAGAGTACCACCAGACAGCTGTTTCAGCAGTATGCGCCCCACCTCACTAGAGTTCGAACCTAGGACCTTTCGGTTACAAGGAAAGCTGACTCGTATACCATTCTCCCACCGGACCCGACTCCTCAAAGGCCAGCGCATGAATTCTAACTTCTACCAATTCGTGATTTAGCACGAACCATTGTCGTTGAAGGGACATCCATCCTGACACACGTGACATCTGGATGGACCTCACTGGTCACGACTGCGCACTAGAACTGACTCCAGGAAACTGCATTCTGTAGCACGTCACTGGCGAGCGTCATATTAATTTTCTATAGTTTGGTTTGTAAGGATTAGTTATGTTTTTATAAGTTGACCACGGATTGATATCAGTTAGAGAACCATTGAAATGCACCAGGGAGTACTGCCAGACAGCTGTTTCATCCTAGTTTGGGAAACATCGGCAGTTAGAATTAATTCATGAGCCACTGAGGAGTCGGGTACCAGTGGGTGAATGTTATACAAGTCCGCTTGCCTTGTAACTAGAAGGTCCTGGGTCCGAACCCTGGTGGTGGATGCGTACTGGCGATGATCTGCAAACCAGGGCTGAAACAGCTGTCTGGCAGTACTGCTTGATGGTTTTCAATGCTTCTCTAACGGATATCAATCCGTGATCAACTCATAAAAACACAACTAACCCTTAGAAACCAAACTATAGATCATTAATAGCTACACAATCGGTGATATCCTGGGCCTGTAATTAGAAGTCATAGATGATGTGGTCCACAATGTTGTTGCGTGTGAAGCAAATGCCCAACAATGGAATTGTTCGGTGGTTGCTCTATATCGTTAGAATTAACAATGACTAAATAGTCACTTCATAACTTGAGTGTTCTTGGTTAGATCCTCCGTCAAGGGGGAGCGGAGGAGAGGTCATGGGCGAGAACTGATGAAGAGAGGTTCAAGCCAGCCGGAAGCAGTGATACAAATAGAATGCTCAATGATTGTTTGTGCACACTTTAACCTTTAATTAAAAACACTGATATTTTCATGAAGTCTCCTCTGTGATGAATGCCTAAATTACATTCTTTTGGCTGCATTTAATATAAAAGCTTTCAGATAATTTTTTATAAGTTATCCAATTTTTATTGAATTCCAATTGTGATTATATGCATGTCATGGACATGAATGAATCTTATTCATTCACCTTGTTTGTATTTATAAAGAGGAAATAAAAATTTGGAATTTGATAATTTTTAAATGTGCAGCTGTGACAGAGTAACTTTGGGCATGGCTTCAACAGCATTGCCAACATCAAGGTTGTCTTCACTCTTTCAGCGATTCACACACACACACACACTCCAAGTGAGAATGGAGAAAATGACATGCTAAAGCAACAAAAATGGCCTTGATGTTGATACTTTGACTTACTTTTGAGTTCATAAAAGAATAGTAGAGTAATAAGAAGACGTTATTTGTCTGAATCGTGTAATATGCATATTTGCGCAACACACTTTTCGAACAATCTGATCCACAACACACGGACATATCATAGGAATATATTTATGAAATTAATAAAGAGTTGATAGGTGAGAAAATAGACAAGTTAGGTCAAGTTAAAAGGATGTATAGAAGGTCAGAATGACAATGGATATCACTAAACCAAATAACAGAGGTAATAGTACATCTATCCTGACTGGTATCAAGAGAAAATTTATCAACGAAGGTGGTTTAGTGTGATGACGAATTGCTGCTTTGAACGCATAAAGGTGACTTAAACTTGCTAATTGCTAGGGCTTCCACAAACAAATCCTAAACAAAATGAGTTTAGAAAGTTGTGTGATTACCTTGATATGATTATGAGCACTAAATTGTTCGAAACGTCATCAGTAAACATTACTGTATAACACTAAGAGACTTTATCAAAACAAAATTTACCCATAATGGAATTACACTCTACCACAGTGCACAAGTTTTATTCTTATATCAAGAAGCTAAATAGCTCCAGAAACAAATGGAATCTTCAAAACTCATTAACGGTGAGAACAGGAGACCTAGCTCTTCTATTGCAAAACTTATTATAGAGACAGGGCAAAAAAATTGTAGTTAACAGATCTTTTAAACTTATCTATAAAACGTGTTTGAGGCGTATCCTAAAGTTTGTGGAAGCCCTAGCTGGTAATTAGGAAGTTTAAACCACCTTTATGCGTTCAAACAGTAATTCGTCAACACACCAAATCACCTTCCTTGTTAAACTTGGTTTTGATACCAGTCAGGGTAGATGTACTATCACCTCTGCTATTTGGTTTAGTGATCTTCATTGTTATTTTTACATTCAATTTGACGTAAGTAGTCAATTTTCTCACCTCTTAACTCTTTATTAATTTCATAAATATATTCCTATGACAAGTCCGTGTGTTGTGGATCAGATTGTTCGAAATGTGTTGCTCAAATACATTACACACAGGATTCAGACAAATTACATCTTCTTATTGATTTATTGAAGTTCATAAAGGAAACTAATTGTTTGAAATAGTAGAGTATTTATAATATAATATCATTTTCATCTGTCTACGCATGTTTCGCGGCACACTGATATCAGATGACATATATAGCATGTTGGAGAAAGGCTGTTTTCGCTTCTACTGTATTCCCCGCTTCTAGCTGACTCATTCATCCAACCATATCACACTGGTTAAAAAGCATGAATGTGATCTGTAAAGCTTAAGTTCACCGGATTATTCATTATCCCAGTGTTATTTATTTAAGAGAAGTTGTGTATTACAACACATTTTACTTTCAGCTCCTGTACAAGCATCACAAGCACAGAGAAAAATGTCTCTACCGAAGCGACCAGGTCAGAATTTTCTTAGTAGTCCATACTAATTTTTTAAAAATTTATTTTTATTATTCGTTATTTATATGCCTCAGCGACACATCTCTATTGCACTTGGTACACTGCCATCACATTCCGGTGGTTGTCTGAAAGCCTTCATCACTTTTTATGTAATCTTCCCTTTGATGTCACTGGACAATCAACACGTCAGTCCCCTTTTGAGTTCCATTGAAATGTGATGTTAATTGAACACCCTGTCAGCATATGTTGGCTATGTTGCCCCCGCTGCTTCTGACTATTTTTCGGACAATAAGTTTTTGTTCATTTCACTGTCAGAAATTCTTGTTGCTGATCTTTTCTGACTAATGTTTTTGAAAAAGAGAAGATGTTCAGCTAAGAGACTCTTTTCGACGGCGAATTCATTCAAATAACGCCGTACAATCGCATTTATATTTAATTATTTGTGCATGTGTGTACATGTGGTTTGTCAAGTTTCGATAATTGATCAGGCAATACAAGAATGATGTAATATAGAAACAAGGTTAATTAGACAGCAACTAAAGTAAGATTGAGTTAGTTAGTAAGTTAGATGACGTAATTTAATTGACTAAAATGTTTCAACTTAGGTCAGGGTAGCAACAGAGGTAATTACAGGTAGGGACTAAGTTGAGGTGGGGGTAGAGAACAGGAAAGTTGAAAATGTAAAATATTACAATTGAGAAGACAAAATAATTCTAATGAAGAGACAGAAAAAAAAGGATAGGCAGAATTTGCTTGTTGGGCAATAAGATAGATTAAGTCCATTGCAAGTGTAATGATTGAATGAACTTCTTCTGTATGCAGAGTTCAGGACTTAGCAGGTGAATCACCATTGCTTCTGCAGTTTGAAGAAGACTGATTCGTACACCTTTAGGAAGACTACTTCTTACTTTGTGGACGACTTCAGGCACTGTGTTAATATTTCTCTAATGTTATCACCACGTTTAGAAAAAACTGCATTCCTTTGTGTATCTTCTAATTTCTCTCAAAGACAGTAACAGGCAAACATTTTTAGTGTCTGATTGGTTTGTGACAATTGTTCATTCGTTGGACGATTTCAACATGAGCTGACATCATTTAGAGAACCATTCGAAAATCAACTCGGAGTATTACCAGACAGCTGTTTCTTTCGTCCTAGTTTTGGACTCTTCGGCAGTACGCACCTGCCACAAGGGGGTCGAACCCAGGACATTCTGGTTACAAGCGCAGCGAGGTAGCTCATAGACCATTAGCTACTGGAACCCGATCCAATGGCCAGTCAGTCCATGAATTCTAGCTTCTGCCAATCTAAAACATAGAGCGAACACATCTCAATGTTTTCTTCGATGAGTCACTACCTCACCTACAACCTGCTGCACCCTACTTGTCACGGCTTCCCACTAGAACCCCAGGTTAACTGCCTGAATAGGGCCAGTCGCTAGTGAGCATCAGACTAATTTTCAAGCATTGGTTATGTAGGGATTTTGTTTGATTGCATGGAGGATTTCATCATGAGCTGACATCAGTTCAGCTGTCTGGCAGTACTCCCTGCATGTTTTCTAATGATTCTCTAAATTGATGTCAGCTCTGGATGAAATCCTGCAGTCAATTAAAACATAATCCCTACAACAAAACCAATACATGAAAATTGTTCATTGGTCGACTTTACTGTAAGAATTTTTATCTGCGATGCTAATTGCAATTTAATTTTTTGTATTTATTGATTCATTAATTCATTTTCTGAACATGATTATTTGTTATTCTGTCAATTCTTAATCATTTGGGAATATTTTCTTGACTTTCTCTTCTCTTCTCTGAAACACTTGAATAATTGAAGTGTGTAAATTGGTGGTAACGCTGCTAACTGGTGTGTAGTTTATGCTGTTAAAAGAGTTTTCCATTTTATTGACAAAACATATTTGACATGTGTTTAAAGGGTGTGGTATTTAATGCTGTCTGAAGCCGAAGAAAAAAACGAGAATAGAAAATGGGAGGAATAGGAATAGGAATAAAACTCTTCCATGGAGGACCAGATTATTTCGAGAAGTTAAAAGTGTGTTCTGGAACATTGACAACTTGTTCTTCATATTTGCAATTAATAGTGTTCTCTGAGCTGGTTGGTTTAGTTGCACAGCTTTCGTCGTCATCCCTTTTCAGCGCAATATTTGGCATAAAATGAAATGATTTAAATTTCTTCATGAGTGATAGAATTGCGTCTCCCGGTAACCATCTTTACATATGTGTATTGATCATTTTCTATTGACTTGGATTTTAAACTTTCCGTCACCTGATCTACTTTTTATTAGTTGGTGGTATATTTGGTCTATATTAATTCAGTGTTTGTTAATTGCACACTGGTTTGAGTACCAGGCTTCTAGGGACTCCCTGACTGCACTTTTGGTGTTTCCTGTCTGTTTAAAATTTCGACATTATCCCAATCAAATTGATGCCATAATTGTCTATATGCATTGATATGAGAAAGAACATATATATCGTGTCTCTTCACGGTTGATTTGTGCTCCTGATTCTGATTGGAACTGGACGCCCTTCCATCTGGCCGATATAATGCTTGTAATGCCTGATCAGAAAGTTTAAAATCCAAGTCAATAGAAAATGATCAATACACATATGTAAAGATGGTTACCGGGAGACGCAATTCTATCACTCATGAAAAATTTAAATCATTTCATTTTATGCCAAATATTGCGCTGAAAAGGGATGTTGTCCAGCAGTGAGGAGACGACGAAAGCTGTGCAACTAAACCAACCAGCTAGAGAACACTAATAATTACAGATCATCGACATGAGCTACGAATCTTCTCTATTGTTCTTTATAGCTTTTTTCATACACACACGGTGATTATTTTCTGCTCTCAGAAATCTAATATTTATGTGCTCATCGCATGTCTTTATTTCCTTGCTTTATATCACTAGCAACTAGTGGAATTTGACACTTTTCTAATAAATTCTTAGACGTGAATTCATCCCATGCAAAGTTAAATGCTTAGACGACTCGGTCAACAGGTTGACTACAGTTTACAGTTTACAATTTATTTAGGATAGTAGGCTATATGCCTGTGTTAATCCTTTCGATTTATTGCATACAGGAGGTCCAATCTCGCCTTGAATGAATCAACGGATGGCGCTGATACGACGTGTTCCGGTAGGGGGTTCCAATGGTTCACAATTCGATGCGAAAAACGGATTTCCAGACGCAGACGATTCGACCGTGGGTTTTTGAACCTTGAGTGATGTCCTCGCAATTGGTTGGTGCTAGAAGGAAGAAATAATTTAGATAAATTAGCTCCAAAATCATTTCTTAGGATACGGTATGCTAGTATTAGGTCACCCCTAAGTCGTCTGTATGATAGTGGAAATAAATCCAGTCGACTTAACCTCTCCTCATATGACAGGGTTGAGAAACCCTTTATTAGCTTAGTTCCTACTCTTTGCACCCTTTCTAATAAGTCTATTTCGACTAGTAAGCAAATAACGAAAACATGGCTAGTGAATAACTACTCGCCATATTTTATTCAAAAAAATGTATGGAGACCTATAAGAAAAGCAAAATTTAGTAATGCCAATAATACTGATAATAAGTAAGTCAATACTACTGTAACAACAGAATACAAAGGTCACGCAACAGCTTCTTTATTGAGAAAAGTGAGAGGTATTCATAGATTTTTATGCACATTACTGTCAGTGGAGAAGCAACCTCTTCTGATTGGTTGTTTTTTGTTGAAGGTCACTCTGTATTGAATGGAAACAACACAAATGAAGGCCAAATAGTATGTATGACCCTTTTCAGAATACCTTTAAAACAGTCAAACGTAATATCTGACACAACACATCTCAAATTGTAACTAACTTATCGCACCTTTTTTATCCCATATATAGGAGTGGGAAATGAAATAAAATGAAGGGGTGGGAGGGCGAAATTTGTTTCAGAGATTGTTTGTTAAAACTCACCACCTTAAAATTATATCTCTTCACCCCTTTCTGATTTCCCTTTTTCCCCTCTCACCTATTTTCAGCTTGTGATCCTAAACAAGCCTATGCAACAGGTCGTGGAATTCAACCTCAGGGTATACGAGTTAAAGATTTGGCCGACTTCAAAGTGCATACAGAAGATGCTGGAGAAGGTCCATTGGAGGTGTCTGTCATTGCACCAGGTAAATTAAACTATCTGTCAGCTTCCTTTTTCACTTTTTTTCGTTTATATTTATTTATGTTTATTTCACGTTTTCTCACAAAATGACTTCTGTTAAGCGATCATTGAAAACCACAAGTCAGTATTAGAAAGGAGGTTTTGTCCTTCTTCGGGACATTTCAGCAGTACACACCTATGATCCCACGAGAGACTGAACCGAATACCTTGAGGCTGTATGGCGAGCTTGGTGACTATTCATTCACTGAGGAGGTTTCCAAAGTTAAGGTAAGGAATTCCAACTTCTACCAATTCGCGATATGTGTAGCAGGTTCAGAGATATAATACCAGCCAAATAAGAATTTGGTCCAGGGTTCGATTCCAAACTACCGAAGCGATCCTAAGTCTCACCTAAATAGTTGTAAGCCTGGTAAAGAGTGAGAGTTGAGCATAATGCCTAGCCAAGCCATTGTGTAAAAACAACACTTCCGGCGATGAAATCTCAAGGAGTATAGTATTGAATCCCTATTTCCCATGTGGTACTCAAAGGAAGAAATAAAATGACCAATCACATTATACAGCTGAAAAATCTATTTTTTCACGACGTTGTTTATGTGATTAGTGGAGTTGACTTAAACCACAGGAATAGTGCTTAAAGTCAAGTATTGAATGATTAGAGGCAATTGCTGATTGGTATTCGCTTCAGGGGTGTTGAAGAGTAAATCCTTTAGTTCACCAGTCACAACCTTAACAGCAACAGCAACAGACAGCAATCAGGATAAGTGGGAGAAACCTGAAAGAAGAAACATCCTCTATCAACCTACCTGGGAAGCATCGCTTCAACTACAGGTGTAGTCAAATGATGAGAGTATCAAAGCAGCGAGAATCGGGAAAGCAAGACAAGCTCTCATTGCTCTCAAGTCCTTGTGGAGGTCAATAGCAGTCAGCATGAAAAAAGATCCGGATTTTCAACTTCAATGTGAAGTCAGTGCTACCTACTATACGGATCAGAGACTTGCACTGCGCGTCATAAAGAGCACCTCTGAAAAACTACAGACCCTCATCAACAGCTGTCTTCGCTTAATACCACTCAAGATCAGATAACCATTCAGGAGAGATCAACAACAGGGATCTCTGGCATTGAGCGAACCAACCCACCAGGAACCAATTGTGCAACAAATAAGATGGAAGAAATAGAGGTGAATGGGATTGGCCATACTCTGAGGAAACTATCAAGTGACATTACTAGACAAGCCCTCGAGTGGAACCGGAATGATAAGTAAAGAGTTGGTCGTCAGTTCAAGGGTGATACAGAGGAGGCCATGTGAAGAGGAGATGAAAGCATGTGGGCAGAACTGCAGCCAGGTGAAAACTTCAGCTGAGAACCGAACGCATTGGAGACGTACAGCTGAAGCCCTGTGTTCCTCTAGGAATTAAAGGAAATAATAATAATCAGTCACAAATGTTACTACTACGATATTCAGCCTCTGACATCCAACGGACTATCAATCAGCAGGCATGGCAAGAGTAAACAATAGACACCAAAGTCAAATGACCTTGATTTGACCAATCACATAGCTCAGAATTACAAATGGTCATAACTCCCGTTGAAAATGTCTCCTAGATTCGGTTTTTCAAATTCCCTGTGGAAAATGTCTTCATAGGAAGGTAAAAAACATGCATATTGTGCTGGGCTATTGATGGTTATACATTCAGATGCAACCACTTTATATGAGGAGGCCTGTATAAGTTGGTAAGTCGTACATGATCGGTGATATTTTTTAGACACATCTCGAAATCAAAGCTCTCCCGTAGTATTATATTGCGTACATGAAACCAGTATCTGCTACAGCCGGAAAAATAGAGAATAAGAAAAAGGCACAAACAGTGAAGAAAGTTTTCTTTTTGATGATTCATTTTCACGAGTTGTTGTACAATCGTAATTATATTTAACAAAGATACCTTTAGACCAATTAGATAGTGGTAAATTTTTTCCTTGAAAAATTGTATTACATAATGTAAGGTGTAAGAAGGGATGAAAGAAGTTGGCATGACGTAGTAAGTGTGAGATAATGAATAGTCACTAAGCTCGTGTAGAATGGACAGGAACTAGTAGAAAGGCGATAAAGTGTTTTTACATAAAATCTGTATGAAAAAGCAATGTTATTAATAAACAGTAATAGGCTGGTAATAAAATGTGGATGATGTGAATAATAATGATAATAAAAGTATTAATAACAATCACAATGATAATAAAAGTGAACTTACATAATAAAGGAAAGAAACAAAATTATAGTAAGAACTTTACTCTGGCCATGGTAGGGCGATAGAATGTATGTATCGCTTTTGAATGCAGAGGTCCGGTTTCAGATCTCGAATAGCTAATGTTTCAGCTATGTATGTGCAGATGGCGTATCCGAAGTCGCTTTGTACGATACTGAGAAACTCTGTGTATCATTGTCAAGCGTTCATGCAGGCAGGGGTGCTTGATGTCCGGAGATGACAAGGTGTTCGAGGATAGACCTGCTGCTATTCTTCTTTTCTTGTCTGGCTGGTTAACCAAGCTTTGCAGTATTCCAAAATACGTTTGTGAACTTGACGTACGAGACGTACGGTCGATATACTTTGCTCCACACGAGCAAGTAAATTGATAAATACACATTGAAGTGGTCAAAAGCGGTATCTTGTCTTTAGCATTAGACTGAATTACCCTTTATGATTCATTTTTGTTACATATATACCGTAGTTACACTAAGTACTCCTTTCCACCTAGAAGAATCTAATTGGTTGTTTCACGGTCGTCTGAAGTTAGTGTCTATTCTTTACTGTTGCCATAAGCTCTAATTACAATCAACTGGAGAAATTTAATTAGAAATGATGAACATTAGAATACACCTATGCGATATATTCGAAGTTAGGCGGCAACATATAATCATGTTAATTACATCACTGACTATCGTGAACTGACATGAGCAAACGAAAATCAAATTTTGTAAGCCTTTCAGCATGTCACTTGGTAGCTATAAACTTGCTTCTATATTAGCATGTATCGCTGAGTAGCGCTCAACATTCATGTTTCTACTGTTCTCCTAATTCTGCCTGACAAAACAACTTTCATTTCACCAGAAAAAGGAATCCTTCAAAAGTGACAGATTAGATTATGAAAAAAAAGAAATCATTAGTCATCAGATCGGGTTCCAGTAGCTTAATGGTTTACGAGCCAGCTCGCTTTACAGCCGAAAGGTCCTAGGTTCGAATCCCGGTGGTGGGTGCCTACTGCTGAAGAGTCCCAAACTAGGGTGACTAAAACAGCTGTCGAGTTTTCTAACTGATGTCAGCTCATAATGAAATCCTCCAAGCAATCACATAAAAAAGGAATAAATTAATAAGTGCCTCTCAGTTAACTATGTGTATTAATTATATTTAATTAAAAAAAATATATTATAAAAACAGTAATAGTAATAATAAATTTACAAGGTTTTTATGTACCTTTAATAACTATTAGTTTTCCATTTTTTAATTCTCTTTCTTCTTCGTCTTCTCTTCCTTCGGGTCTTAATGGTTCATTTTCATGATTAATTAACAAATCATTTTCTAGCGGTGTTTACCGTTTCCCCAAAGATGAATGGTATTCAGAAAAGATTGTATGACGATATGTCTCCATGTGTGTGTGTGTGTGAAGACTTTTGTTTTAGGCGTACACTTTACTCCATTTTATTCTAACAAGGTGTTTTAATTATTGTTCAATAGTGAAGGGATAAAGTCAATCGCACATTTTTTGTTTATTTTCAAACTTCCATTTATCGATTAAATTATAGCGCCTAATTTATATTCTGATGATATAAAACAAAAAATGAACAAAAAAGGAGCTCTAACTAGTCTATTAGTGTAAATGGTGTTATTTTTTACAGCGTTTTTTTATTATCTAAAATGTTATATTCCACATCTCATGTGCTTCACATTATTTCTAAGATGAAAATGTCGGCGACAAATTAATGATGGTAGGGTAAGATAAGAGGTAAGAGATGTTCACTTTATCCTACAAATGAAGTTCACTGTGTCTACGTGAATGTAATCTCTTAGAAAGAAATATGCATTCCATTGCAATGAGTTCCTCATCATTGGCTTTACACTTATATATTTTATTTATTTTTTGATGTGGTTGTATTCTCTGAGCTGGATAGTTAATTAACGAAGCTTTCATCGCTCTACTAGGCGACATCTTCAGCGAATACTTCAATTCGAGGAAGTGAGCTTTTGGATTTCTCCACGAGTTTATTAGTCATCTCTCCTGATGGTAGCTTTGAACGTGATTGATTGTTTTTGTGTGTTTTCACACCTTCTAGGTTACTTGTATTGGAACTGATTGTTTCTTTGACTTGAGCTTTGACCCTTTGTGTGGTTGAGGTTCTCTTCTTATAGGTTGGTAAATTTTGTCTATCTTGATGTGTCTATTGATTAACGATTCACTGGAATACCAGAAAGGTTTCTAAAAATTCCCTACCATTCTTGGTATTTCCTCTGTCTAATATTTGAACATTGGTTGTCCCAGTCGAATTGTTGTCCATGGTTGTCTGTATGCGGTGATATGAGGGGATTGATGTGAAGACGAAGGAGACGTCCACTTTGATCAATGTAGTGTTCTTCACACTTGTTACAAATTATTTAGTAGATGATGTTGGTTTTATCTTCTTGCATTGTTGAGTCTTTTGGTTGACACAGAGGCGGCCAACCAGCTGAGTGAAGTGATTTTGTTGGTTTGTGTACGACGTCAATTCCTAAAGGTGTTTGAAGAGTCTTGCAGTGATTTCTGAGATATCCTTTATATACGGTAGGGAGTTTTTCTTTGTGCTTTCCTTGGGGGCCTTTGATTCATCAAAATAATACCAAAGCTGTGTGTTCAAAAGAGGTTTGTGCCACAACCCTTTTTTTACCATGGTCAACTGTGTAATAGGCAAAAACACAGTTCTTTTTTTGTTCAGCGAAGAAATACTGTTCCTTCTCAACAACTTCATTTTCAAGCCAACTGTACAGTCGTGTATTTACGTTACCACAAAAGACATTACGTGGCACTAGAAATTGATTAATTGATATACCTATGATATTACCTTTACGGATCTGAAACTTGACCAGCGGGTCAGAAAGAATATTTCCAACAGCCTGTTGAAAACCAGACCTTTATTAACAACAACTGTCTTCGCTGGCTCTATACTGAAGATCAGATGACCGGGCTCGGCCGGAAAGAATCACCAACAAGAAACTATGGGCACAAACAAACAAAACAAGAACCAATCGCCAACCAACAAATATGCAGGAGAAAGTGGACTGAGATGGATTGGACACTAGCTGAGGTGAGGCCTCTGGGTGGCATCGCGCGCGCATCAGCCCATTGCTCGAGTGGAACCAGGCCGAAATGGAAGCAAGTGGCGAGTGGGACGTCAGTTCAAGGGTGACATGGAGGAGATCTTGTGAAAAGGAGTTGAAACAGTCAGTATGGAGCAACATGGATGCAGGTGAAAAGTACAGCAGAAGACAAAAGCAAGTGAAGACGTGCAGTTGAAGCCCTATGTTCCACTAGGAACTCAAGGGAGCAATAATAATAATATGTTAATAACAATAAAGATAATTAAAATGATGTACCAAGGAGGTCGAGTTGAGGTGGATGAATTACAAAACCTTTAAAGATTATTAAATAAGTGAACTGGTGTTTAGATTATAAAAATAGTAGGTCAGGTATTGTCTAAAAAAATTAAGAGTACAATGATGATAACAATAAAGATGGTTATGCATAAGTGGAGTAAAACGTAAGCTTTCGGAGTGATTGGATTTAGTCCCGTAGATGACTTTAAAGGATAAATCACGTGTGGGGGGCTGAATAACCTGACTCCAGAAGGTTTTTACAGAATGAAGACTTTGTTGTCCTTTGCTGACCTTTCATTAACCAAACTTGGTGGTTTTCAGCTACGCGTTTACGTAGAATACACTTACGACATCGAATATAATCAACAGAAGCTTCAACAAATCAAAGTCAGATTTTCAGGTATTGGTTTTGTAGGGATTTTGTTTGATTGTATGGAGGATTTCATCATGAGCTGACATCACTTAGAGAACAACTGGAAAACCTAGGAGTACTGGACAGCTGTTTCGTCCCAGTTTGGGATTCTTCGGCAGTGCGCACTTCAGCAGTATGCTCACTAGCGACTGGCCCTATTCAGGCTGTTAACCTGGGGTTCTAGTGGGAAGCCGTAACATGTAGGGTACAGCAGATTGAAGATGAGGCAGTAACTCATCAAAGAAGACATTGCGAAATGGTCGCGCTTTATCGTGCATGAATTGGCAGAAGTTAGAATTCAAGGACCATTAGATCGGGCTCCAGTGGCTTAATGGTCTACAACCTAGCTCACTGGGCTTGTAATCAGAAGGTCGTGGGTTTGAACCTTCTGTGATGAGCGTGTACTGATGGAGAGTCCCAAACTAGGACGAAACAGCTGTCCAGTACCCCTGCAGGTTTTCCAATAGTTCTCTAACTGATGTCAGCTCATGATGAAATCCTTCATGAAGTCAGATTTCTTTGTTTGTTGATATTGGTAAGTGCTGTTTGAATATCCATTTGGTGTCCCAATTCAATTATAGGTCGGTTAACGCCTTGAATTCGAAATGTCATCTAGGCAGGCATTTTCACTGGCGCTTACATTTCTATGTTCAAGTCAAAAACCTTCGTTAATTGCAACGACGTGTGTATTTGAAACATTTTTCGCTAGATTTCAACGTTCTGGGGCAGTCTAGCCCAGTCATCTACGCCATCAATAACATAAATTGGCAAAATCCCTAACAAACCTTCTTTATGCGTATTGAGATGTCGTCAGCGATCCGTCCTATGCGACTGATGCAACTTCTCAAACAAATGAAGTGGTCAATACGCATTCCCATTTCACTTCCCTACTTGATGTTGGAGTTGATTAAGACTAGTCATGTGGTATTATCTTATATTTTAACAGGGTTTATTCACATGCCAAACATTCCAAGATTCCTGCTGTAGGTGTTGTTGACAAGACCGCATTATGCCAGTGTCTTCCCCCAGGGTAACAATACCATCCTTCAACTCTAAGTCTAACAGACTGCCCCCACCCCGTAACAAGCCGATCTTTAAGTTAATAAACACAGTTACTGCCAATTCCATTAGTTTTCAAGTATTGCTTTTGTAGGGATTTTTGTTTGATTGCATGGAGGCTTTCATCATGAGCTGACATCAGTTAGAGAACTATTGGAAAACCTGCAGGGGGTACTGGACAGCTGTTTCGTTCTAGTTTGGGACTCTTCATCAGTACGCACCCACCGGGGTTTGAACCTAGGACCATTGGATCGGGTCTCAGTGGCTTAATGGTCCACGAGCTCGCCTTGTAACCGGAAGGTCCTGGGTCCGAACCCCGGTGGGTTCGTACTGTTGAAAATTCCCAAAGTCGAACGGAGGAAACAGCTGTCCAGCACTCCCAGGTTTTCCAGTGGTTCTCTAACTGATGTTAGCTCATCATGAAATGCTCCATGCAATTCCATTAGTACTATTACAATAGAATTAAACAAAAATGGGTGCATTGGTCATCCATGATGAACACTACTTATCTTAATCACTTCAATCTAGTCCAAACCTGTTTAAATCGAAGTTATATATGTATGGTCAGCACTTCTTAATGAGGACATTTTATGACTGTATTTGTTTTTTTCAACTTTTAACTTTAGATGGTAGAGGTATCCCATGCACAAGTCGTAAAACTGGCGCTTATCTATTCGACTGCAGTTATACACCACAACGACCAGGTACACATCAGGTCAATGTTCGTTATGGGGGTGATCATATTATGCTTAGTCCGTTCACAGTAAGTCTATAGTGAATTGTGAATAACTTCCGATCGATAGTTTTATATTATATGCTGTTATATGGGCTTTGGGATCATATTGTGAATGTATGTGTGTGCGTGTGTGTGTGTGTGGGTATGTGTGTCGATTTCATCTCCCACTAGTATTAGTATAAAACTTCAATCGAACGCTAATCAATCAGTTACATTTTGGATTTGAAATGCTTTCGTGTCAGTCTGTCGTCGATCAGTCTTGGAACAACAATTTATACTGATTACCAGTGGACATACGAGATCAGCGAGTGGAATACGGATTTTTTCTTATTCCTTCACGTTCCCAGTGGAACATAGGGCCACTTCAAGCTAGAGACTTGAAGTTGCGGCAGTTGTGGTGTTTATTTTTACGGAATGGGATTGCCAGTCTCATACCCAACCTTCCCTCTTTACCAGTCTTATTACTGGTTAAGCGAGGTAAACAAGTGTGTCGGTGGCCGGGAATCGAACCCTGAACCACATGAGGCCTGGTCGGTGAGCATTCTACCCCTGTGCCACCGATGCGCACTATTCAGTGTTTAGCAAGTTTCAATTAAATTAATTGTAGTCTGTAGTTGATAGTTTCGTCTGATAATAAAATATTGTTTTACAACCCACTTGTAACTTGTCAGCATGGTTCTCTGACATTCAAAGGGACGATGGTACCGCTTTTGTTTTTTTATTTGCTATATTATCAACTAAGATTCCATATTATTTTATTGTAAATAGTAGACTTTCCTTTAAAGCTGTACATTGCGCAGCTTTTAATGTTTTTTATAACTGATACACTTTTTTTAATAATAATGATAATAGGTAGAGGTAGCGCCTTACAAAGAATCACGTATTCGTGCATTTGGACCAGGTCTTGTCGGTGGTGTTGTCAATAAACCAGCTGTTTTTGTCGTTGAGACAAATGGAGAAACTGGTGCTTTGGGTAAGTTTATATCAATCAGTCAATAAATTCATAACTCATAGAATTTTTAACGCATGCAAATTTCACTTTGTTCGTTGAACACGTTGATGATTGTTTTTTACTTAATTGAAAAACTGTTTCAGCCCTAGTAGACTGAATGTTCGAATAAAAATATCCTCTGCAATACAAAAAGGCTCTTGTGGTATTCAATTATTATAATTATTATTTCCTTTAGTTCCTGAAGGAACATAGGGCTTCATCCAAACGTTTTTGTTGCGTTCGGTTGTCTGCTAAAGTTTTCACCTGGCTCCAAGTCTGCCCACATGCTTTCATCTCGTCTTCAAATGATCTCCTCCAAGTCACCCTTGGACGACCAACTCGCCGCGTCCATTTCGGGGTCCACTCGAGCGCTTGTCACTTGATGGTTTCTTTCCTCAGAGTATGGCCAATCCACCTCCATTTCTTCCTCCTTATTTGTTGTACAATCGGTTCGTGGTTGGTTGGTTCATTGCCAGAGGTTTCCGTTGTTGATCTTTTCTGGCCAGCCATCTGATCATGAGTACTGAACGAAGACAACTGTTGATGAAGGTCTGTAGTTTGTTTGAGGTGCTTTTTATGACGCGCCAAGTTTCTGATCCGTATAGTAGCACCGACTTCACATTGGAGTTGGAAATCCGGATCTTATTTTTTGATGATGAATGCTACTGACCTCCAGATAGAACTGACAGTAATGATAGCTTGCCTTGCTTTCCCAATCCTTGCTTTGATATCCTCATCAGTTCCGATGACCTGTAGTTGAAACGATGCTTCCCAGATAGGTTGGTAGAGGATGTTGCTTTTTTCAGATTTCTCCCATTTATGCTGATTTTTGTCTGTTGTTCTTGTTGCTGTTGGTGTTGGCCAGGAATCTTCATCTACTACCTCTGTCTTCTGTATGTTCACCTGGAGTCCTATTTTTGATGCTTCCTCTACCGCCAACTTGTTGCTTTTCACTTGCATATCTTCCAGTTTGTGGGAAGTCCAGATCCTCCAATTTCTTCGTGAAGGTCCATTTTAAGCCCGTTTCGTCAATGTGCCATTTAATGACTGGTATAATCTCTGACATGGACGTCATATCCAAGTATCCATTAAGCGAGCATGTATACTACAGACAGAGGAGTGTACTCCATATTCCTTTACGACTGTGAGACGACAATGCCGTTGAAAGTGACAGATATGAAGAGGTTGGCAGTCTTTGAACCTAGACGTTTGCCTTCTGTCCTTCGTGTTACATGGTGTCTTAGAGTATTACGGTAAGCAATGGAAGTCAATAGATGAGTTTATAAAGGTGCACCAACTGAGATGACTGAGATATGTGTAAAATTCTTCTCCTCTTACAACAAATGCGGAAGAAAACTATAAAAATCAAGTTTTAAAGTTATTGATATAATAACAAATGATAACAATAATCATGAACGGCGAATTGTATTCACAACATCATGCTGCAAACAATACAGTTTCACTATGCGTGTGAAATATGCAATATCTAATAAACAAATAACTATGGAATTCTACACCCCCTATATGTATTACTTAACTCCGATATAAGTAGTTTACAACCTATTTTGAGCGAACAGTTATTTTCTTCTTCAGGCTTTACAGTTATAAATCCATGAATAATATAGTACATATAGCTAATAAAGGCAAATGAAAATAATATCAGAAACTGTGTAGGGGTGCATGTGCAAGTTTAGATGATAGTCCATTAGTTAACATGATCAAATGAGTTTAGGGTGTATAGTCAGAAAAAATGTGATGAAGTGTGAATGAACAATTGGGTGATACAGTGCTGTTTTATAGTCAACAGAATACAAGTGTCCTTGGGGTGAGAGAAATGCGACAACCACAAAATACACAAAAACACACATTAACAAAGGGGACACTGAATGTGAGGTCTGACCGACAATGTCTAATGATAAAATAAAGAGGTTAAATTGTAAATTGTAACAAGATGTTACACATTTGGTAGGCTTAGTATAAAATCAAGAGGTTGACAAAAAGTAAGGGTACCAATGAGTTGAAATAAACTGGGTGGAGAAATGGATAATAAAGACATGATATCACAAAAAGTGTGCGTCGGTGGCACAGTGGTTAGGACTCTCGCCGACCATGAACATGGTCCGGGGTTCGAGCCCACGCCGGCGCACACATGATATCTATGGTCGGCCTGCAAAATTTGGGCTACCGGTATCCATGCTGAAAATTCCATACTTGTACCAAAAATACAGTGTGGAATCAAGCTGTAAATCGAAAAAAAATAATAATGATAATAATAGTACGAAAAATTATGATCCTGGTGACCTTATGGTGGGCCAGAGTAGAAAAAGAGAGTGAATAAGTTTACTCTGTACAAATTTCTGACCAAGAACTAGAACTTAGGACAAAAGTGCCACTTGAGGACATAATGCTAGGAGTGCAGCTATGCCTGACTTTCACAGTATTTAAACTCCAAAGGAAAATATACAAACAAACTGACGGAGTTGCCATGGGATCACCGATATCCCCGGTTGTAGCAGATATATTCATGGATAGGTGGGAGGAGTTAGCGATTGAAACGTTCACCCCCACCCCAAAAGTATGGTAGAGGTATGTACATGACACATTCATTGTACTCAGAACACAAGATATAGAGAGATTTTTCGAACACATCAACTCGAAGGTAGAGGCAATTCAATTCACTTATGATGAATTGGAAAGCCAGGAAGGGAAGCTTCCAATGCTAGATTGCAACGTAAAAAGGAAAGAAGATGGGAAGATAAGCACACTAGTGTTTACAGAAAACCCACACATTCAAACAGATATTTGGACTTCCGATCATCCCATCCTATGTCAGTAAAAAAAGTATTCGTGAAATGTTTAAATGACAGAGCATAAAAACTAAGTAGTACCAAGGAAAGTCTAAGACAGGAAGTGATACACATAAAAGAAGCCTTGAAACTTAATAATTACCAGAATAAATTAGTCAGGAAATGTGTAAGGAAATGTAAAAGTAAAGTAAATAATGATAGTAGCGATAGTGACAATAATAATGATGATAACAATAATAATGATAATAATAATAATAGTGATAATAATAATGATAATAATAATATTAATGACGACAGCAACAATGAAGGATCTAAATCGCCAGTAGTAATTCCATACAAGGAAGGAACCCCAGAAACCACCTCACGCAGAATTCTTAACAAGGCAGGAATAAAAGTGGCTGGCATTCAAACCCAAAAACTCAATTAGAAACAAGCTTTATCAGTTAAAGGATCAATCTTGTGGAGCCAATTAAACAAAACAATTTAATTTATCTATTACCCTGCCTGAGATGATTGCCAGGTGAAATACATAGGTCAGACTAGTAGAATGTGGCAGTCAGACTAGCAGAACATAAACTCCTAGCAAAATCTAGATTGATTGACTCGAATAAGATAAGAAATCTAGAGAATAGTTCAGCTATGCCACTGACTACATGCAGTTACACACAATACAACCATACAATAGGATGGATGGGATAGGATGACAGCTGTAAAATCTGATGTAATAGCAGGGTGGAGGGAGAGATTGATAACAGAAGCTTTGTTTATCGAATCAACTTCAAATACATGTAATAGGAACGATTCAACACCCGTCCCAGATATCTTGGGGATTCGACTACTCCAACGACGACAAATAGGAGAGGACAAAGAAAACTATAAAACTCAAATTTCGAAGTACCTCGATTATAATTGATGAAATGATTATGAACCATAATTAATTGTGTTCGAAACTGTGTCATCCAGTAAATAATAATACTGTTTCACTCACTGTGTGATACATCTAATAAACAAACTAATATAGAATTACTTACTACCACAGTGCCCAAGTTTTACACATATATTAACACATAGATCTGGTATCTCTCTATAAATCTCTAAAGCTTCAGCTATGTCTAGGGGGCGTAATCGTTTGCCTTTGGAGAGATTGTTCGGTACTCGATACACAACTGTATATGACTCATCTACTTTGATGCTGTGTTCGCTATCCCACTAGATGAGACAGAATTGCACTATTTAATGATTTGGTTGCTCTAATCCCCAGCCAAACATGAATATGTTCACGAGTAGGTAAAGATAAATTCCTCTGGGTACGACCTATATAACTAGCTCAAAATCTTGTTTTGATTTCAATATGGGGATTATTCATTGACATCCTATTTAAAAATTGATGCCAATATTTAATTTAAACATAGTCATATTTATTGGCTAGCTAATGTGTAGTGATGAAATAAACGCTTCGTTGAAGCTGTCAGTCAACTAACTAATCCTTATTTCAAACATGTAACAAACGATTACAATAACACCTATCTAGAAGAAATAGTATCAACGAATATATTCCTACTTATGTATAAATCTTCGTCTCCTGGCGTTGAATAGTTTCAGTGGGAGGTATGACCTCTTTATCTTTCTGCTTCTGTGCCTCTCCATCTGTTCTGTTTCCTGTTTCACGCTTAAATTAACAGCAGTATTCTCAATTCTATGATATATATATATATATATATATATATATATATATATATATATCAGCAGTCTGTTAGAATACAGGGTGTAACTTCGAAGTCCAACTTGAGTAATCATTAATAAGTTCATGTAGTCAGGATGCAGATGTTTCACCATTTTATAATATGAAACCCTCTATGTGCTAGTGTGTTCTTATTAGTTAGTGTATGCGTGAAAGTGACAATCAAATGTGTCCATTAGAAATGAAATTCCACTCATACATACATACATACATACATGCACACAAATATTTATCTGTACATTTATTTATTACTTATCGACATATTCAGTAGTTTATAACTATCGGAAACCAACATACAATGATACACATGAAGTTTAATGAAGTAGATGTTGTTCGCTTATAAAATTACTTTCAGCGTACTTATTTCTTCCCATAAAATAAATATTATTTTATGTGATTGACATAAAACTGTTTCAATATTCTAGGGGAAACCCCCTCCCTCCAGAAAAAATAAACTTCATTAAAGGCTGTGATAGGCAATAAAACTTTATTCTAGTAAATAAATAGAAATAAATAAAACTAATCTGACTGGCTAAAGGATAAAATTACCTGTAGTTCTAGCGAGAAGTCGTGACCAGGTTGGGGGAGGGGTAAATCCGGTCTGGGAGTGAAGACAAATACTTGCTCTAAAATCACGGATTGGTAGAGGTTAGAATTCATCAGCTAAGTCATTGAGTCAAGTCCCAATGTCTGATTCACCTATGAACTTGACTTGTACCCGAAAGGTCCTGGGTTCGAACCCTTACGGCGAATGAGTCCTAAACTAGGAGGATATAACTGTTCAGTACTTACCACCAGGGTTCAAATCTAGAACCCTTCAGGTACAAGTCAAGTTCGTAGGTCATTCAGACATTGGGACCTGACTCATTGGTCAGTCCATGAATTCTAATTTCTTCCGATTCGTAGTTTTAGAGTGAGCATTTATCCTCGTTCACGACCGGATAAACCCACTTCAGATGACAACTCGCTGTAAGCCCTCACCTGGATGCTTGAGTTCGAGTAGAGTGCCTTAATCAATGCCGAGAAAATACATTGCACTAATTAAGGCACTCTACTCGAACTCAAGCAGCCAGCCAGGTGAGAGCTTACGGCGGGTAGTCATCTGAAGTGGTGACGACTAGTGGTGTCCTTCAGGGATGCCCGTTATCCCCATTTCTATTCAATTTCATCATAGATATTACTAGATATACTAATGGATTTAACCCTAACTCACTTCAGAGACTCAGCGATTGACTTGTCACCAGGGAATAATCTCGTTGACTTAGAATATGCAGATGATATAGTCCTTCTAGACGAGGACGCTAACAAAATCCAGAGTCTTCTGAACACCCTGAGCTGCAATCTACGAATGTTTGGCATACGATTCGCTCCTGCCAAATGCAAGATGATGTTACAAGACTGGACTACACTGACTCCTAGTTTAGAAACAGGGAGTGAAGTGGTAATGCGACACCATAGCTTAGATGGATTTCCACGGCTGTAATGTTGGCTGGTTTAAATTCGAGTGTTTTTTTTTCAAGGGTAGAGTCATGAAGTTACATTCCACGGATTAATTGATTGATGAGTATAGTTGTATTCCATTCACACGATGAGATGCAACTTAGCGTCACTGGATTAATTGTAGAATACTCTTCAACTACACCAGGAGTCCGGCTTCGATTTCCGGATGACACACTTCTAAACTTTGTTTAGCCGGTAGTGCGTCTAGTGAAGAGGGAAGGTTGGAAGTGGAACTAGTAGCTCCCACTCCTTACGAGCAAGATTAGTGCTACTGAAATTTCTATAGTTTGAAGCCTTATGTTCCTAAAGTTGGGAAGCATAAGAATGAGCCACACATATTATGTGAAGGTTGGTGATCGTCGGTGGAATGATCGTTGAATTAGTGAACTTTCTACATGATGTGCTTTACGATAGACGATCTCAGGCATCTATTTCCAGGGTTAGTTGAATTGATCGATACCATTTATTCTTGCAAACATTTAAAAAATGGTCAAATACTGGTTTCGTGGGGATTTTGTTTGAGTGGTCACAGGATTTAATCATAAGTTGACATCGGTTAGAGAACCCTTGGAAAACCTGGGAGTACTGCCAGATGGCTTTTTCGCCAGCCTAGTTAGGGCCTCTTCACCAGTACACACCCACCGTGGGTGTTCGAATCAAGGACATTCTGATTACAAGACGAGATAGCTCGCAGACTGTGAAGCCACTGGGATGAGAAAGTACTGGGTTCGAACCCTGGTGGATGCGTACTGCTAAGGAGTCCCTAACTAGACTGGCGAAACAGCCATCTGGTAGTACTCTTAGGTTTTCCAGTGATTCTCCAGCTGATATCAGTTCATGATGAAATCCTCTAACTTATGAATATTTCAATGGTTAGAATTTCGTCACAAACCAAAATCACTTAGAGGAATCATTGGAAACCAGGGATGCGTTTTGTAACCCTATCCTGCAGAGACCACAAGCCCCCCCCTCCTATGCACTTGTGATCACACACACACACACACATTGGGAGGCAGCACTCATTCGTATACTCTTTCGTTTTCTTTATAAAAATGGACATTGTTGTAGAGTAGTTTCTATAAGGTATGTTCGGCGGTCAGAATTAGGCAATTACTGTTGAACATTTGTAGAAACACCTCATTGAGAGCTAATCGAATTGTCATTTCTACCATGGCATTCAATGAAAATTTGAGGACATTTATGAAGTAATCATATTTTAGTCAAGTTTTCGTTCGGATTATCATAAACAGTAGTCAAAATTTTATCACAGTGAATGCTTACTACTGTTACACTGTGATACCGAAGTATGATCAACCACAGTTGTTGTCTCTTTTTTCATTCCTTTTCATCTGGATTAGAAAAAAAGGTCTTCAAGCTTTGAAGCTCTAGTATTACCAGTGTTCTTTACCAGATATGGAGTTGCTAGCCTCATTCCCAACCTCCCACCTTTCCCAGGCTTGGTTAACAAAGTAGTCTAGGTTTAGGATTGCATTTGCAGAGGTTGAATCTCATACCTTCCATGCGGTTGATGAACATCCTGTCACTTACGTCAGTAGTAAATATATAATTCTTCTTCTTTTCCTTTTGACTTTCTTCTCTTAAAGGCTTTTCTATTGAAGGTCCAAGTGAAGCTAGAATTGATTGTACAGATAATGGTGATGGATCAGCTACTGTTGCATATTGGCCAACCGCTCCTGGTGAATATGCTGTGCATATTTTATGCAATGATGAAAATATACCAAAATCTCCTTTCATGGTACCAATTGAACCAGATATGGGTAAATGTGATCCAGAAAGAGTAAGTTTCACCAGACTGGAATAACAATAATAACCAATAGTCCTTTTTGTTCAAAGTAATAATTCACTTTTTCAATGCAGATTCCGTCATACACTGACAAAACTTAAGAAATCATTAGAAACCAAGGAGTGATAAAGAGCTGTTTCGTCCTTGTTTGTGACTCTTCAGCCATCCAAACCCATACCGCCACACCACCAGGCATTCTACGCAATACCTTCCAGTTACACAACAAGCTAACTGGCCATTTAGCCATCAAGATGGAATCTGATGGTACATCAATTCTAAAGAACTCTTGTTGTAAACTGAAGATTCTGGGTTTGATTTCTGATGAAGAGTCCAAAACTATGACAAAACACCTGTCTAGTACTCCTTGGTTTTATTCATCGATTCTGTCACTGAACACAGCTCGTGACCATATATTAATACGAATCAAAATGTGAATAGTTTGTGTCGCATGTTTTCTCTAATTTTATTTTAATTTTTGCAGGTTAAAGCACATGGACCAGGTATAGCGCCAACAGGTAATGTCGCTGGACAACCAACAGAATTTATTGTTGATATAAGAGATGCTGGAGGTCCTGCACCATTGACAGTTGAATGTAGAGATAATGAAGGTGAACCAGTGGCATTAAAAGTTCGTGACAACGGGGATGGTACATACACCTGTAGTTATACACCAAAAGTGCCCAAGAAGCATACAGTACTTGTTTCATACGGTGGAGTTAATATACCTAGAAGTCCTTTCAGAGTAAGTTATAGTCAGTCAATTTAATAATTCATAAAATGCTTCTATTTTTATTCATTTACGTTCCCCAGTGGAACATGGGGCTACTTCAAGCTAGAGTCTTTTTTGAAGTTTCGGTAGCAGTGGAATCTATTTTTACAGGATATCGTTAATAGCCTTATCCTGAACCTCCCTCTTTATCAGTCTTATTATTGGCTTACCGAGGTAAAGGAGTGTGTCAATGGCCGGGAATCAAACCAAAAAGCACATGAAACGAGGGTGGTGAGCATTCTACCACTGTGCCACTGAAGCACTTTGACATTAAAGAAAGGCGTCTGTAGACAAGAAGCCTCTGTATATCCGACGGTAAATCAGAGTTCATTTAACATGTGAAATAATAGTCCAGAAATGTTAGGTGTTTTAATGTCAGTAAGCTGGAGCTCATATTTTTCATACAGCATGTTAAATAGATATTCTTATTCAGTCACATCTTATTGTTGATATCTGCATGGCGCATTTATTCTTTGTGAAATCAACTTCGTTAAGTCTACGATTATCACTGATTTCAACCAGGTACATCTAGGTATAAACTTTAAGGGTATGAATTTGGAATCCTAGGGTGCAGCTACATCTCTGCATCATCTCGTCACGAGATCAGAAAGAAAGATAAACTGTATTCTGTAGATATGATAGAGAAGATTTGTAGCTCAGGTGGATGATTTCGATGTGGTTGTGTTTACCGATCTGGATAGTTAATTCGCGAAGCTTTCATCGCCCTGCTAGGCGACATCTTCAGCGCATGCTTCAGTTTATTGAAGTGAGATTTCAGATTTCTCCACGAGTTTATTATTCATCTCTCCATGTTACCTTGGACGTGATTGGTTGTTGTGTGTTTTCACACCTTTTAGGTTACTTGAATTGGAACTGATTGTTTCTTTGACTTGAACTTTGACCCTTTGTATGTGGGGTTTCTTCCTTATCCTTTGATAAATTTTGTCTATCTCGATGTTTCTATTGACTGACGATTCACTGGAATACCAGGCAGGCTTATAAACATTCTCTAGCATTCTTGGTGTTTCCTCTGTCTGTCTAATATTTGAACGTTGGTTGTCCCAGTCGGATTGATGTCCGTGGTTGGCTGAATGTAGTGATATGAGCGAGTAGATGTCAGGTCGAAGACGAAGGGGACATCCACATCCTCGTATCCACGGATATAAGCTAGCCGTCAAAAGACATGACATCCACTCCCTCATATCGCCTCACAGCATTCAGCCAACCACGGACATCAATTCGACTGGGACAACCAACGTCCAAATATTAGACAAAAGAAATACCAAGAATGCCAAGGAATTTTAAGAAGCTAGCCTGGTATTCCAGTGAATCGTAAATGAATAGACACATTGGGATAGACAAAATTTACCAACCGATAAGAAGGAAACCTCAACCACACAAAGGGTCAAAGTTCAAGTCAAAGAAACAATCAGCTCGAACAGAAATACAAGTAGCCTAGAGGGTGTGAAAACACGCGAAAACAACCAATCACGTTCAAGGTGGTTACCATCAGGTGAGATGACTAATAAACTCGTAGGGAAATCTAAAAGCTCACTTCAATTCAAACTGAAGTATGCGCTGAAGATGTTGTCTAGTAAGGCGGGCAATGAAAGCTTCGCAAATTAACTATCCAGCTCAGAGAACACAACCACATCCAGACTGTATTCTCTGTAAGAAAAGTACCTGGATTGAATGTTTAGACATTTCCAACAGCTTCGTTTCTTTTCCGTAGAAAAAGAATTTAGTAAAAGCATTTATCTGTAAATTGTGAAGTGATTAAAGTGTTCAGGAGTTCTGATTAGGAATGAGCTAAAGGGTATATACAATTGCTTGAAAATGCACATGGCTAAGAAAGTCGAAAAGGTCTACGTTGCATTTATGAACAAGAAGTTACTGTATAAGAAATCGGAATTCATTGGTGAAAAAGTCAGTGAAGTAGTGATCAGCAAGTTAAAGAATACCCACGTCTGAAAGATATAATTCCTAGGATAGACACCTCTACTAGCGTCTCTCCATACGACTCCTTCTGTGGAGCTGTTGGCTTGGAAACCTAGTTTTTTGTGTTCGGGAACACCTACAGTGTGGCCAAACAATTCGATTTTAACAAACCTAGTTCAAACAGACCAGAAATTGGGTATTTAAGAATCATTTTCAGTTGTCTGTCTTATACCATCAGGTGTACAATACTCCAATTAGTAGAAGCCGTAGCAATTGCCTTGAAACCACCGGATTTTCCGTTTCATGCAAACGAAATAAGTCTCGCTACCTTTAAGATCGTAGCCTGCTGCGTCGGTGACACAAAGGTTAGGACTGTCGCTGACCATGCACACGGTCCTAAGTTCGATCCCCTGCTGACGCACACCTGATATCAATGGTCGGCCTGAAAACATTTGGGCTACCGATATCACATGCTGACAATCCCATACTTGTACCAAAAATAGTGTGGGGAGTCAAGCTATAATCAAAAATATTAAAAAAATAAAAAATATATGTGTATTCATAAATAACTCATTCATAGATTGACTTAAATACTTTTTACTTCTGTTGTACTTCATTCATTAGGTTGAAGTCGCTGAACCTAGTAATCCAGGAAAAGTACGCGTTTTCGGACCCGGCGTAGAAAGCGTTACCCGAGGTCAACCAACATATTTCACTGTTGATTGTAAACAAGCTGGACATGGTAAGTTATTGGTTCATTCACGTCTGTCGGATGTCTTTACTTTGAAAACACGCTTTTATGCTTTTTTTCCTTCACGTTCCCCAGTGGAACATAGGGCTTCAAGCTAGTGGCTTGAAGTTTCTGTAGCCACTGTTTAATTTTACAGGATGGGGTTGCTAGCCTCACGTCCAACCTTTCCTCTTTACCAGCATTATTTCTGGCTTAGCGAGGTAAGTGAGTGCGTCGGCCGTGGATTGAACTCCGGACCATATGCATGGTCGACGAGCGTTCTAACCGCTGTGCCACCGACGCACCTTTTATGCTTGCTAACGCGTTATTTATATTCACGTACGAGGCGATAAAGGAGTTCCAGAAAAGTTGAACAATAGGGATTCAAGTGAATGGTGGAAGGGTTAATTTATTGTTTCAGGATTTATTCAGATAGAGCAGAGAATATCTATTTCCTATCATCTATGGCAAGTCTGTGTGGAGGTCAGAAGCACTCAGCATGAAAATTAAGATCCTGATATTCAACTCCAATATCAAGTCACTGCGACTATACGGATCAGAGAATTCTACTGCACGTCACGAAGGGCACTTTGAACAAATTACACACCTTCATCAACAGCTGTCTTCGCTCAATAATACTCCAAATCAGATGGCCGGTCAGAAAAGATCAGCAACAGGGATCTCTGGCAGTGAGCGAACCAACCTACCAGGAATCGACTGTGCAACAAATATGCAAGAAGATTTGGAGGTGGATTGTCATTACTCTGAGAAATCAAACAATCAAGTGAGTGACTTCACATGCCAGGTCATCGCTGGAGTGGAACCTGAATAGGAAGCGGTGAATTAGTTGGTCGTCAGTGCGAGGTTGACATGGAGGAGGTCATGTGAAGATGAGATGAAAGCATGTGGACAGATATGGAGCCAGGTGAAAACTTTGGCAATGGAGATTTGTGGCTGAAGCCGTATGTTCCTCAAGGAATTAAAGGAGACAACAAAATTAATAATCCATGAATTTTTTTCTGTACTTTTAAGTCTAAATAGTGATAGGATTTTATCTTAAGGAGAGTTGCAGCTACCTCCTTGCCTAACCTTATTTCCTTTCTGGTCGCGTGACCGACCATTTAACTAGAGGAGAAAATCGACTGGATTATACACAAAGGAAAGGATCCAAGTGTCCTCTCACAACAGGCTAAGCATCGTGTGAAACTCGAATAAGAGGCGACAGGTTGAACATTCAAAGATGGCACCATGGAACAGGTTGTGTGAAGAGCAAATGAAATCTTGTGGGCAGTAGTAGAGTCACTTGAAAATCAGATAGCAGAGAAACAATCACAATGAAGATGCTCTTCTGCGAAGCCCAATATTCCACTTGGGACGCTAGAAACGAGTAACAATAATGCTGGTTGATAAATTCATCATTTTGATATGGTGAAAATCCTCATTTAGACATTTAGAAGATCAGCTGATAGAGCAAAGAAATATTTACTTTACAATCGGTTCCTAATTTATGGCTCTACTTTAATAAATATAATATATATACATACCACGGATTGATATCAGTTAGAGAACCACTGATAACCATCGACGACTGAATAGTTATTTCATCCCAGTTTGGGACTCATCAGTAGTACTCACCCACCGCCAGGGTTCGAATCCACGACCTTCCGCTTACAAGGCAAGCTCGCATACCATTAAGTCACTGGGGCCTGACTCAGTAGCCAGCCCATGAATTCTAACTTCTATCAGTTCGTGATTTAGCGCCACCTTACAAACCAACTCTTGAAAATTAATCTGATTCTGTCTAGTGACTTGCTACAGGACGAAGTTTCCTGTAGTTCTAGTAAGGAGTCGTGGTCACGAGATCCATGAAGTCAAGTGTGAGGATGGATTTCCTACCTATGACACTGGTTGATGGTCATACTAAAATCGCTAATTGGTAGAAGTTAGAATTCATGGGCTGACTACTGAGTCAGGCCTCAGTGACTGAATGTTATGCGAGCTTGCCGTGTAAGCGGAAGGTCCCGGGTTGGAACCCTGGTGGGGGGTGAGTAATGCTGACGAGTCCCACATTTGGATGAAGCAACCTTTCAGTTGTCGATGGTTTTCAATGGTTCTCTTACTGATATCGATTCATGATCAACTCGTAGAAAACAAATCTAATCCTTACAAACCAACTTTTGAGAACTAATGAACTGAAAATAATTTCATTGTAATATGAATTTAGATAAACCAATAAGAAGACGTAATTTGTATGAATCGTGTAATGTATTTGCGCAACACATTTTGAACAATCTAATCACACACGGACTCGTCATAGGAATATACATGAAATTAATAAAGACGTAAGAGGTGAGAAAATAGACAAGTAAGGTCAAGTTAAAGGGACATATTCAATGTGAAAATAACAATGAAGATTACGAAACTAAATAACAGAGATAATAGTGTAGCAAGAGAAGACAAGGGCCAGGCAACAGATCGTTTTATTACGGAAATCCACACGTATTTATATAAATTTCACATACATTATTATAGCCTAGTCAAGTAGACAAACGCAGTCTTCTGATTGGTTATTTTCGAGTTCCTCGGAAGGTGGAGCCATCTATCTGCGAATCATATTTGCCCACGTTAAGTTTGCTGTGATTGGTTGTTGAAACAGCCTTGTTCATATTTCCTCACGGCCCGTATTAGTGACCTAGACATTGACGTAGATTAATATCAACCAATTGGCTAGCAGGCTGCTCTCACCACAATAGTACATCTACCCTGACTGGTGTCAAAACAAAATTTACCAAGGAAGGTGGTTTAGTGGGTTAACAAATTGTTGCTTTGAACAAATAAAGGTGGCTTAAACTTCTTAATTATCAGCTGGGGCTTCCACAAACTTTAGGATACACCTCAAACACGTTTTACGGATAGGTTTAAAAAATGTGTTAACTTCAATTTTATGTCTTGTCTCTATAACATGTTTCACAATAGAAGAGCTAGGTCTGCTGTTTGCACCATTAATGGGTTCTGAAGATTCCATTTGTTTCTGGAACTATTTAGGAATATGCTGTGAAGCTAGCCTTTACTTGCAAAGATCTATGAGTCTTCCCTATGTATGTGTGTGCACACATACATTCAAATTGGTAAATACAGTGGGATTTGACGTCATTTTTCGCATGTTCAAAGGGCTTAGATAGATATATTGGCTTTACATTCTGTATTATTATGATACTAGCTGCATAAAAATTTGTCTTTTTAACAGCAGCATTCCGTCATTGTCTAGCTGTCCAGCTGCTTTGATGCCCCATATGGGATAGCTTGATGTACAGGGCAGGCAGAAACTGTGGCAATCAAGATACTGTCCTGTCCAAGTAGGTTTTCTATAAATATATCTTTTTATTGACCCATCCAGCCGTCGGCTAAGCAATATGTCTAGGAAAGATAAACAATTATCTTCTTCTTCTACAGATGTAAGTGATACGCTATTCTGAACTTCATTCATTCATTCGATTTAAAATTGAGGTGGCAGAAGAAGACTTATCACTGATGATTACAACATCATCTACATACCTTCTATAAAATGATACATTTTCGATTAAATCCTCTATATACCTCTATATAGCCAAATTATGTACACCTTATCTTCAACGCACTATTTGCACAGATCTTCGCGTTGTGTTACTTCTGGCCTTCGTATTATGTGTCTTTCTTGGAGTTCCTTTCACGTCTCCCACGTATTTTTTCAATGCTGTATCATTTGTTTTCTCTGACATCGAATCTATCTCCCTGCTCTTTGATATTTTTATCATGCTGATGGATATCTCTGCGTATACTACTGATAAATCTTATCAGTAGTACATGCCACAATACGACTACACAAATTAAGTTATCAAGTTGTGTAAATACATGCGGAATAAATTCGTCTCTAAACGTTATCCATTTATATCACACACTGTGTATTACATCGAATAAAGCTGTCTAGTGTGAAGTTATATTTTACTATACAGTGCCTAAAAATCAACTCTTACATTCATTATGTAATTATCAAAGCTATTTATTTTCATTTTTAATTTGTAGGTAATGTTGGCATTAGTGTAACCGATGAAGCTGGTCGTGATGTTGCTATGGATACACAAGATATGCGAGATGGAACATTTAAAGTAGCCTATACAGCTAATACACCTGGACCATATTACACTGTACAAGTCTTCTTTAATAATCAAGAAGTTCCACGTAGTCCATTCAAGGTGCCTGTGAAACCAAATATAGATATGTCGAAAATTCATGTTGAAAACCTTGAACCAAGTAAGTCATCAGGTGGTTTTGTTTATTTCTTTGGTTTCATTTGTCTGAAAAATGCATAAACTGAAGGCTGATGTTATTCATCATGTATCAGAATGAAAACTTGAAGTCAATTGGTGACTAACAGTAGAATCCAGGACAATGCACATTTCATCCCATTTAGGAATCGTCAACCAGAAAATCTAAAATTGAATTAAAAAGCTCATAAAACCTGTTGCACAAAAGGTGGCGCTCGTGGCCTAAGTGGTCTAGTGGATAATGCTTTAGCATTTAAAATTCTGGGTGCTGGATTCGAGACTCAGTGAGGAGACCATCTCTTGCTGACTGAGGAATGCGGGCACATCGGTTGATGAGTCCCAAATAGGACGAAATGCATATTGTTCTAGATTCCACCGCCAATCACCACTCACTAACTAACTTCAAGTTATATAAGGCCAGACATAATCGATGTATCTGCATGAAGAGTAGACAAGTAAACCGGAGATCGAGCACTTCAGTGCAATCAGAGGACGGGAAAATCTAAAACTGAATCTAAATAAAGAGCAGAACGTCATTAAAAACAATATCGTTTTCTATGCAATGATTCGCTTTTTGTAAATTTGAAATTTGTCAGAGCGTCATAGTAAAATAAGGCGTCTGATTTACAGGGTGTCTAAAGTGTTACGACTTATATACATATGTATATATATATATACTGTCAGAGAAGTTTCTTGAAAAAAAATTGATTAACAGTTGTGTTGTTGGGGTGGTAGCAAAAGACAATTAGTAATAGATACGTAATTAGATAAGAGAAGACCAAAAATTTTAAAATTTCGGTGCACATGACGTCAGATGAGGAGTTGATAGTGTAATACATTGAGCAGAACTCAGAAGATCAAGAAAAATTATCTCTTAAGAGAGTCAAGCGAAAAATAAAGTGAGGGGGGAGTAAAAGAATAAGTTAACAAAATTAGAAAACAAAAAGTTACTAAGAAGTGAGTCACCAGGGTAATTGAAATCCAACAACGGATTCTTTTTGGACACATAAGTTAGGCTTCAGTCGTTTTATTGCTATAGCTTCAGGAAACCTGAGAAAACTTGAGATACTTTGTCTGTTAATTATTTTTGAATGATTCCAGCACTGAGTAGATATCAGATATCGATATTAGATGGACGTCTGTGGCTCACTAGTAAGATGCTGTCCAACTATGCAAATGGTTTGGTTTGCGATTGCTGACTGATGAACTCCTAAACGTCACCCAGTTTACTGATCGATATTAAGCATGGTAAAGAGAGAAGTTTGAACGTGAGACTATCAGTCGTAACTTGTAAAAAAGCAAAATAGCCCTACAGCTGTTGAAAATTCAAAGCGTCAAGACAGGAGCCCATGTTCCACTAGGGATGCTAAAGAAGGAAGCCATCTCCAGAAGGCCCTATGACCTGATTTTCCTGCTTGATTGTACTGGTCAATATGACAGAGGATGTTATGCCCCTCATGCACTTCTCATAGCTACAATCAGAGACCACTGAGCCATTTAGGCCGATGAGTGATCTCATGCAGGACTACTGTAAGGATTATATTAATTGGTCACTGGGGCGGGTGGTCAGCAAACAATGTCATGTGGGTCTTTTCTTATCCCTTTGTGTTCCAACAAAGAGTATAAGGCCTCAAGCTTTTGAAGTTTCCGTAGCGGTGGTGGTGTTTTTATCTTACAGGGTGTGGTTACTAGTCTCACACGCAACCTTCCCTCTTTTTTATGAGTTTACTATCGGCTAGTGAGTGAAATAGGCGTGGTTTAGGAGTGGGTCTGCCAGTGCTTGAAGATGACTATACACTGAAAATAAACGGTATGTTTCAAAGCTGTTCAAATGAATTAGAATAAATATATCCAAATACTAGTTCACTCATACATTTATGTCTTTTGAATGATTAAGCAACATGCCGATTATTTTCAGCCGCGCTCTACCGATGAACCACCCATGCAAAACATGTAGTCATGTCTAATCCTTTATATTGATAGTGACTAGATTCTGCCAGTCAACTTTAAAATTTCGCCACGAAATCAGGTGATTCAGCGGTCCTTGTGTGTGTGCGTGTGTGTGTGTGAGTGTGCATCTTGAATTAATGACCGATGATTGGCGACACAATCCTCGAAAAAACCAACTCTCACATCCCCCACAGCAAGATTGACAGAGTGCCGCAGAAACCCATTAAATTCCTTGACTGCTGAGGGGTCCTTACTACCTCTTAACTCATGAATAATCCTCATCCAGGCATTAATGAAAAAAAACGCGTAGTTCAGCTAAGAGTCTCTTTTCCACGACGAATTCATTTTCCTAACTGTACAATCGCAAATATATGTGTTATTTTGTATGTATGTGTACATTAATTTTGTCGAACAAAAATAGAATTGGTTATGGTTATTTTAACTAAACAGGTGAAAATTAGAAAGTTTTGGATAGAGTTACATAATACAAAGACGGTCAAGAAAATTGGGTGTTTATGAAACGAAGGTAATAACAAAGGTGGTGAGCTGTACTCAGGATGCACATATATAACAAAGTAGAAATACTAAATTACATAAGAGTTCTAAGTGAAAAGAAGAATTATAAGGAATTAAAGAAACAGGCAAACAAACAAAATTAAGTCATCAAAAATCAGCAAAGTTGCCACCATGATTTGGGAGCAGTTGAGTAATAATTCTCTTTTGTATGCACAGCTCCGGTTTTCCATATGAATAGCAGAGCTTCAGTGATACAAAGTAGACGAAACCGTATTGCCTTTGATAGGTTATTCTTGACTCTGTAGATTACTTTCAAGCAGAAGGAGTTTGTTGAGATGGAATGATCACTGTCAACCAGGTGTGCAATTATGGCATTCCTTATTGCACCACTATTGCTTTTTGGTAACCATGCTGGATAGTATTCTTGAATTCTCTTGGACAGGATGCTCATAGGACAACCGATGTACCTGGCTCCACAGCAGTAGGTGAACTGAAATATCCACACATAAGTGGTAAGATGAGGGATTTTGACCTTAAGGCTTCTGCAGATCAGATGGCAGCTGGAGAACACTATTCTTAGCGTTGCTGCAAAGAACGTTCTTCTCAGAGATGATGTGACCCTTCTCTTGAGAATGCAGCTTGTTAAATCTCCAAATTATTGGTTTGATATTTTTGTCAACGAATCTTATTGCGTATAGATTTTGGATGAAGATTTCTCTCAGAAGATCTAATTCTGTTTCTAGAACATTGGGACTACAGATACATTAGATGTGGGTGGCAAGGGATTAATTTAACTCCGATTGACTTCCCAGCTACAGAAGCTTGACAGTTGATCACTCCAAGCAGCTTTTCTAAGGTTCCATCAGTTCTTGTTATTTCCACATCAATTCGCCAAAAAGAGACTCTTCGCTGAACTATGTGTTTTCTTTCATTAATACCTGGATGGGAATTATTCATGAATTAATAACAGATGTTTGGAAGTGATCAGCAGGAAGTTTCCCGCCACCACCTAGTAATATATGCCAGATATTCATAAGAATTTCATCACATTTTCTGCCTTTTTCCCCATAAAGATTGAAATTAACAATCCAGTCGGTTAAAACTTTTTTCGACCTGGGGTATGTGGGTAAAAAAGTGGGCATTTTTCTGCTCAAATTCGGGCAAAGTGGGAAAGGGTGGGCTTTTTCAGTCGTAACATGGTGAAGTGGGATTAAGTGGGCTATTTTAGAAAATTACATGGCAAAACGGGGAAAAAGTGGTCAATATGGGTAAATTGGACAAATTATGTAGCATTCACACCATCTTTTACCCATCAAAACTACCATTTAGCCCACGGTTTGCCGACATTGCTCAGGTGCATTCTCTGACTGAGAAATGAATGTGAAACTTACTAGTTGTTTGGTTTTTTTAGAAAGTCTTAATAAAACGTAATAAAATTTTGAATAATTCAGGAAGAAAACCCGTTTCTCCACCAACTTACCTTTTCTAAACCTCTGCAAAATTAAATCCTACAGTTACTATTGACGGGTAATATGAATAGCACTTTGTTTATAAGGTGAAAGTCGGATGTAACCGGGACGGGGCTGCGAAAAGAACGATATCAACCAATGATAACGTCATCAATTCTGTCCTCAACTACAATAGTAAAACAACACAACTAAATTCCAGAAAATAGCCTTTCTTTTTCCCACTTAAATGACATTATTCTAGTAAGCAAGGGAAATAAGCCAACGGAGACTGTAGTAATGTGATAAGATGATGTAAACTTAAACACGACCTTCTTTCTTATCTGTGGTGTGTACAAAATACAAACAAACAAAATAGACAGTTGAAGACTTGAAACAGTATACCATTGGCAAAAACTAAGATACAGTCAGTCGCCTGTTTGCTTCCTTTATTTGTTTTTGATGGTAAAAATTTAGTCTTCCCATCTTATCCTCCCTACCCATTTCCTGTCTGTCTGTTTCTCTTCTCATACACAGTGATAAGAAAATAAGGATTGATAGACAATTTTATTAGGCGTCATAATGTTGTTGTGATAGGCGTTCACACTGCTATATACTCTCCCCACGTGAAATGCTAAACTATAAACGCTGTATTTTAACACTAAAGAATGTCATAAGTTGTCACTGGTGTTTCCGGTGTTTCTTTCAGCAAATTAACAAATCAGTGCATGATTTATTTGATTCTGACAGATGTTGACAGTAAGTGAAGTGGGGGTTGACGGGGGTCGGTGGGGGAAGGGGGGGCTTGACGAGGGGAGAATAAAATCTTGTTTCTGTAGTGTCTGTCAAATCATTCTTTTATATTCTCCTTTTCAATCGCTTCTAAAATTAAAGTAAGGAGATAAAACTGAGACATATATATGCTTTATTACAAGGAATAGTGAAATACTCTTTCCACAGTCATTTTTATATTTTCCCAAGTAGTTGTTTTAATTTGAACGTCGTTACGAGACGGCAGTCGCTAGAGAATTATTGTAAACCAAGTAAAGAATAGGTATAGTTTTGGACTCTTTGGTAGTACACAATCATCACTCCACTGCAGGATAGTGGTAGAAGTTAGAAATCACGAACCACTGGACTTCTTCTCACTGACTGAAGTGACTATTACGTTCTATCCATGTATCCTGCAGGTCATGGGTTCGATCCTTGGTAGGGTGATGGCTGTATGCTGCCGAAGAGTACCAGACTAGGACAGAACAGCTGTACAGTAGCCCCTTATTATTATTCCTTTGAGTTCCGTGTGGAACATAGGGCTTCCACAATACATCACTACTGTGTTGTATTTGGTGCTGTCCTCTTCAGCTGGATCTACGACTGCCTATAATCTCTCATCTCCTCCAAGGATAAATAGATAAAATCAAAACGCTGCCCCCCTACACCCCCCCCATTACAACTATAAAAGAGTTTCAATATAAGTGTAAAACTTGAGCACTCTGTTGGTAGAGTATAACTCCATTATGGATAAGATTTTATTCTGATAAATCACACAGTGTGGTAGAGTAATATTAACTGATGACGTTTTGAGCACAATTTACTGCTGCTCAAAATCACATCAAGTCACTCACACAACTTTTTTGCTTCATTTACATACATGAGTTAGGTCAGACAGATGTTTTATGATGTAATAACAAGAATGTAACAACCGGAACTTTAAACAGTATAAAGTAGTCGGGGAGAATAATTATGAATCCCTTAATGGGTATTTACTACTCAAAACGGAGATGTAGAAGTACACCACCACCTACAAGCTAACTGTCACTGCATCCACGCACAACATACGCATCTGACTATTTATCTTGACTAGTTGGTGGTACTAGGAAAGGTTCTTTTGCCTTCATGTGAAGATTTCAGGGGTGCGTCCTTGGCCAACCTTGATTATCACGATTTTGGGCGAGTCTACCTGGGACAGCAATGGTTAACAATATGGCACAGTTGCTGATCTGGCATACCCAACATGGTTTATCTCTGGGGCATGTCAGCAAATCTTCCATGTCAAATATCGTGTTCATTCAAGTGCATAACTTCATCGTGAGATTTGCCCAGAGCGTATCAACATTATCTTCGCTGTGCACTATCTGTTAACACCAGTACCCTGAGGTTTTTTAAAATAGTCTACCAGCAGTGTTAAACTTTTGTGTTAAATTTGCAAGGAAATCATATTTTTAATCACATTTTTATCAATAATTTAGTTTTCTGGTCTCGCAAAATAAACTTTGAAGAGTATTTAATTCGTGTATGGCAACTAGCAGTGGAATTCAGGATGCACATTTCGTCTTATTTGGGAATCTTCATCTGGATGTATCTACATTTTCCAGTGAGTAATGATGTTCCCACAGAGGCTCGAACCCAGTTCCCACAGTTTCAGACGCCAAAGCATTATTTATCTTGACTCACTGAAGAATGCAGGTGCATCCAGGCGACGAATCTAAAGTAGGACGAAGTGCTTACTGTCCTGAATACCACTGCTAGTTGCCATCCACAAATGGACTTCTAATTACATGCCCAGACATCGTCGGTGCATCTGTACAAGAAGCCGACAGACATGTCAACCTGAGACTGAGCACTTTGGTTCAATTAATCGACGGGAAAGTCTAAAATTGAGTAAGACGCTACTTTTTTCAGGCTATTTTTACGCAATAAAGTAGTGATCCCTTTGATTATCTATAAGTTCGTCGGTCGTTCAGTGCTAGAATGCTTACCAAGCGCATACGTCATTGGGGTTCAAGCTTTGGGCACTGAAGCACTCCTTAACCTCTCCTAGTCTACTTACCAGGTAATAGTAGGCATCAAAGAGGAGGGATAGTAGTGTGGAGCGTGAGCCGAACAACTCCATCCCGCAAAAATCTTACCACTGCTTGTGAAACCTCAAAACTTAGAACCCGAATCCTTAGGTTCCACTCAAATCTCAATACTTTTTGAGTTGCTGATCAACTTGTCCTAGGTTAGGCTGTTGAAGATTTAATGACTAGTAGGGTTTCAAAATAACAGTCAGGAAGCAAACTCTGTAAGTGAGGTGAAACTGTGGTATCGTAAGCAGCTGAATCTTGTCTGACGATCGATGAAGCGCCGAAATAGTCGACTAAAGTCTGATGACTATTTGTTCAATTCAATCATCAATCTCTCTCTCTCCATTTAACTTCAAATTAAGATCACTAAACTAACCAAAGCTCTATTAAAACGTTTATACGTTGATCAGAAAAATCACTTCAAGTATACGCGTTTCTGCTGCATCACAAAATATTGATGATAAATCACGTAAGTCATCGGGACGAGTGGTAGGTTATACTTTTAAATTAGATATTTCGGACAATATATTCTTTCAGGTTATTTTTTTATTTTTGACGTAATTAATTCTTTGACTACCAACCAAAATCACTTCAATATTCTATCGAAAATTGTATTTTTCTACAAACCAGACATCACTGTAGGTGTACCAACTGAATTCGACGTCATAACAGCTGGTGCAGGCCCACCGAATAACAGTAAACCAAAACCAACTGTCACAGTTAAATCGCCTAATGGTATGCGTGTACCCTGTACACTAGCTGAAAGTGTCGATGGATATACACCCTCATTTACACCAACTGTTGCTGGACCGCATACAGTCGCTGTAGAAGTTGGCGGTGTACCAGTCAAGGGGAGTCCATTCCGTACAAATGCTGTCCCACCAGCTGCATTACACGAACCTATTTATCCTAAAGATATTGCACGTCAACAAGCCACAACAGCACCGATTTCTGGGCCTGAAGCTGCAGCTTTAGTACGTGCCTATGGTGATGGATTATATCGTGCAACAGCCGGGAAACCAGCTAAATTTACAATTGACAGTCAAGACGCCCCACCAGCTCCACTTAGTGTTACTATTGAAGGACCTGCAGAAGCTAAAATTAATTACAATGATAATGGTGATGGAACCTGTGGAGTGGATTATCTTCCAGTTGAACCTGGACCATATGTTGTCAATGTTTTATACAAAGATACACATATCAAAGGAAGTCCGTTCCCAGTAAGAGTTGCTCCTCCAGGAAGAGAAAATATTGACATCTCTCGTGTTCATGCTTATGGCCCAGGATTACAACCGACTGGTAGGCGAAATCAGCATGACAAACGTATAACTTCTCTACTTTCTGCTTTCATTAGCTTATTGTATGCTTGATCTTTGAGAAAATCTCAGCATGATCCAGTCTGAAAGTGGATCACACTACTAGTGTTCTACACATCAGATTTCTTCGTCTCTCCCTCCCTCTCTTGCTTTCTCTATCTGTTTGTTGCATGACAAGTGATATTCCTTCATTTAAGGCATGCGTTTTAAATATTTCTCTACAAAATATGTGTGAAATTTCCCCCACCAAAGTCGTCTTCGAAAAAATAAATAAGTAAAATTAATCTTTTATGCCGTTTTTTTAACATTTAAAGGTGTTCTAAAAGAATCATTCGCCAAGTTTACAGTTGACGCTAAAGCTGTAGATCCACAAGGCAGAGGTGTTGTCAAGGCTATAGTTGTTAGTCCGAATAAACAAAGAACAGCCTGTCTAATACAAAATAATGGTGACGGGACATACAAGTGTAGTTACTCACCTGTTGATGATGGTAAGTTTACTAGGCAATCTTTTTAATATTTAAGTGTTGGTTTGTATGGATTTGGTTGGTTACAGGATTTCATGATGAGCTGACATTAGTTAGAGAACCATTGGAAAACCTGGGAGTACTAGACAGCTGTTTCGTCCTATATGGGACTCGTCAGTTGGATGCGCATCCTGAGTTCCACTGCTAGTCACCATCCATCAATTAAATTCTGATTAAATACCCAGACTTCGTTGAAGCATCTGCACAAGAAGCCGACAGACATGTCAACCCGAGACCGAGTACTTAGCTCCAATCAATCGGCGGGGAAATCTTTAAAAAATTTTATTAAATATGATCAGCTTTTTTATTTCCTTGGTTTCCAAGTGGAACATTGGAGCTTTAACAGCACCTCTCTATTTTGTCCTGTCATCTGAATTCATTTTTATCTGGTTTCACATTCGTTCAAAAGCTTTCTTCTCCTCAAATGAACTGTCCTCAAGATTTGACAGAATAGTTCTAAAATATTTGGGCGCCGAGTGAGAAATAGATATTTGTAAAATGTCAGCGAGATTGAAATGAATAATTCCAACGTTTCCTGCGTTCGGCAAACTGGTCCGAACTTCTTCAGAGAAATTAATCGACATTAACTAACATAATAGAGGTTTATATATATAAAAGGAATATCCTTGTTTTTAAAAACTTTGTCCAATCATATGAATCCTGAAACAGGTATCAACAAGTATAATAAACAAAATTGTATGAATTGTGATCATAATTTGACCTAGGACTTAAAATATTAAGTGTTGGTTTGTAGGGATTTGATTGGTTACAGGATTTCATCATGAGCTGAAATTAGTTAGAGAATCACTGGAAAACCTGGGAGTACTGGACAGTTGTTTCCTCCGTCCTAGTTTGGGACTCTTCAGCAGTACGCACCCACCACTCTGGTTCGAACCCAGGGCCTTCCGGTTACAAACCCAGCGAGCTAGCTCGTAGACCATTAAGCCACTGGGACCCGATCAAACGGCCGTTGTATGAATTCTAACTTCTGCCAATTCACGACAAAGCGCGAACGCTAGCCAATGTCTTCGGCGAGTATTTATCCTCACATCCGACCTTCTGCACCCTATTGGTCACGACCTCTTACTGTCCACCTGAATAGGGCAAGTCGCTAATTAAATATATACAACCGACATGCTTGGTCTCGCCTGACATATTAGCTCCTAGTGAGAACGCTTCGAGGACATCTAAGGATTATTGCAGTGTTATTTGGATTGGTACAGACTGATAGTAAGTGGACTCTAGGATGTACGATTCATCCCGTTGAGGACCCGTCAACTGGATGCATTTACATTCTCTCCACAGACAGCTCTAATAGTCAAATTCGCTTCATAGTTTGAGATGACGGGTACAGGGTTTGACTCTTAGTGGCAACACTGTCGGTCGTTGGGTAGAATACAGGTAATATCGACCTTACAACTTCCAATTAGGAAGAAATGACTATTGTGGACTCCACTGTTAATCACCATCAACCGAAATGAACCCAACTTTGTTTTCGTAATCGCTCTCTAACTACATACTTTATTACAGTGTAGGTAGTTTTTCAAGAAAGTCAATTTCAGAGAAGAGAACCCTATTTTCAAATGTTTCTTTGGTGGGAATTTGATTGATTTCAACTTTGATCATGAACATTGTCTTCAGCGGAATCTATGAATTCGGGTGTCAGGACAAAACTAAACAATAATAATTGACTGGGCGTTGCCCTCTGTCTCTCTCTCTCTCTCTCTCTATATATATATATATATATATATATATAGAGAGAGAGAGAGAGAGAGAGAGAGAGAAATTACTGGGTCCGATCCTTGACGTGGTGACTGGTACATATAACTGAGGAGTACCGAACTAGGACGAAACATATGTCCTGTATTTCTTAGGTTTCCCTGGTGCTCTTACTGAAAAATGTTTCTTTTAGATAACGTTCTTACCTATGCTAAACAGTCATTTCAGGTTTTTATCTAATGGAAATTCAATTTTTGTTAGACGTCTTCAAAGATTTCTCAGCCTGTCCATCAACAGTTATTTCAGTTGATATTTTTCGTATCCTTCAGTAGAGGAGTGAAAAAGAACTTCAGAAATCAATAAACTATCCGTTCCATGTAGGCGTTTTGTGAATACACCTGCATAATGAGGTTTTCATCCTTTCTTAATGGTTGAACATCAAAGAAACAGAACATCTATTCTCGTTCTGCTTTTATAGTGAAATCAGCGTAGCCGAGTTTACATTACTGAAGGTTCAGAGAGAGAGAGAGAGTTCTCAAAATTAAAATTCGTTTTACAAACAGTGGGTGCCACCAAAAAGCGTGATATTCAATAAAAATGTCTGTATTGGATCAAATATATCAAAGTTGTTAAGGTCTATATCGGTGGCACAGTGGTTAGGACTCTCGCCGACCATGCATATGGTCCGAGGTTCGATCCCCTGCCGACGCACACCTGATATCTACGGTCGGCCTGCAAAATTTAAGCTACTGATATCAAATGCTGAAAATTTCATACTTGTACCAAAAATACGGTGTGGAATCAAGCTGTAATAAAATAAAATCATAATTTCACGGGATATAGACGTACAGAGAGTGGAAACGGTTCAAAAATCAGTTATTCCTCTCCCCCTCCCCTAGAATGGTGTAACAAGTGATGAATTTATGCTTATATATATACATATTTTGTTCAATGGACTCAACATAATGTTGATTGAATGATTGATTGACTGATCGATTTTGTGAGCTTAAAAGTTCTATAAGGGTGAATTTGGAGGTATATTTGACTGATTACAGGATATCATTATGAGGTAACATCGTTTAGAGAACCACTGGAAAACCTGCAGAGCATATTGGACAGCTGTTTCGTCACCTTAGTTTGAGAGTGTTTAGAAGAGCGCACTCACCACAAGAGGCTCGAACCCAAGACATTCTGGTAACAAGGCGATACGAAAATCTGTCTTTGAACTCCAACTTCTGCCAATTCATGACATAGCGCGGCCAGTTAGCAATATCTTGGGCGAGTATTTGTCCTCATACCCAACCTACTATGCCCTATTGCCACGATTTGCAACTATAGCCCCCGCTAACAACTGTTCATTGCCCATTAAAGGTTTCCAAATGGTTCTCTAATCGATATCCTGTAAGCAATTAATCAAATCCCTCTAAACTAATACTTAGGTCTCTTTGACGCCTACTATATAAGCCGCCTTCAGAAAATTGATCACCATGACACTTGAAAAACGCACATTTTCACTTACACTGATCATAGATAAGGTACATTTAAAAAAAAAACATATTTATAAAGTTTTATATCTTAAAAATAGTTCATTCAATATTTATATACAACTGTTGTGTGGTATCAACGTCAATTTTATTGTACTCACACATAAATACACAGATATGCCTACCTCGATATCCGGTTATAAAATGACCTCATGAGAAAAAGGTTAGGAAATTTATTTTGTGGTATATCTTAGAGCCTATCTACTTGAAAATAATAGTAATAATAATAATAATAATACCTATGAAAATAAGGTAGTTTTAGTAAGTTAAGATTAAGTAAGATAAATTTATGAGATATCACTAGTCATCAAGGTGATAGATATACATATATGTCGCTGTTGTCATGTGAACAGCCTAGATAAAGTGGTCATTAAAGTAGCATTTCGGCCTAACATAATCTATCATAAACAGGAAATGCAGAAATTAGGAGCTAAAAATGAAATAATTAAAAAACAAATGATACCTGTTGCACAAAACATGTCCTTAAATGGCCTAAACGACAATGCTTCGGGGTTTGAAACAGGGATTATTATTAAAATTTCCTTTAATTCTTAGAGTAACATAGGGCTTCAGCCAAACGTTTCCATTGCGTTCGGTTCTCTGCTGGAGTTTCCACCTGGCTCCAAGTCTCCCCACATGTTTTCATCTCGTCTTCACATGAACTCCTCCAAGTCACATTCACACTGACGATCAACTCGCCGCTTACCTTTCGGGTTCCACTCGAGCGATGGCCTGTCTAGTGATATCACTTTATGATGTCTCAGAGTATGGCCAATACATCTTCATTTATTTCTGCGTATTTGTTGCACAATCGGTTTCTGGTTCGTTCATTCCCAGAGATCCCTGATGCTGATCTTTTCTGGCCAGCCATCTGATCTTGACCGGCATTGAGCGACGACAGCTGTTGATGAAGGTCTGTAGTTTGTTTGAGATACTCTTGATGACGCGCAGTTCAAGTCTCTGATCCGTATAGTGAGTAGCACTGACTTCACATTGGATTTAAAAATCCGGATCTTATTTTTCTTGCTGAGTGCTGTTGACCTCCACACAGACTTGAGATTAATGAAAGCTGGTCTTGCTTTCCCTATCCTTGCTTTGGTATCCTCATCAGTACTGTCCGCCTGTAGTTGAACCGATGCTTCCCAGGTATGTAAAGGAGGTTGTTCCTTTCAGGTTCCCTCCATTTATGCTGATTGCTGTCTGTTGTTGTTGCTGTTGGTGTTAACCAGAAATCTTCATCACCTCTGCTTTATCTATGTTCACTTGAAGTCCTATCTTTGATGCCTCTTCTATCACCAACTTGTTGCTTTTCACTTGCATTTCTTCCAGTTTATGGGAAATCAGATATATGTCATCGGCGAAGTCCAGATCCTTCAAGTCTTTTGTGTCAGTCCATTTTAAGCCTGTTCTCTCGTAGGTTGCCGTTGTCTGTCGCATTATCCAATCTACTGCAATCAGGAAGATCATTGGTGTTAGTAGACAGCCTTGCCTCAATCCCGTCCTCACTTCGATGGCTTCCATAAGTTTCCCGTTGTGGATTACTTGGCAGGCAGCATCGTCGTATAACTGTTGGATGAGATGTATAATTGTCGATGGCATCCCATAGTAGCGAAGTAGTTGCCGAATGACCTCTCGATCGACGCTGCGCTATCACAGGTATTTTCATAGTCGATGAATTTGAGATACAGAGGTGACTGCACCTCCAAACTCTGTTCAGTGATGATCCATATTTTGGCAATTTGATCAATACATGACTTGTTTCTCCTGAATCCAGCCTGCTCCGGTCGAAGTTTTTCATCCAGATTGGCGTGTTTGATTCTCTCCAGGATGATGCGGCTTAGTATTTTGCTTGGGGTGGACAGAAGCATAATTTCGCGCCAGTTCTTGCATTGACTTAAGTTTCCTTTCTTTAGCAGTTTGAATAAGTATCCTTTCTCCCAATCCTCGGGTACCTCGCCCTCTTTTCACACCTTCTCCAGTAGTGGTGTCATCAATTCCGCTGTTTTCTCTGGGTCCATTTTCAATGTTTCTGCTGGGATTCCATCTGATCCTGATACTGGATGGTAGAATGCAGTTATATCTATGGCGACCTGCTCGAAGCACTTGGCTACCTCAATTGCCACATAGCTTAGCATACATCACATTATTTTAACTATTCAGTTACATCCCTGAGTGAGAAAATAAAGTAATGCATATTTTTTAATTTACTTTCAAACTCCGGATGTGTATTTCTCGGAGATGAACGAAAAATATCATTCGGAAATAGTCCATACCTCAAAATTAACAGCACTGCGTTGCATGATGTACTATATAGATAATTATTCTACTGGAAGATCCAGGAAGAAGAAAAAATGTTATCTGACAAAATAAACACTACACTGATGATTCTGTACACTGGGTAAACGTTTTATCCAGAATAAATAATAATATCAGTTATAGAATTGTTGGAAACCATGGAATACTCAATGGACAACTGCTTTGTCCCAGTATGGAAATCATCGGCGGTATCCATCTACTGGTAGAAGGTAAACTACTTCATTTGCCTATTGAATCGGATTCCGTTGGCTATATGGTCTTTGAGTTTTTGCCTCGTAACTGGAAGGCCATCGGTTAAAACCCCGGTGGCGGTGGTGGGTGCGTACAGTCGAAGAGTCGCGAACTAAGCTGGTGAAACAGCTATCCAATCATTCTCTAACTCATATCATTCTGTAGTCAAACTTGAAACAGATCAAATCCCTACCGAACTAACTCTTGAAAATTATATAATAATAATAATAATAATAAGAGTGACTTGTCTCATTCCAAAACAGTACTCAAGATTAGAACAAGACATATAAGCGAACAATATTGCTGTTTTCAATTAGATCTTCTTCAGGCTTTACTCTAATTTACATAGACTTATATATATAAAATTTTAACCAATAACGGGGATTTTGTGGATCAAATAATTATAATCATAATAGTAATAATAATAATCATAATGATAATAATAATGTGGTAAATGTTTTGAACGAAGTTAATAACGATGATTATAATAATAACAAAATATTGATGATAAGGCTTATATAGGTGATAAGAATAACAAACAATTCCAACAGTGGTGTGAACACGGGCAGTAATTTTGCTCGAAATATTACCAATAACAAAACTTATCATTGTGTGTAAACTATTAAACTATAATTATACTTTATTTGATCTAATCCACAATGCTCAAACTTTTTACTGATATTAACAAAGTTAGCATATGCATATATGTAGACAATTCAATAAATAAATAAATTAGGTCAAATCAAATGGAACGATAATCAGAGTTTAAATAAATATCATAAAAGTACGAAGGAGAGGGATGATAAGAAAGGGTGGGAGGGTTTTGAATAGAATTCACCTAGGCTAAGCAAGGGAGAGACAAAGGTAGAACAAATTTCTTTTGTATACAAAGACTAGGATTGTTCTCTCGAATTCCCATAGCCTCAGCTAAGTGTAAAAGACGGGTTCTGATTCCGTTCGAAAGACTCGATGGAATGCGATAGATAACTTTGACGGCACTATTTTTGTCCACTTGGTGACCACTATCAATCAAATGAGCCACAACAGAACTTCGTATGGATTTAATTTGACCTTTTCCGAACCATGAAGGAAGATGCTCATTAATGCGTTTGTTGAGCTGTCTAGTTGTTCGGCCTATATAGCTTTCTCCACAGGAGCAACTAAATTTATAGATACACATGGAAGTGGCACAGCTATGTAGCTTATCTTTCACTTGGACAATCAAAATTGGTCGGCTGGAAAATGACAAACAGAGGGTGGCGGCAGTGTAAGTTCGTTTTATCGCTCTCGATAATCTCTGATGTAAGACTTCACTAGCCACGTCCCCATTAAATTGCAATTACATAAACAGTTGTTTCTTTTTAACAGTTGTCGGTTTTTCTTTATTGTACTTAGCATTCATGTGTCTCCTGACAAATCTACAAGATAGCCCATTTGGACTAACGTATTTTGGATGTATCCTAGCTCATTCTCTAGGGAGTCATCTGTACAGATGCGGCATAGAATTCTCAACATTTGGTACGACAGTTTATATAATTAACTCAAAAACGTCGACAATAACAACAACAAACATTACACGAGTATGAGTAACCAAAATTGATAGTGACAACTTTTGGTATTAGTGCTAATAATAATTAAGATGTTATTGTTACTAATATGCAGATGATAAGTCCTAAAGAGGACGAAACTCTCATGCTGGATTCTAGTACTAATTATCAAAGACCGAAATAAATTCACTTGTGTTCTTAGAAATCATCGAAGCTTGTGTAGAAGTAGTAGTAGTATTGCGTGTGCTACTGATATATGAAGAGATTTTGATTGGCGTAGAACATCAAATATCATGGAGATAGTATAAAACTTGGGAACTGTGCTGGTAGAGTATAAGTCCATTATGGATAAGTTTTTATTTTGATAAATCACACCGTGCTGTTACACAGTAATATTAGCTGATGACCACACGTTTCGAACACAAACTGTTGCCACTCATAATCATATCAAGTTGCTCACTCATACAACTTTTTACTTCATTTATATACATGTGTGGAATTGACTAGATATTTGAATAAAAAACAATATGTGATAATGCACATTCAGAAATAATAATACGAGTGCTATTGATCAATTACAGTCAGATGGGAAATAAGAATATAAGTCATCTACTGTTATACCACGTAAGGAGGGGACATCTGAGACCCTAAGTAGTAGGATTCTTAATAAAGCAGGAATTTAAACCTACAAAGTCACTCAGAGATAAGCTCTGTAGGCTAAAAGACCCAGTGGACCCAATTAAACAAAATAATATAATTTACAGAATACCCTGATATGACTGTGAGGTCAACTATATGGGTCAAACTAGTAGATCGGGGGTAATCAGATTATCATAACATAAGAATTTAGCTAAAGTAAGAATGGTTCACCCCGAGAAGATGAGTAATTTAGAAAAACGCTCAGCAAGTGCACTTCACGCATTAACACAAAACCACACAATAGGGTAGGAGAGGGTTAAAATTCTAAGAAGTAATCTATGTAGGGGGATAGAGAAAGAGAGAGAGATTGATTGATTACTGAAAACTGACTGGTTCATCGAGTCTACACCCAACACAATACATGCAACAGAAATGACTCAATGGAAATACCAGAAATATGCATGGAAGATATTATTACCACCAGTCAGTCAGTCAAATCGGAGGAGGATAATAAATAATCTCAAAATTCTATTTCAATTCAAGCACATCACAACATTCTAACAAGTTGGCGAGCATTGGCGAGGTTGGCAAGCATTCTACAGCTGCGCCACTAACTCACGAAGTCTTTCGTCTTCCAGCGTTACATTAGGTAGGAGCAGGCTATATCAACACAAGCTGAACACTTCTGTTCAACAAAATCAATCGACGGGAGATGTGAAATTAACCTACAAATTAACCTAATCTAGTGGGAAATTGTGACCAGTAGGGTGCAGCAGGTTGGGTGCGAGGAAAAATACTCGCCATGGATGGCATTGGCTAGCGGTTGCGCCATCTCGTGAATTAGCAGAAGTTAGAATTCATGGACTAGCCATTTGATCGGGTCCCAATGGCTTAATGGTCTACGAACTAGCTCGCCTTGTAACCAAAACGTCTCGGGTTCGAACCCCGGTGGGTGCGTGCTGCCGAAGAGTACCAAACTGGTACTCCTTGCAGGTTTTCCAATTGTTCTCTAACTAATGTCAGCTCATGATGAAATTCTGTAACCTACAAACAAATTATTGAAAATCTGTTTTGCATTATGCATGCAAAAAATAATTTCGTATTGTTGTATCTTCTTTTTCTTTTAAAACAGGTTTACATCATGTTGAGGTGACTTATGATGGTGCACCAGTTCCGGGTAGTGCTTTCCCTGTTAATGTAGCACCTGGTTGTGATCCAACCAGAGTTAGAGCCTATGGACCTGGTTTAGAAGGTGGATTCACACATGAAATGCAACGATTCACAGTTGATCTTGATGGAGCTGGTCAAGGTGCACTCGGATTGGCTTTAGAAGGTCCTGCTGATGCACAAATACAATGTCAAGACAATAAAGATGGAACATGCACCGTCGACTATTTACCAACACGTGCAGGAAACTATGATGTCTTTGTTAAGTTTAATGATGTTAATATTCCAGGTGAGTGAGAATTTAGGTTCTGGACATATTCTACAAAAATTATCAACTGATTGGATATCTTGTGTTAAGGAACTTAACCCTAAGTTCCTATTATCTCTAAAGGCTCTGGGAATCGATAATTACTGTGAATGATGGTCGACCTTAACTCTAAAACACAAGGGCTTGTAATAAAAAAGTCTACTGTTCGGCAGTTAAATTCTTTATCGTATACAAATCTATAAAGAAATGTTTTGCAAGAAATGCAGTGCACTTTTATTCATATTCGTTCGTCTTCTTCCAACTTCTACACGACTGAATCATCCGCGTCTTCGAGTTGCCCGCCAATGGCTACCAGTTCCAATAAACAAACGTTCAATATTCACGTTCACTTACATCTTGCATAAATTAAAGTTATAAATACACTTAGAGGAGTATTTTCTTATGAATTCGTCATTACTAGCAAACTCCTCGGTCCAGCTATCGATTAAAGGACATGTTTACTGTAAAGCAGTTCGCCCTGTCCTCCTTTATGTCTCTATTTTCTTTTGCTTATTATCAATTTAATCCTTTGCGTTCCCAGTGAAACATAGGGTCCTTCAAGCTTGAGCTTAGAAGTTTCAGTAGCAGTGGTGATTTATTTTAATGGATGGGCCTACTATCCTCACACCCAACGTTCTCTTTCCGTCAGGATTATAACCGGCTAGGGGAGGCACAATTGTGCACCAGCTAAGAGTCGACCCCAGACTACGTGAATAATTGGCCAACTCTCTGCTAATGAACCACCAACGCACGGCGATTGCAAGCGGAAAATACATAAAAATTATCTGACTTCTAGCATAGATATTCGCCTTTTGTCTTCCGTTCTAATTGATATAGTATGGAGCACTGATACAGACGGCTAGCTACACATATGCCAGTTTACGCCGTCTCTGGCTTAGTAGACGTGATATCCGGCTGACTATCAGCTAAAGGGCGGGTGTGCTGCTCATCAGTACGCTCCGCCCTCCTATATGGCTGTCAATGAGACATGGCCATTGAGAGTGGAAGGCATGAAAAGAGAGGTTAGCTGTCTTTGATAATAGGTGCCTGCGTTCTCTCTCCCGTGTGAAGTGGAACAATAGGGTGAGCAATAGTGAGTTTAGGTAAGGAGGGCAAATCAATCGACGAGGCTGTGAAATTACATCGACTGAGATAGTTAGGACATGCGTTACGCATGCATGCCTAGTCATCGCCTTCCTCGAGAACAGGCAGTGTTAGCTGGTATAGGGTCACACTGGAAAAGAGCTAGCGGAGGTCAAACAAAAATATGACGTCATCACTCAATGAAAGCCACAACAGTTAGTTTAAGCCAGTCACATAGGAAGGTGTATACTTTCTGACTGGTTGGGGTTCTCGGGACGGTAAAAACCAGTGGTTGAAAACAATTGGTGATATGGCTCAAATGGATCGTTCTCAATGGCTGGCGGAGATACATCCACTCCTTGTGACTTATGATTTCCAATAGAACTATAGTGTTCTTCGTTATTATTATTCCCTCTGTCTCAAATCCCTGTCTACTGTCTCAATTATGCATTTCTCCTACTTTCTTCTCTTGCTTTGTGTGGCACAAGGAGGGAGTATGGCGACTTGAACTGGTGCACATCGGTGCAAAGTTCTATATCGAAAACAGACACACAGACAGATATAGTATGGCGTGCAGTGCATTGAGGTTAGGTTTAGAGTGCTAGGTATAGAAGGATGAGTAGGACAGGTGTTATGAGTGCCTAGTCACCACTTTCCTCATCAATCAATGTTAGGTGACATAGCGTTAGGCGGTCGAAACAAAACTTGGCGTCAATCTGTAAAGTCTTTGATGGCTGGTTTGACCCATATTCATGGAGGTATAGACTACCTGTCTGGAGTCCAAAGGATATTAAAGTCTGATGGGTCGAAACTATTGGCGATGTGGCTGAAAATCATTCTGAATGGCATAGATACACTCACTCTTTGTAACCTTCTATATCCAATAGGTTCTCATGTTTTTTTTCATATTCCTATTCTTTCTTCCGTAAACTTCTTCCATTGTAGTTCTTCTCTTTTTCCTCTTTCGTCTGTCTTTGTGTTAAAAAGCGAAGACGTTCAGCGAAGAGACTCTTTTCGACGGCGAATCCATTCACATAGCTGTACAATCGCATTTATAAATAATTATTTTGCATGTGTGTGTACATGAGGTTTGTCAAGTTTAGATAATTAATCGCGTAATACAAGAATGATCTAATATAGAAACAAGGTTAATTAGACAGCAACTTAAGTAAGATTGAGTTAGTTAGAAAGTTGGATGACGTAATATAACTGACTAGAATGTTTCAACTTAGGTCAGGGTAGCAACAGAGGTAATTACAGGTAGGGACTAAGTTGAGGCGGGGGTAGAGAACAGGAAAGTTGAATGATAGGTAGTCTTCCCACTGATAAAACGTTTGGTCAAATAAAAATAAAAGTTTATATTTTATCAAGTTTAGTGGGAAAAGAAAATCCTCCATGCAATCAAACAGAATCCCTACAAAACCAATACTTGGAAAAGAAAATCTCTGGAGGTAATCAATCACGTTGAAGGTGATCAGGTGTGGTAGTAGTTATTACAATCATGGAGGATTTGCAAAGCTCATTTCAGTATTTAAGACGTTGTCTAGATAGACACTGAAAAGCTTTGTAATTAAACCATCTAGTTCAGAAAACACAACTACACCAGTATTATTATTATTATCATTTATTTCTTTTCACCGAATCTCAGCTTCTTGTTTCTTTGTTTATTTTATCAATGCGAGTGTTATTCACATCTCTGCTACTGAAGGCCACCATGAAGGTTACTTTTTATAGCAGAATCAGTTTAGTGAAGAAATCAAACAAAAAATATACATATATCTAGTAAACGGATGCTTCTTCCCTACCATGACAACCCAGAAGATCTTTTTTCTCATTAACAGGCTTTATGAAAAGCCTAACATATATACTTTAAATATATAGGACTAGTTGAATCAGGCTGATAGAAGAGGAAAGAAGATAGACTTTCAAGATGACTTTCCCTGCCTTCCTAATGGAACATTGGGCTTTAAAGAGTGTAGTTTCAGTAACGATGATACTGTTTTTTTTTTCCGACAGGATGAGATTGCTAGCTTTGTCGTTGAGCTTCCTTGTTTTCTGGACTTACTGTTGTCTAGTTATGTAGGCCTGTAGCCTGTAGCAAAGCCCAGATCTCGCGGATGTATAGCTAGCGCTCTGCAATTGAATTATCTACGCACCTTCGGAATACCCACTCCACTGTTAATAATACTTCGGTCTGATTACAGGATTTCATCATGAGCTGAAATTGATTAGAGAACCATTCGAAAACCAACTGGGAGTACTGGACAGCTGTTTCAGCGTAGTTTCAGACTCTTCATCAGTACGCACCCACCACAAGAGGTTCGAACCCAGGACCTTCTGGTTACAAGTTGAGCTAGCTCGTAGACCATTATGCCACTGGGATCCGATCCAATGGCCAGTCCATGAATTCTAACTTCTGCCAATGCACGATATAGCGCAATCGCTAGCCAATATCTTCGGCGAGTATTTTTCCTCACACCCGACCTGCTGCACCCTACTGGTCACGACTTCCCACTGGAACCCCTACCTGAATAGGGCCAGTCGCCCGTGAGCATTTCATTGATGTTCAAGTATTGGTTTGTAGGGATTCGGTTGATTGGTTACAGGATTCTATCATGAGCTGGCATTGGTTGGAGAACCATTGGAAAACCTGAAGGGAATACTGGACAGCTGTTCCCTCCGTCCTAGTTTGGGACTCTTCGTCAGTACACATCTACCGGGGTTCATATATTCACCTGTACACCTCATCTCTGTGTCCCTGTGTGTGTTTTTCATCAACTGGTTAAAAGTTTGTCTCTCTCTCACTGACTGACAAATTTTGATTAGAGGCAATCGGTAGGAAGCCTCGATTCCGGAATTATTGACTGCAGTTTCTAAGGAATTGGATTACACTGGATCAACTCAGCATGGAGGATCTCACCTTCTTCTTCATTTTAAATACCTCCTACTCATGTGTGCCGATAAAATCGAAACGCAATAGCAAGCCTTCCTGTCGATTGCCACTAAGCATCGATTTAGAATTCAAAGTACGCAGCCTGATACGAAGTGTTTAAGCTTGGTGATCACATTATGAAAGCTTAACCAAAAGAATTCAGTCAGTATTAATGTCACGGATAAGATTCTTATCCAGGTTTCTAATCATCAATTCCACTCATGTATATAAATGAAGGAAAAAGTTGTGTGAGTGAGTGACTTGATATGATGATGAATGGCAATAATCTGTGCTCGAAACATGTGGTCATCAGTTGATATTACTGTATAACACTACACTGTGTGAGTCTTTATCAAAATAAAATCTTATCCATACTGAATTTATACTCTACCAGCACAGTGCCCAAGTTTTATACTTATATAAAGCTTCACTCTAAGAGTGTGCATATATTCATCATCACCTTAAACTGTGTTGACTTTTGTTTGTATCACAACAAAAGCTCTGTTGTCGTCAACGAATGGTCTTATCTTCTTTTTTTGGTTTAGCGGTGGTATTTTGATGTTGTCATTATGGCCTTAATGGTGGAGGGAATCGACATTGTCAATAAAGATTGTAGCAGTTTTCGTTAGTGGATTAGTTTCGTATTGCTTAATAGTTTACTAAGACGTATTACGGGTTCTGTGAGAGCATATGTTTGGCGCCTGCATATCTATGCTGAAATCAGATAGTCCACTGAAATGCATACTTATATCACTTTCTTTTTAATCCTTGAATTAATTTTTCTGGTATACTTCTATTTTTTTCAATAACAGGTAGTCCATTCCAAGTACCTATTCGTGATGTTGTTGATCCAACTCGTGTACGATGTTATGGTCCAGGCTTAGAGCCAAGAGGTGCACGAGCTCAACAACCAGCACACTTTACTGTAGATGCTTCACAAGCTGGAGATGCACCAATACAAGTAAGTCGTGATTACAAATATATACTATTACTGGTAACATGTTTGTGACATGCAGTCAATAAAAAAGGGGGAATGATCGATTTCCAGGCATCTCAAGTATTCAACCCTGATTGCCCACGTAGTGCCAATGAAGTATGTGGGCTGTATAATAGGTGATTTCAGAAAGTCAACTGAACTGGAGAAGTTGAAAAGTGTGGTTAACTGTGACATGGCTGAGAACACAACACCAATGTATGAATTGTTTGGTTGAGGAAGAGTCGAAGTCGCATACAGAGATGTGGGACACTCCTAAGAAATATCCTTTTCGATAATATCCTCCTCCTCTGGCTCCACAATTATACATATATATGTTTATATATATAGAATATTCTAGAATAGTAGTCAATAACAATATTAGTGTGCTTTTTAAATAATATCGATTTGTAAAGTAAGACCACAATCAAATTACAGTTCATTAAAGATGCTTAAATTCTAATAATAATAAAGATATAGTAGCAAATAGAATATCAACTTAAATTAGTGAGATTTCCACAAAGAAGTGAGGGTCATTTGAACCTAGATGGTCAAGGTAAGGACACCGTTTGAACTAGCTTCTTTTGGACACATAAATTAGGCTTCTTAATGTGGATCCCAACGGCCAGCCTGAGCAATATTTAGTGGTTGAACTCTTAAGGGGAAGTTAAGATTTCTTGGTATGTGATAAATGACTTTGAAAGCCTCCTCGTTGGCATCAATCTTGTTCTCTGTTTGTATCCACAAGATGAAATAGAACAGCGCTACGAATAGATTTTGTTTGCCCTATACTTAATCACTATGCAGGGTAATGTTCGAAAATCCGACGAGAAACACACCTAATTGTACGGCCTATGTAACTGGCTCCACAGGAGCAGTTATATTGGTAGATACACATAGAAGAAGCTAAATTAGACAGCTCACCTTTTACTCCCGAACGCAAAAGAGGAGTGGTTTTAAAGGCACAGGGTAATTCAGCAGCATGGAATGATCTTTTCACTGCATTCATAAGGCTCTTTGTTAGTATCTCGCTGATATTATCCACGAGGAACTGGATCTGTAAGAATAAAGGCGTTTCAAGAATTTAAGTATGGACAATACTCCAGCTGGCGACATTAAAATACTAATGGGAGACATAAACGCCAAACTGGGACCAGACAACACAGTGGCACAGACAAACAGTGGCTCACTACGGACACTTGGAAACTAATAGAAGAGAGAAGGACAGTGAAACAAAAGATTATCCAGTGCACTGACGAGCAACAAAAACAGGAGCTGAATGCAAGCTACAATATACTGAACAAAAGAGTGAAGAATAGTGCCAGGGAAGACAAAAGAAAATGTTATGAAACCATGGCAAACGAAGCAGAACAAGCTGCAGGCAAAAGAGACCTCGCCACACTCTACCAAACGACTAGGCACCTATCGGGCAAAAGTTCGACACAGATTAAGCCAATAAAGGACGACAATGGAAAGTCAATCACCAAAGAGGTGGAACAGAGAAAGCACTGGGCTGAACACTTCAAAAGACTTCTAAATCGTCCGCCACCTACAACACGTCCAGCAATACCAACAACGGAAGCAGAACTACCAGTGAACACTGACCCCCCCGACGAAATCAGAAGTCCTGAATGCAATCAAGATGCTTAAAGCTGGGAAAGCACCAGGACCAGATGGAATCCCAGCAGAAGCTTTGAAAATAGACCCAGAGACAACAGCGGACTTGATGATGCCACTACTGGAGAAGGTGTGGAAAGAGGGCAAAGTACCCGAGGATTGGAAGAACGGATACTTATTCAGACTAACAAAGAAAGGAGACTTAAGTCAATGTAAAAACTGGCGTGGAATTATGCTTCTGTCCATTCCAAGCAAGATACTAAGTCGCATCATCCTGGAGAGAATCAAACAAGCCCTAGATGAAAAACTTCGTCCGGAACAGGCCGGATTCAGGAGAAACAAGTCATGTATTGATCAAATCGCCATTCTTCATCAGCCATCTTTCAAAGTTATATACATGGTAAAATCCAATCGATCCAAAAGTTTATGTCTTAATTGGCAAAGAAGGTAAGGATAATGGTTGTCCGAATGCCTATCGCCTGCCTCAGCTGTGTGTGTGTGTGTGTGTGTGTGCAGTAGACGAATATTAAGTCTATTGGAAAGATTCGGTGGGATATGATGAATTAATTACTTTGAAAGCTCTCGTTTTTCTCCACTATAGGACCACTATCAATTAAATGTGATAAAATTGAGCTACGAATTGTTTTTGTCTATTCTAAATTTTACTATGGGAATATTTAATATATTGAAGTTATTGCTGAAAATATTGTTCATAAAGACAAGGAATGCTTAGCAATCATAAACCACCCTATTCAGAGAAGAAGAATACAGAAACACTAAAAGCCTGTTGCAGAGATATTGGTGAATTCACATTGGATCAACAAGTTAGTACAAGCCGAAATGAAGACAGGACTTTTGGTGAACAAAGAGAAGATAGAGACGATTAAAATACCTAACCAAAAACAAGCGACAAGCAACAATCACACTCAACGAGAGGATTCTAAAGGAACTATTTTCTTTCAGGTCCCTGAATTATGCAACATCGTTTCAACTGCAGAAGGTAGCATGGGTGTGGATGTCAAAATCAGTCAGCTATAATCTGATCGGGAAAGAAACCAAAAGTTGGTGCAAGCAAAAAGATCTGAATTTTCAACACAAATATCAAATCACTGCTTCTATATTACTCAGTAATTCGGTGTGACATCATCAAAGCATTTCCAATAGGTTTTCCAGCATACTACCTGTAACAACTGCTCTAGCTCAGTAATAATGACCACATGGTCGACATGAAGGGATAAGAGACAAGCAGTTTTGGCAATGTACCGATCAATGACCTACTGACCAACAAATGTGTAGAATGGTATAGAGATGGAATGGACATATTTCGAGCAGATGGTTGAGTGAAATCACATTCTTGGACCCTTAGAGGAACTTCAATGGAAAGAGACGAGTTGGGTATGAATCCAAGTGTGATATGTTAGAGATCGTGTGAAAAGGCGATAATATGTTGAGAATAGGTATAGATCCAGCTGAAAAGGATCTCAGAGAAATGAATGAGGTGGTGACGTACTTTTTAGGCCCTATGTGCTATTCACAACTCAAGAAATGAGTAATTATATAATATAATATTTTCAAGTATTGGTTTCGTTGGGATTTTGTTTGATTGGATGAAGGATTTAATCATGAGCTGACAACAGTTAGAGAACCATTGGAAAACATGCAAAGATAACTGATAGACAGCTGTTTCCTCCGTCCTAGTTTGGGACTCTTCAGCGGTGTGCACTCACCACGATAGTTCGAACCCAGGACCTTCTGTTCACAAGGCAAGCTAGTTCGTAGACCATTAAGCCACTGGGACCCAATCTGGTAGCCACTCCGTGAATTCCAACTTCTGCCAATTCATGACATAGCGTGACCAGTTAGCAGTGTCTTCAATGATTAACTGTCCACATCTTCGACCTGCTACACCCTACTGGTTATGGCTTCTCACTAGAATCCCAGGTAACTACCCATATGAATAGGCAGTAACTCATAAAGGAAGACACTGTGAAGTGGTTGCGCTATGCCAGTTAATCAGCACAAGTTTGAATTCATGGACTGTTCTTTGGACAGGTTTCCAGTGGCTTAATGGTCTACGAGCTAGCTCATCTTGTATCCAGAAGGTCCCGGATTCGAACCTCTTGTGGTGGCTGCGTGCTAATGAAGAGTCCGAAGCTGGGACAGAGGGAACAACTGTCTGGCAGTACTCCCAGTTGGTTTTCGAATGGTTCTCTAACTGATGTCAGCTCATGATGAAATCCTCCAATCAATCTAATATAAAAGTTGGGAAATAAACTGCAGAAAGTCTTAGAAACAATCGTTATTCTTGCATTTCTCAACGCCCTTATCACTCCTTGTTGAAGCCAATATCACAACAAACAGTTTGGCTTCACTTAGTGTCTCAGTCTATAAAATACTTCGGTGTTTTACCCATGGTGAATTGATCTTTTGGATATTTTTATACGACATTTAAAACATCCTTCTTTTCACTAATATTCAAAATTTACTTGTTAAAAATGCCTACAAAAAAATATTTATCCATGATAAAAAAAATTCAGGATAAATTACAAAACAAAGTATGTTACATAACCATTTTGTAAACTAACAAAAAATTAGGCGAATGGTGGTATGTTCACTCACATTCCTTTAAAAGGGAACTAACACCACACTAACTAGTATGTTGTAGGTGTAATCGATAAGCACAAGAACAAATCCTATTATGTGTATATTTATGAATGCGTAGGCAGTAGGCAATGTACACGCAGTAGCACTAAGCAGTACAAAGAAAGACCTAAATGATGAAATAAAACAGATAGGTGAGACGTTGATGTTAAATAACTAACTTTCCTATAAAATTCATTAGAAAGATTGAAAAAGGCCAAAAACAAAATAAAAATAATTGTGAAACTAGTAGTGATAACATAAATAAGAGAGAATATAAGTCATCTACTGTTATACCATATAAGGAAGGGAAATCTGAGAACCTATGTAGTAGGATTCTTAATAAAGTAGGAATTAGCACCGTGGCATTTAAACCTACAAACTCACTCAGGTAGGACAAGCTCTGTAGGCTAAAAGACCCGATGGACCCAATTGAACAAAAACATATAGTTTAAAAAATATCCTGCAATGACTATGAGTGAGGTCAACTACATAGATCAGACTAGTAGGTCGGGAGTAATCAGATTGTCGGAACATGAGAATTTAGCTAAGATACGAATGGTTCACCCAGAGAGATAAGTAATTTAGAAAAAAGCCCAGCAATTGCACTACATGCATTAACACACATCCACACAATAGCATGCTGGGAGAGGGTTAAAATCCTAACAAGTAATCTATGTAGGTGGAGAGACAGGTTGATTGGTTACTGAAAACTGACTGGTTCATCGAGTCTACACCCAACACAACATATGCAACAGAAATGACTCAATGGAAATACCAGAAATATGCATGGAAGATATTATTACCGCCAGTCAGTCAGTCAAATCGGAGGAGGATAATAAATAATCTCAAAATTCTATTTCATTTCACGCATATCATAACATTCTAACAAGTTACTTATTTTGACTATAAAAACACTCGTCCTATTTCCCATATATATATATATATATATATATATATATATATATATATATGAACCCGTCTCACGGTGACCATCCATGTATGGTCCTTCGCACTTTTGGAGCAGTTTGCATGACCCAGGTTCGTGTTGCCTGTGTTTCACCTCATACTATCATATGCTGCCTTTGTTCGACCTCCTAGCAGCGATCCAAGCAACAGCCTCATCTCTGGCGGATCTTGAACTCCACTCAACTACGTAATACTCTCGAAGTCCTGCCCGAAGATTTATGTGTCTCCATCAGAAACTGGAGGGTATAGGCTTTCCATTCGTCGGCAGGTAGCAACACCAAATGTTACAACAGAAGGCGAGACACAGAAGCCAGCGGATATTTTTCACTAATCAAACCTCTGTTTATATATCTATAGTTTATATTCGTTAACCAATCATTGAGCGGGCGATTTCGGTCTATATCGAACGACAAGCAACAAAATTTTCTATAGTTGGTTGGGAATCATTGGCAGTACGCACCCACTGCCAGGATTCGAACGCAGGACCTTCCAGTTACAAGGCAAGCTCGAGGACCATTCAACCACTGGGACCCGATCTAATGGCCACACCATGAATTCTAACCTCTACCAATTCGTGTTCAACTATACGTAGTATTCTGTTGTTACTGCCTAATTGAACTTCTCCCTAGTGGAATCTGAGTGAGAAGTAACAAATTGAACATGATTCCGAGAGTGAAACAGACGACAGTGAGTGAATGAGGAGGAGAAAATGAAAGCTTATGAACGAGCTTAAAGCTAGCCGAAAAGCATGTCAAAGAACTGAGTGAAATGGCAATGCGCTTCTGAAGCTCTATGTCATACTATGAGGTAAAGAGATGATGAAGAAAAAATGCCTAACTACAAACTATTGAAGAGAAAAATACATTAGTAAAATACTGTTAGGTAATAATGTTGATCACGGATTGAAATCAGTTAGAGAAACACTGAAAATTAGGGAGTATCGGACATCGGTTTCTTCCTAGTCCGGGATTCTTCATCAGCAAGCACCTGTCTCCAGGATTCGAACATGTGGCCTTCTGGTTACAAGGAAAGCTTGTAGGCCATTCAACAACCACTGGCTCATGAGCTTCAACTTCTACAAGCTGTCCAGTACTCTCCAGTTTTAAATGGTTCTCTAGCTGATATCAATCAGAAATCAAACTAAAAATAAATGGAATCCCTGGTTTTAATTGGACATCAGTCAGTAACTAGTGTGTGTGTCTAGTTCTCCTATTTTTGGTGTAGACTGAATTCTCACATGAGTCCTGTTTGCAATGTGGTCACCATCCTAGACGGATAGCCATCACTGTGCACTGTGAATTGTTGACATTAAATAGTTGAAGGCAATCGACAGGAAGCCTTGCTTGACCTAGGTTTCGTGCCAGTTGGTACTTGTCAGTTCCTTCAAGGTGGTTGGAAATACGCCTTACTGACTTGTGAGTGCCAACTAGCACGAAATCTAGGTCAAGCAGGGCTTCCTGCCGACTACCTCGAAACATGTAAATGAATTCCTTACAAATGTACTGTTGGATAATAGGTAATAACTATCCTCTGGAATTCACTTAAGACTGCATAAATGTCAGACAAAGACATACGGCAGTCTAATCAGCTGTCACGAGGAATGCTTGTATATTTATCCTGTACAAAAGAGATCAAAATAGTTTGATCGTTAAACAAAGACTCACACAGACGCTTAAATATTACTTTCTGTACACCTGGGTGTGTATAACTACACGTTCTCTAGATTTCTTATCTTATTTCGGTAAACTAATCTAGATTTTGCTAGGTTTTTATGTTCAGCTAGCCTGACTGTCCCTGTTCTACTAGTTTGACCTATGTATTTGACCTGGTAATAATTGCAGGTATGGTATTAGATAAACTAAATTGTTTTGTTTTAAAGGCTCCACAGGATTGATCCTCTAAGGGATAAAGTTTGTTTCTAATTGAATTTGTGGATTTGAATGCCAACCACGTTTATTCCTGCCTTGTTAAGAATTCCTCGTAAGGTTTTCGAGGTACCTTCCTTGTATGGAATTACTGTTGGTGATTTAGATTCCTTGTTGTTGGTGTTGTCTTGCACATGATTGACACGCATGTCGTCATTAATATTATTACAGTTACACACATCCATACAACAGGATGGGAAAGGATGGCAGTTTTAAATTCTAATGTAATAGCAGGGTGGAGGGAGAGATTGATAACAGAAGCTTTGTTAATCGAATCAACTGCAAACACGTGTAATAGGAGTGATTCAACACCTGTCCAGTCGGAGATCTGGAAAATTCTACTACTCTAGCGACGACATACAGGAGAAGATAAAGAAAGCTATAAATCTTAAGTTTCAAAGTCGTGTTATTACAATTGATGAAATAATTATGAACAGCAATAAATATTTTTTGAAACTGTGTCATCCAGTAAATAATACTGTTTCATCACTGTGTGATACATCTAATAAACAAACTAATATGGAAACACCTGATCTCATTTTCATAAATAAAACGAAATTTATGATGTTCTGTAAACACTGACAGCTGCCTAACAGTAATGTCATCTCTCAAGGTGTCTATCAATTTACATGTATGTGTGGTAATATGTGGACGTGGAGGACTTATTGATCTTTGCGTGTCAGTGTTGTAGAACACATTCCTAAAAGGGTGTGAGAAAGTATAAATTCGTCAGATTCGAATAACCTTAACGTCATTTATCGCAAAACTGATCTCAGTAGTGTCTTCAAATCTATTTGGAAAACAGGTTTGAGTCATATACTGAAATTCTTCGAAGCCTTAATTATAAAACGGCTTAAACCTGTTTTTATGTGTGTTCCGGAAATAATTTCTTATTCTTTTGATTTTGCCTTGATAATCAAATTTCTAAGCCAAGGTTTATTTTACTTATTTTTTTGTACCTCTGATCAACACTTAGGTTGCAACAGTTGATCGTCTGGGAAGATCGAATCCAGCTCATATCGTTCCACGACCAACTCAACCAGGTGTTTATGATGTCACCTATGTACCGGATACAGATGGTCCATGTCAAATTGAAGTGAAACAAGGTGGTAATCATGTAGCACGTTCACCATTTATGCAACATGTTCTACCAGCATTTGAACCTCAACGAGTTCGTGTCACCGGTGAAGGTGTTCATCCAACACGACCATTAGGTCTACCAGCGACTCAGCCTACCTCTTTCCAAGTAGATACAAGAGATGCAGGACTTGGAGATTTAGAATTATCAGTAATGGTATGTTGTCATTATTATTTTTTGAAGTGCGTCGTTTTTTTCTAAGCGAACCTTTAATTTCTTTTTGATTTTACACTGAGCTTTGATCACTCAAAGGCTTAGAATTGGTTGTGCTCAAACAGATTTTTAACTCAGTTGGGTAAATGCCAAAGAATTATCTATAATGGCGTAACACTAACCTCATCAAATATAATGCATTCCATATAAGATGTCATCTTCTATAGTTGCTTCTTGTCCTATCTGATGATGCAAAAAGCTAGAGTTTCGTGTATAACGCGGACATTCAGTGTCCGACAAGATACCATTCGTGAATACCCCTTGCTTGAGTCCATGTATTTACCCACATTAGTATTAACAAGTTGGTTTAGCTACCGCACATTTGTATAACGGAGTCTTTCTTAAGTACCTCAAAAAAATATTAAAGGAGAGCACAATAAAGCAGAATAGATAGATTACATGAATTAACAAACTTAGAAAGTAGAGACTGACTGACACAAGATAATCTTAACTTCCCTACAAAGAAGGTTAGATGGATATATATATATATATATATATATATATATATATATATATATATATATATATATATATATATCTTTACAGAAATTAACATGATATGTATGGAAAGACGAGGAATAACATAATCCAAGCCATTTAAGATATAACTTAGTTCATGATTTAGTCACCTTTGTGTCTACAAATGAAATTAGCAATTTAACATTTGAAGGGACAAAGCTTGAGACCATCGCATAAGGACCAACTAGAATGTAAACGAATCATTCATCTGTAATGACTTAATTCTGCCTATCCATCAAATAGACAACTAAATCATCATTTCACTCATTATTCTTCTTCGCAATAAAATTACAACGCGTTGAACATATTGCCTAGGGAGGTAATAATACCTACTCAATTAAACCAACAACACCACCACTACCAACAACAACGCTTGAATTTCAAATCTGTATACTATTTCAATTGACCTACCTAATATATAGTAGCAGATAAATACTCTTCCATTCAGTAATTTTCTGATGACTACTGATATCTTCCTTTCCATTCCTTTTTTTCTTTTAATTACCCATGCTTACGTAATCATGCCACTTACACAATGAACGGTAATTTATATCAATGTAATTGTTGTGCGTGTGTGTGTGTCACCTATGTTGTCCTGTGATCATTTCGGTTCCATTTGATTCCTTGTTTTTTTTCCCACTATGGAATTAATGATTGTCTTTCTCATTTTTCAAGAATGATATGGAACCTGTTACAGCAGGTTTAAGTATACACAAAGCAGATGAAAAGAATAATCCCTCATCGTAATATATACATATATTAGTGTGCAGGGGATGAATCATCCCTTCTATTTCCTTCCCTTCCCTTATTAATCAAGCGGAATTTACTCCCAAGGCAAAAAGAGAAAAAAGGCATTTCGAATAACATCCAACTTGATCTAATTTTGTGCAGAATTAGTATTCTGTTTTCGTTTTCGTTTTCGAAGGGCCGGTTCCCTGTTCACTAATAACAATGTAACAGTGAAATGTATACAGATTACTTACTACCTTATTCAGTAGTATAGTAGTGTCTTAATTTGTTCTTTGTTTGTTGTTTTTTTCGTTCCCTTCCTAATGTTTTACTGTTTACAGTTGACTTCAACTTTCTTCAGTAAAACAAATGTAAAAAAAAGATGTTTGATGATTGTAAACTGGTGTTTTTCTTTTTGTATTTTGTCTCCGTAAATATTCACAAAAAATTGTAGATATGCAGTGGTAACCAGTTTTTGTGACTCCATTTTGACACTATCACCCGTGACTAAACCTCAGTAAAAATCTGCTCTGTTCTTGGCTTCGGTAAGCTGGCACAAATCATTAATAACTGTCTTATTCTGGTAATTACATCATCTTCGCATAATACAGAATTCTCAGAGTAATTTCGCTGCACCATGATGACTCCTTGTGCAGAATCTTTAGGTGAAAAATATTCACCAACAGACTGTATCTCCTGACGTGACTCGTGACGTCATTCTATCTGGAATAAGACTTAGGTCTCTACAACAATTTACCCTCATTCTCTGCTCGAAGTGTTGTACACCCAGTAGGTTTGAAGACAGTTCGCAATTCGAGCGAGTTCATGTTGCTATCCAATCACATAATTGGAAGATTATCGCAACAAGAGGACAGTAAAAAGAAGATGCATTATGCTGGCAGGCCACCATCAACACTCCTACGATAGAAAGAAGGTCCAACACTAAAACACTGTATCATTATCTTATCTATAAAACTAAATCAAATGTTCCCTTAATTTTAGACTACTGCATGACAGTGAGGAACAAATTTTCGCCAAAATATTCATACTACTTAAATCGCGAACTATTTGTAAATGATTTTTTACGCGGTCTACACTTGAATTAAATATTGAACCAAACGAGTGGGCGTGTAAATGTTGACCTTGTAGCAAATGGCCAATCAAAGTGAAGCAGGCTGATTCAAATAATACTAATAACAATAATAATAATAATAGTATATTCGTGAACGATGATGAACAGAAATTAAAACACCTTTAAGATAACTGGTCAGTCACATATTCTAAAGAAGTGAAAAGTGATACCCACGAATGATTTCAAAATTCTGGGATCCAAACGTAAACAGTTTGGGAAGCGTTCATTTTTTTAAAGGTTATTTTACTCGTAGTTTACTAAACCACCTGTGAGTAAAGACCATAATTAGCTGATTTTCCCTGTTGTATTATTATTATAACATTAGGGAAACGGCATTCAGCTAAAAGACTTTTGACAAAGAATTCATTACTACGCATTTCATGAATCATACTATTTAACTGTTGTTGATAATGGATTGGTATTCCTCAGGGAGACATCTTAAAGAGGATATGATCTTCAGTGTTGATCGCATGTTATACAACCCTAGTCCGGCTTTGAAATTATTTTTTCGATGGAGGAGGGAGTCAGGGTGCTGGTTTGATCCTTTCATCCAGGTGTGGATTCGTTCTTACCTTATTGGTCCCTATCTTTGATAATGTGGGGTACTGTCTGCATTTATTAGATTGCCTAACCACAAGTTCGTGCACACCCCTTTATTTTAATGTGACCTCAACAGAATTAAACACTTTAGATTCACATGGTCATATCTTGTGAATCGGCTTAAAAGATTATAGCGCATCAAATTCACAATCAACGGCTCGTTTTCAAGGCGCTAAAAACGTTGGTGTAGGAGAATCTTTCTTCTCCTGAAAAACCAATATCAAGACAACATGTGAAAGTAGACTCATACTCATAGTTTGGTTAGTGTGTACTCTTTCCTCCTTTAAAAGTTAGACTGTTTCTCACAGCTTCAGTCGTCTGTATCCCCTGAGGAAATTTAAAGAATTTAGGGATAGCGTTAGTTGATATAAAAAGAAACATTTGTGATAATAATCATGATATTCAAATGTTGGTTTTCTAGGGATTTTTTGTTTAATTGCATAGAGGATTTCATCATGACCTGATATTGGTTAGAGAACCACTGGAAAACCTGCAGAGAGTACTGAAGACTTGTTTAATCCTAGTTTGGGACTCTTCGTCAGTACGCACCCACCAAACGGGTTCGAACCCAGGACCTCCTGGTTACAAGGCGAGCTAGCTCGTAAACTATTAAGCCACTGGGACCCGATGGAATGGCCAGTCCATGAATTCTAACTTCTGACAATTCACAACATAGCGCCACCATTTCGCAAAGTCTTCTTCGATGAGTTACTGCCACATCTTCAACCTGCTGTACCCTACTGGTTACGGCTTCTCACTAGAACCCCACCTGCCTGAATAGGCCAGTTGCTAATAAGCATCAGATTAATTTTCAAGTATTGATTTGATAAGGATTTCTTGTTTGATTGCATGGAGGATCTCATCGGAGGACCATTGGATCGGTCCCAGTGGCTCAATGCTCTACGAGCTCGCCTTGGGTTTGAACCTCGGTGGGTGCGTACTGCTGAAGTGTCCCAAACTAGGACGCAGAAAACAGCTGTCCAGTACTCCCTGCAGGTTTTTCAATGGTTTTCTAACCAATGTCAGCTCATGAGGAAATCCTCCATGCAATAATCATAATAATTAAACATTGAAAGATAACAAAGTAGGTTGAGTAATATATATATATATATATATATATATATATATATATATATATGTATAAAGTAGTTCATAGAATGTTAGTTAATGGATCATAGAAATTGGTGTCAAGTATATAAATTCATCAGAGAGTAAAAAGATCACTGTACAGCGTGAGACAAGTTTGGAAAATGAGTGTTGTTCAACGCAAAACTAAGCATTTCAAGCAATTAAAATAGGTCGAACAAAATATCACTGAAAATATTCAAAAAGAAAAGATGATTATAAAATGCATTCTACTTGGACATAATAGCAGTATTTCAGCATCATTTTATGGAAAGCCGAGGACGGATGGGTGGCGGCGATGACATTTTTATTTCTTTTTTATTCCTTCACATTCCCACCAGAATATATAGGCTTGAAGTTTATGTAACAGTGGTGCTTATTTTCACAAGATGAGATTGCTAGCCTCATGCCCTCGACCTTCCCGCCTTACCAGTCTTCTGAATTGTTTAGGGAGGTAAAGGAGTGTGTGTGTGTGTGTGTGTGTCAGGGATCGAACCTTGAACCAGATGAGGCCTGGTCGGCAAGCACCCTACCGCCGCTGTACCGCCGGGGCACCTTTGTTTGCTTTCCACCTATTAACTGACTGATCTAGTACTGAGTTGACGTCATCTTACCACAGTTTCTGCGTTTTAAACTTCTTAAAGTCACTGGAGATCTTGTCAGATCTTGAACCGTTTTCCTTTACTGTTGTTTTGTTAAGTTAACCTGCTCACCGTTGTCATTTTGTTGTCATTTTACTCTATGTTATTGTGTGAATTTATCAGTGTTGTAGTGTTTCAGATATTATATTGGTATTCACCTATATATATATATATATATATATATATATATATGCATGAGCAGATATTCGTATGTTGATTATGTCTGCTATTAGTTCCAGTTTTTTTCTTTCCACTTACTCAATCCCTTAGAGAGTTTTACTGAAAATCTTGAACCATTGAACATCTGTGATTGTATATACAGGATGGGTGTTAGTCGGAAGTGCTGCAATTATTACACACTTTGAGAGAAATTCGAATTCACTGATCAGTAGATTTCAGCCCCGTGACTGGAAGGTCAACGTGCGGAGAGAGGGCTGGCTGCAAGCCAGAAATTGTCGACAACAATATACGTCAACGTTAAAGTCCCGAACCGGGGTCATGAGAAAAACAGTAGCAACGCTTAACCTTGGGGAACTCAACAACCAATCACAGCAGAATTAGCGTACGCAAATAGGATTCGCAGATATATGGCTTAACTTTCTGAGAAACGGTCACATGCAGTACAGAATAGGCTTCAGGAAGAAAACAACCAATCAGAAGACGTTGCTTCGCTGATAACAATCGCTAATAATAATGTAGATAAAAATCTACAAATATCTGTTGATTTTCTCAATAAACGATCTGTTTCCTGGCCCTTGTCTTCTGTCGTAACAAACGCACTTCTCTGGTAACCTGAAGCTTATAGGTTCGATCGCTTGTGAGGACATATGTGGACAATGCTGAAGAGCCTCTAAATCAGGATGAAACAGCTGCCCAGCTCAATCTGGTTTCCAGTACTTCTCGAACTGGTGTCAACTCATGATGGAATCTGTGGAAAGATGAAGTAGAACTGTTTATAAAACGACAGTCATTGTGTAGACCTCTCACACTTTTTATGTGTGCCGTATACGATAGTATACCTTTTGTTGTCATTATAAGTATTGACGTTGTTGTAATAACCATTGTTGTCTCCGCAAAAACACATCTGCATGCATATCACACACACATACACGTAGCATTCACACAAATGATCTTACCTAACATATTCATTTATTCCTCTTCTAGGACCCTGATGGTCAACCATTACAATTAGAAGTTGTTGATGTTGGCGATGGAACATACGTATGTCATTATACACCAATGATTGTGGGACGACACACTGTACGCGTGAAATATGGTGGACAAGAAATACCTGAAAGTCCATTTTTAGTACCAGTTGCTCCATCTGGACGAGCTAATCTGTGTCGTATAGAAAGTAAGCAAGATTTGATTTCATTGTTATGTATATACATAGAGATTAAATCCCTATAATATATGGTTATTTTTAGAATTTAATTGATGGATGGTGAATAGCAGTGGAATCCAGGGCAACACACATTTCGTCTTATTTTAGGTCTCGTCAGCTGGATGTGCATCCTGGATTCCACTGCTAGTCACCATCTACCAATTAAATTCTAATTAAATGCCCAGATATCGTCGAAGCATCTTCACAAGAAGCCGACAGACATGTCAACTCGAGACCGAGCACTTCGCACAAATCAATCGACGGGGAAATCTAAAAAAAATTCAATTAAATATGATCAGCTTTTTTATTTCCTTGGTTTCCAAGTGGAACATTAGGGCTTTAACAGTACCTCTCTATTTTGTCCTGTCATCTGAATTCATTTTTATCTGGTTTCACATTCGTTCAAAAGCTTTCTTCTCCTCAAATGAACTGTCCTCAAGATTTGACAGAATAGTTCTAAAATATTTGGGCGCCGAGTGAGAAGTAGACATTTGTAAAAAATTATGTTTGTAAAATGTCAGCGAGATTGAAATGAGTAATTCCAACATTTCCTGCGTTCAGCAAACTAGTCAGAACTCCTTCAGGAAAATTAATCGAAATTAACATAACTAAGGTTTATAAATAAAATGAACATTTCTTGTTTTTAAAAAACCTTGTCCAATCATGAGTCATCAAAAACAGATAGCAACATGTATAATAAACAAAATTGTATGAGTTGTGATCAAAATTTGTCCTCAGACTAACAAATATTGGTCTACATTTGGTAAACACTCTAAACACAGTATGTATGTTGTAAAACAATGTCTTAACGTCTCCATAAGTAGATATAGACAGTCAGGAACTTTGATCAAGTATTATTAGTTAGTGATACATATCCATTTTATTTATTAATCAGGATTTCATATGCGTCATCTAACATCACACCTTCATGTCTGTTCAAACTGTTAGTATCTAGAATCTTATGATTAGACGTATTTTCAAAATTATGGTGTTTAGAATTAGAGTTTAGTTGAAGCACCTTGTCGGACTTATTGTTGTGTCTTCTTTCATACCTGTTTCACTCTCCGTTGTCTGCAACAGAATGCATATCCTAAATCCGTGGCTGTCGAGTCACCTGACAACTCCAGTAGGTCAAATGAAGCAGCTCAATCTTCAGAAAGATGACAAGGCAATAAGTTCGACAGGGTGCTTCAACTAAACTCTAATTCTAAACACCATAATTTTGAAAATACGTCTAATCATAAAATTCTAGATACTAACAGTTTGAATAGATATGAAGGTGTGATGTTAGCTGATGCATAGGAAATCCTGATTAATAAATAAAATGGATATGTATCACTAATTAATAAAACTTGGTCGAAATTCCCGACTGTCTACATCTTCTTATGGAGATGTTAACAAATGTTTTACAACTGTTTATCCACACACATGCACACCCTCTTTAAAGTGTTTACCAAATGTAGACCAATATTTGTTAGTCTGAGGTCAAATTTTGATCACAACTCATACAATTTTGTTTATTATACATGTTGATGCCTGTTTCATGACTCATGATTGGACAAGGTTTTTTAAAAACAAGAAATGTTCATTTTGTATATAAACCTTAGTTATGTTAATTTCGATTAATTTTCCCGAAGGAGTTCTGACCAGTTTGCCGAACGCAGGAAACGTTGGAATTACTCATTCCAATTCCACTGAGATTTTACAAATATCATTTCTTTTTCTTTTACAAATATCAGTCTTCTCCTTCTAACACGATCTCCTGTATGTTACTCTTGTCCCTGTACCCAACTCATTGTTTCCCAATCACGTTCCACTCAAATTGTTTGGAGCGTAATGTGGTAATTCACTTTTCCACTCCATCTGCATTTGTCCAGTATATTTTAATTAGTTGATCCGTTCTTGATTGATTCGTTGACAATGTTGCTTGAGCCTGAATTGCTCAGTGGTAGTATCTCTGAGTGCAGCACTGAGTAACGTAGTTTCGAATCTCAGAGGTTGCAGACACACCTTACTGATGGGACTCACTTAGGCGGTACATATAGTAAACTTGGAAAGATGAGCATGACCCATATAAAAGTATGACGGGCAAAATTGTCAAGCCTTCCATATTTGTATTGACTAGCATGGTGGTGTACACCTGTAATCTAACTACTTAAATTGGAGGTTGCGGAATTCGGTGGGACTGGGATTCTTAACAAATAGGTGCTCATGTCAGAGGGGCATTCACACTAAGCATGGAAATGACACGGATGATCTGTCGATGGACGAGTTGTCCATGTCAGTTAAGTAGGGGAAGAATGGTCCAGTTCAGTTTAATTCTCCTTGATTTAGAAGAAACCGGCAGTGAGATTATGAACGGATATTTCATCCTGTTTGAAACTCACCAATCGGATGCACCCCCATCGTATTGAGTCCACTCTGAATTATTACTATTATTATTATTATTATTACTGAGTGGTGTAAGGCAATCGGTAGGAAACCCTATACCTGGGTTAGTTGCTAATGTGTACTTATCTGAAAGGCATATCTGCAGTCGGTAACCTAACTGACGTCCCATTTGAGCTGCCAACTCACACTGTGATGACAGCTGTCTTCTAGCCGAAATTGTAGACAACTATATATGCCAACGTTTACGTCCCAAGTCGGAGTCAACAACAATAACAAAGCCTAACCTTGAGGAACTCAACAACCAATCACAGCAGACTTAGCGTGTGCAAATAGGATTCACAGATATATGGTCTGACTATCTAGGAAACGGTCTCAAAGAGATGATAGAATAACCTTCAGGAAGAAAACAACCAATCAGAAGACGTTACTTCTCTGATAACAATAACGAAAATCTATAAATATCTGTTGATTTTCTCAAACAAAAAATCTGTTGCCTGGCCTTTGTCTTCTGTAGTTACAACATCATCAAATGCTTTAGTCAGAAATACTTCCTCTGAGGTTGAATAGTGCTATGGTAACATTACTAACTGGAGTACTGAGTGGCGGGATTCTGATACCCACTGGGAACACCAGTCACTCGAAGTGTGCTAAACAAGAGTGCCAATAAGCACAAAGCTTAAGTCCAGGACCCCTTCAAAACCACTAACTGGCTAAAATCCAAGTCCAATATTTAAAAATTTTTTTTATTCAAAATTATCTTCATCAATCATACAACTTTCTTTTGTTGTAAATGTCTTTTAATCCTATGATGGAATCAACGAATCCTTTTTCGTAGCTATACATTTTTCCTGAAAAAGGCCCTTCCTTTCTTCTTTCACTGTTCACATAACAGCACAAACATTAAGTGAGAGGAAATTTTAAATAATAATAAAGAAATGTAGGTATTTCCAGTTTTCTTTTTTTTCTAATTTATGCCTCTGATTTTATTTTTTATGATTTCTACTTGTTTATAACCTTTTCTTGGCTTATATCCAAGTAACGAGAAAAAGAAGCATTTTATAAAACTGCCTAAAATAGTATCATATATATCACATGCTGTTATTGTTTATTGACGATGTACACATCATCCAAAACATACATAAACATAAGCTTAATTCCCCTAATTATTCATCCAATCAGAAAGCAGAAATTTACTGCGTAGGTGTGTCTGTGTCATACACACACAGTATGTGTCTTTGTACTAGAGTATTTATTCTTCACTATTCAACCCTACATGCAGTCTATTGATTTTTGTTTGCATATTTATTGATTTATTTCAGTCATATAGTGCCTAAATGTGTGTACATTTCTCCCGCATTCAAATATGCGAGGCGTTAAGATTGTGTATAGAATACTAACTGATACGGCAGTAATAACAATACCAAAAATCAATCATATTAGAATAAAAAATATTTAAGGGACAAACACACTGTTTGTTAGAGTTATTTTGAATTTTCCGCCTACATGGATGCTAAATTTACATCTCAGAGAGAATGGCACCACGCCACCTTGGCAATAGAATTTTCTAGACATCTAGGAGAAATGTGTTCAGTTATTTCTGTCGTATGCATGCTCAGTTGATACGATAAATAAAGCTTCAGTTATGCATCTCTTTTTCTCTCTCCAGCCACCCTGTTACTTTGGATTTTAGGACAATTACTTTTTCCCATCCTACTGTGTGTTTGTGTGTAATTGTATAATACAGTGCTAGAGCTGAGCTTATTTCTACATTTATCATATTAGGATCTACTGGGTTGGACTTCACCAAGTTTCTGTGCTCGGCCAATGTAGTCGGTCTTGGTTTGGACTATATCTTAACCTATATATCTTTGATCTCACAGTTATAACAAGGTATGAGATAACAGACTCCAAAGAATCCTGTAATCAGCATAATTTGTTTCTAAATGAGTTTGTAGGCGACTGAATACCAGCTTAATTCCTGTTTGGTTTGTTAGAAATCCTATATGTGGACACCTGTTAATAATAATGCTGTTTCACTGACTATGTGATAAACCCAGAAAACAAATCATTAGATTCCGCCACGAACCAACCTCAGTTAAAGCTATACTTGAAAACCATGAAGCACTGGACAGCCGTTTTATCCTATTTCAGGACTCTTCATCAGTGTTACTCCATGTACGTGCTTAAGTTGTACTGAGAAGAAGACGTGAGGAGTCCACCAATATAAGGTGAAGCGAATGCTTATTGAAGGTATTCATGACGGAAGTGTGATGAGGGATACTAATAATCCTATATAAGTAATATATCAGTAAACGAATTCAGAAAAGTAACAATATGTGTCAGGCACTGGGAAAAGCAATCGAAACAAAGAACTATGAGCAGAACGTTACAACACTGCATAGAACCCAGCAAACTATCGAATGCGTTGATTTTCGATCATGGAAAACACCCATATGGACATTCGAAAGAAGAGAATACGAAGTTCAGCAAAGATGACGATCGTTTCGGCGATTTCATTTTCAAAAGCTGTACAATCGCATTGAAATACATAATCTTACATGGATACAATTCTAGTTTGATTACACATAATTATGATGGCAAATAAAAGGTGATAATTATTTTCAACTAGATATAGTTTATACGAAAGGCTTAGGAACAAAATTACACAGGATAAGAACGGATAAAAAGTGAGTAAAAATGAGCATGGAAACAAAATTGAAATAATAATTTTCAACTTGAGATGGAAGTTAGGAGGTGTGAATATAGATTACAACAGCCTTAGAAACACAAAAATTGAACAGGGTTAAGATATAATTGTTAAATAGTTAATTTTTAAATCAGTTATAAATGTCAGCGGGAAAAGCATGGAAACAAAAACTTAAAATAACTGTGTTTTTATAACTGAAAAAATGGGGTGAATCGAATGAAGACAGAGGGGGTAAGAATCACACACACAACGAACTATAAAAGATCAAAAAGAGAGAAGAGAACGAATGAGAAGGGAACATATCGAACTAGGTCCATGGTTGTTGTAGAGGTTGGACTAATATCTTTTGAAGACACACCTCCGGCTTCTCGATGCATATTGCAAGGGCTTCTGTGGTGCAGAGAAGTCGGAAACATACTGCTTTTGGTAGGTTTCTATTGACTTTGTAAATTAATTTGAAAGAATCAGTTGAGATGTTGTGGGAGGTGTTGATCAGATGTTCAATAATGGCACTTCTGATTGAATTGGTGACCTCTCTTTTTAGCCCCACTGGGTAATGTTCTCTAACACGTTTTGAAAGGACGCGCATACAACGACCTATGTACCTAGCTCCTCACGAGCAGGTGAACTGGTGTATGCATATTAACTTGGTCATATGCGAGAGTTTTTCCTTCGCATTGTTTCAAAGTATTGGATGGCTATAGAATGTCACTCTTAGTGTTGCTGCAGGGAAGGTCCTCTTTTAAGAGCTGGATATTCTCCTCTTAAGGGTATCAACTGCCAAATCTCCCTTGAAATTCAGATTTAGATACAGTGTTTTCTTTGGCGGGGAATTGCATTCTTCTCTTTTTGGTTTAGGTTTCATATTCTTTTCGACAAAACGTTTCGATCAATTTGCTAATGATGTACAAATAAAGACTTAAAGACTTAAAGGCATACCAAATTTATGCACCTACATTGTGTTCATCCTAATAAACACTGCCTTTGAGCATCATCGGCATTTTCTTATTTGCAGTCGCACTATATCACAAGTTGACGACGTTAGAAGTCAGGAGTTATTGAATCCTTACCTGAGTGGATGAGTGATTAACGACCTTGGTCTCGTAGTCTTTAAGTTTGAGTCTAAATTACCAGTGGGTGGGTGTTTGTGGATGCATACTACTGAGGAGTCCGACAATAAGAAGAAACAGTAGTTCACTGCTCCTTTGTTCTCTGTAACTGGGTGTTGATTTGTGACAAAGTGTAACAAGCGGATAAAAATAAATCTAAATCCCCACCTATCCCATAATCTATAAGTAAATATTGAATTAATTAATACTACAATGCCCAAGGTGTACACAAATATTAATTAGATCTACAATGATTGACCTAGTTTAGTAATCTAGAAAATATCCTGATCGTTCGTTGTACTTCATTCACTTACAACATATAATCACACATTTGGGTAGAGGGAGGGAGAGAAAGGGAAAGGTTAATCACTGAATTTTTGTACACTCTGTCAACACCAATTTACATGCAATCGAAATGACGCAATGCCTATAATTCATTCAAGCAGTATGTAGAAAGAAGTAAGGCTATATAAAGCAAAATTTAGTCGTGTTGTGTGTGTATATATATAAATTGTTGTAATTATGAACGACAAATGCCACTTGAAATATCAACCAGTAATTAACGCTATATCTCACCTTGTAATAATATAATATATGTATACTATAATATGTAATAATTAAAGAATAACATATTATTATTATTATTCTTTATAATAATCATAAAGGTGGAAATGATAGCCGAGTACCAGTTGGTCAAGAATGTGTTATCTCTGTGAATACAGCTCAAGCTGGTGTTGGCCAGTTGACTTGTCGTATTGTTACACCGTCTGGTGCGACAGCTGATGTTGAAATTCATGAAGCACCAAATGGTCGTGTTAACATTTATTATACACCACCGATCCGAGGAGATTATTTAGTTGAAATACGATTTGGTGGAGAGCTGATACCAAATGGAAGATTTAATCAAAAAGTAAGTCATATTGAAGTAATTTTTGTTTATGATCCTTGAATATTCGCCAGACACAATTATTATTATTATTATTATTCCCTTGGGTTCCGAGTGGAACATATCCACTTTGTTCTGTTTTCTGCCGTCCTCTTCATTTGGGTCCCCGACTGCCTGAACTCTTCCATCTATTCTTCACATGGTCTCATCCATGTCACCCTAGCATTGACAACCCACTCGTTGCTTATTATTAGGATTCCACTAGAGCAATGGCCTGAGTTGCGCGCTATGTCATTCAACGGCCTCCTCAACGTACGCTTGATCAATTCATCTCCATCTTCGCCTAAATGTTCGCTGAGTGATTCGCTCTTGGGTGGTTTGTTCCCACAGTTTCTTGATACTGATTTTTTCTGGTCGGCTGGCTATTTGACCTTCAGTAAACAACCAGCAAAGATGGCAGCTGTTTTAATGAAAGTCTGCCATGACCTGTTGGAAATCCTTTTAGTAACACACTGGCCAAGTTTCTGACTCGTATAGAAGCACAGACTTGACATTGGTGTTGAAAATGCGAATCTTGTTCTTTATGCTGGTTGGCTGAGTGTAGAAGATTTCCAAACTGGTTTCAGTTTGATGCTGGTGTTTCTTGCCTTTCCGATTTTGACTGGCTGGCTGGGTGTTATGTACTCGTCGCTGAATTATTGTTATGGACTGGTCGAGAAACTAATAGTCCTGACGCGAGAAGGCGGAAATCAGAAGACCACTAGGTTTGCGATGATACTTCTATTGTCCAAACACAAGGAGACGAAAATAAATGGTCTCACACCAAAGTGGTAAGTAAGTAAAGTAAAGTAGTTGTAAAGTAGTTACACAAATTGTGAATGCGAATATATATAAATAATTCAGACAAAGCGTGGGAATAAATCATTAGACAGTCTTAACATGGATGGCTAATTATAATGAAGTATCGATCCATATATACATAGCGAAATATAGCAGACATGTCAACAACCATATATGGATATATGTCACCAAGCAACGGACTGTCAACAAACACTCATATTATATATAATATAAGGAGAATATACATTCTCAAAAGGAGACAGGTTCACACAAGTGAAGTGGTCACAGACTAACCGAGCAAACAGAAAGAGAGACCAACATACACACACACACATAAATATATATATGTGGATACATATCACTGGCTGGCTGGCCGGCTTTGACATCTTCATCTGTTATGCGAGCCTGTGGTTGAAACGGTGCTTCCTGGCTGGATAAGTGAAGGAGATGACCTATGTTAAGTTGTTGTTGTTGTTGTTGTTGAGGGTTGTTGGTTATCTGAATCACCTCCGTCTTCTCTATGCTCACGTGGGGTCCTGACTTCGCTGCCTGCCTCTTCAGCCAGTTTGGGGGGGGGGTTTGTCTGTAAGTTGATGAGTTTGTAAAACCTTAGACATATATCATCCACGCGCAAAGCCCACACATCTGCTAGAGTCTTCTCATCAGTGGTCCTCACTCCCATGCACAGTCTGACGCATAATCCAGTCGACCACAATTAATAATATCATCGGTGATAGTAGTGAGCAGCCAGCTTGTCATACTCCTTCCTGTATGTACTCCGAACGTCTCACTGATTTGTCTGTTGTGGATCACTTGAAATGTGATACAATTAACAGATTATATAAGGATGGTTTAAAAACTATTCATATAATATCCGTCCTAAATACGGTATAGTTGAATTTTAAGTTTTGGTAGCTGTATAAGCTTAATTTCATGTGAAATTTCATCTGGTTTCACCCGAAATGATACATGGAGAAAGTTTATCATCTGGCAGTACTCCCAGTTGTTTTTCCAGTGATTCTCTAACTGATGCCAACTCATGATGAAATCCTCCAACTAATCAGACAAAAATCCCTACAGCAGGTTGAAGATGAAGACAAATACTCGCCGAAGATATTGCTAATTAGTCGCTCTATATCATGAATTGGCAGAAGGTAGAATTCATGGACTGGTTACTGGATAGGGTCCTAGTGGCTAAATGGTCTGCGAGCTAGCTCGCTGGGCTTGTAACCAGAAGGTCTTGGATTCTAACTCGTGGGGTGGGTGCGTACTGGTGACAAGTCTCAAACTAGGACGAAACAGCCTTCCAGTACTCCCATTTAGTTTTGGAATGGCTCTGTAACTGATGTCAGCTGATGGTGGAATCCTCCAACCATGGAAAATTGACGTCTTTAGATTGTCTAAATCCCTTTGACCACTATGATACCTTTGTACTAAGCAGTTAAGTCTCTAGCAGTAAGCAGTTGAAAGTTAGTATAACTCCACTAAAAATAATAATAATAATAAATGGAGTTTCACATTCAGTGTAATTGCATTATTCCTGGAGTTGAATGTGTAGGTAGATCATGTATGAATGGATAGCTAACAGGATAACAACAGTGAAACACGTATTTACACGACTGATGTGAGTTTTCAACACAGATTGACTTCAACTAGATGATTTATTCACTCTTACTTCTATAGTGCCTATTCCGTACGCCATTCATCATAGTCGGGCGTAAGACTATCAGCAAAAACATCAGTGAATATGATTAGTAATCACCAGTCCACACAACAGATCATGCATGATGTAATATCGAAAATTCAAGTGTGTGTATGTGTATATGAGTGAGGTCTTTCATATTAAGCAACTGATTAGGCTACAAATCATATATGTGGCTTGTGAATACTTATGGTATGAATACCTATGATGTCGCTACAGCTTCATCTTAGAACATCTGATAGAATCCGGACACCAAGCTACACCCCAAACAAACTTCAAAGTCGTCTACAGAGTAAGAAGTAATCTTCCTATAGGTGCACGAATCAGACTTCTTCAAACTGCAGAAGCAATGGTGATTCAGTTGCTAAGCCCTGAACCCTGCATACAGAAGAAGTCCATTCAATCACTACACTTGCGATGGACGTAACTTATCTTATTACCCGACAGGAAAACTCTATTTCTTTCTATCTCTTCATTAGTATTATTTTGTCTTCTCAATTGTAATATTTTACATTTTCAACTTTCTTGTTCCCTACCCGCACCCGATTAAATTTCTTCACCTCACTACCACTGTTACTGACTTGACCAACGCTCAATTTCTAATCGTTTATGTTAGTAACGTCATCCAACTGATTTGCTCAATTTCAGTTCTAATTTAAATGGCATTATTCTCTACCCCACTTCTACTTAGTCTCTATCTTTAATTACCTCTGTTGCTACCCTGACCTAAGTTGAAACATTTTAGTCAATTATATTACGTCATATAACTTACTAACTAACTCAATCTTACTTTAGGTGATGTCTCATTAACCTTGTTTCTATATTAGATCATTTTTGTATTACTTTATCAATTATCTAAACCTGACAAACCTCATGAACACACACACATACAAGTAATTATTTATAAATGTGATTGTACAGTTGCTATGTGAATGAATTCGCCGTTGAAAAGAATCTCTTCGCTGAACGTCTTCTCGTTCTCTTATGGTAATAAGCAGATACTCAGACAAGTAGTAAAAACAGTGAGGCTCGAACCTGAAAATCAAGTAGACAGAAGGTTGACTGGACTGTGTTGCAATATTTTTGGAAAGATGTTATATAAACATTTGTCTGTTTTTGAAATAACTGTAAACCATTTACAAATAACACTGACTTATTTTGTGTTTGTTATTTCTTTTTTAATTATTAATTTTTTTAGGCTGTTAGTCCAGAAGAGTTAGTCAATGATATAAGCGTAAGTTTAAAGTGTATCTTACAGATTATATTGATTTTTCATGGTTAATCACTCACTGTGTTCATTTCAATGTTAGTGTTTTGTTTTTTTTGGGTAGGTAGATCTCTCACTAATGCATACATGCTATGATAACTGATAGGTAGTTCTTCTGGCTCAAGTTCAACAGTTCAACTGAATGACGAATGAGAATAAAAAGTTAATTATGATTATTCGTTGTTTGGGTTCCATCTGAAAAGCTGGGGGCTTCATAAGACCGTCTCCCCCCCCACACACACACGCAAACTATCTCCTCCAAGTCACCCTTAGACCAATGCTCAACTCGTCCTTTACTATTTGGATTTCACTCCACAAAGGATCTGATGTGTGTGTGTGTGTGTGATTTCATTCAACTTATGTCGAGTGAACATGAAAAATAAGATCCGGATTTTCAAATCAAACGGGAAGTCAGTGCTACTTACTATACGGATCAGAGACTTGCACTGCACGTCATAAAGAGCACCTCAAACAAACTACACATCTTCATCAACAGCTGTCTTTGCTCACTACTACTCAAGAATAGATGGCCGGCCAGAAAAGATCAGAAACAGGGATTTCTGGAAATGAGCGAACCAACCCCGCAGGAACAGATTGCGCAACAAATCTGCACGAATAAGTGGAGGTGGATTGGCCATACTCTGAGAAAACAGACCATCAGGTGACATCGCTAGACAGGCCATCTCTCGAGTGGAACCCGAAAGGGGGTCAGCGATTTCGTCGTCAGTTGGGGGGGTTGACTTGGGAGAGGTCATGTGAAGAGGAGATGAAAGTATGTGGGGAGACTTGGAGCCAGGTGAAAACTCTAGCAGAGAACCGAACGCACTGGAGACGTTTGACTGAATCCCTATGTTCCTCTAGGAATTAAATGAAATAATAATAATAATAATAATAATAACTGATTAAGGATCAACTTTGATGTCAAAATGTAGTCAATTCAAAGAGACAATAAGAATCCATTTTCATGAATTGATCAAGTTGTTGATCTAGTTATGTTGGGCGTACTACTAGGCAGTGTAGCCAACGTGTTAGTGAACCTCTCCCATCGTAGTTTGGCAAAGGGCAGACAAAAACAATCCATAGCTCAAGTTTGTCACATTTCATTGATAGTGGTCATGTAGTGGAAAAAACGAGAGCTTTCAAAGTAATTCATCGTATCCCACCGAATCTTTCTTGCAATAGACTTCGTATTCGTCTACTGCTCGCACACAGCTGAGGCAGGAGATAGGCATTTGGACTATTAAACCTAAACTATGCATTCAAAAGGAGTTCGTACAGCCATTATCCCTCACTTGTTGGCCTGTTAAGACATAACCAACTAAAGACCTCTACACCACCTTTTGTTTATATTTTCAACCCCTTTCTTATAATCCCTTAATCTTATCACATCTTCATTAAAAACCTGTCTCATTTATTTCCCTTACAATCAGTCTAGCATTACTTAATCGGTTCATTTGTTTTCACTAGCCTTTATCGACTACTTCCACCTGAACATTTGCGTTGTTTATGTTATGTACTGGTTGAGAATTTATTAGTCCTGACGCAAGAAAGACGGAAATCAGAAGACCACTAGGTTTGCGATGATACTTCTATTTTCCAAACACAAGGAGAATGTCACATGTCAAAATGTCACACAAGAGTGTGAGAGCAAAACTATGAATGTCCGAACAAGTGTGTGAACACAAGTGTGTGAGCGAATATTCAAAATGAACAAATCAATAGACAGTCTTAACATGATTGGCTAATTATAATGGAATATCGATCCATGTATACATAGTAAAATATAACCGACTGTCGAACAAACACACATATTATGTGGATATATATCACCAAGAGCAGGCTGTCAAACAAAACACACATATTATATGGATACATATCAGTTTGATCATGCTGGTTTCTCATTATAGTGTTATCACAGATTGCCTCTTTTTCATCCTTATTATCGATAAAAACCATTATTATTATTATTATTATTATTATTATTATTATTATTATTATTATTATTATTATTATTATCATTACTACTATTATGACTAATTGCACAATTTATATTCGCCATCGTATTATCCTATAGACAAAACACCATGATTGGTTTATATTTGAATATTTGTCTGTAAACTCTTATGTATATTAGAGTTAAGCCTGATGCGATCTAATTGAAACCACAATATTGTTCGCTTAAATGTGCTGTTCTAAATTTTACTTTGAGAATATTTAATATATTTAAATATCTTACTTACAAACGTATTACTTTATTTCTCCAACAGACTATACAAGAACACAGAGTTCAACATGTTAATGTACAATCTGTACAGTCGATACATTCATCAACAATTACAACAGGCTATCATCCAGTTGACTTTAAACTACCTGTTGGTCCAACATTTAGTCATGTCGAAGGTAAGTAACAATGGTATTTGTTGTTTCGTCCTTGTTTGCTACTCTTCATCAGTATGCACCCACTTCACTGAATTTCATCCCAGTGCTTGAATAGTCTACAAGCTCGTCTTGTGCCTGGTAATTCGTGAGTTTTTATGCCTAGTTGGGTCATCACTGTCTACTTCTAAAAAGTCGTAAAGTACAACTAAACAGCTGTCAAGTACTCCTTGCTGGCTTTCAGTGTTGCTCAAACTGACGTCAGTTCCTGATTAGTCTTGGAATGTAATTTTTTTTTTCCTAAATAATCTTTCATTTTAATATTAATAATCCAAAAAAAGCATTTAAGAAATCACAAAGAACACTGTCTCATATCAGAAGCCAAAACTTCATATCATATGGAATCCAAATTGTCTGAACTGAATAGGAATGATGAACTGAAACAGAATTTGACCTGGTTACAACACGCCTTCCTCTCTCCCCCCCACCCCACCCCCGTGGAATGACAAAATCAACACGAATGTGATAAGCAATTTCATTATGTATCACAGAGGAGATTTGTAGCTCAGGTGGATGATTTTCATGTGGTTATGTTCTCTGAACTGGATAGTTGGATTTGCGAAGCTTTCATTACCCGCCCTACTAGTCAACATCTTCAGCCAATACTTTAATTCGAGGAAATGAGCCTTTAAATTTAAAGCGTCAAAGTTCAAGTCAAAAAAACAATCAGTTCCAATACAAGTAGCCTAGATGATGTGAAAACACACGAAAACAACCAGTCACGTCCAAGGTCACCACAGTAGAGATGATTAATAAACGCGTGGAGAAATGTAAAAGCTCACTTCAAACTGAAGTATTCGCTGAAGATATTGACTAGTAGGGCGGGTAATGAAAGCTTAGCGAATCAACTATCCAGCTCAGAGAACACAACCACATCAAAATTTCATTATGTAAACACATGCTGCTTTTATTATTCTACACACTTATCAACTCCAACAATCTACACCTGGTTTTGTTATCCTTATCAATTGGCCAATTCGACAACGCCAGAATGACCTCATGCTGAGGAACGATGATTAAGTTGTCTTATATAAGCTGAGTGGATTTTGTAAATTCTGGTTTAATATCACTACTTCGATAAAGCTGTTAGCAGCAGCATTAAATAGCGAAACGTCAGTGATTTTCATTCATTGGGAAATACAAAAACACCCAATGCCAGAATTTTTTCCAAATGTTAAAAGTGAACTTGGTTTGGACATATATATATATATATATATATATATATATAGGGTCTTGTAGGGATTTTTGTTTAATTGCATGGAAGATTTCACCATGAGCTGACACTGGTTAGAGAACCACTGGAAAATTAACCGGGAGTACTGGACATCTGTTTCGTCCTAGTCTGAGACTCTTCACCAGTACGCACCCACCACACGAGTTCGAATCCAGTACCTTCTAGTTACAAGGCGAGCTACCTCATAGACCATTAAGCCACTGGCACCCACCAATCAAATGGCCCATGAATTCTAACTTTTGCTAATTCTGAGAAGTCGTGACCACTAAGATGCAAAGGTCGGGTGTGAGGATAAATAATTCCCGAAGACATTGGCTAGGGGTCGCTTTATATCATGAATTGGCAGAAGTTAGAATTCATGGGCCACTGGATTGGGTCCCAGTGGCTTAATGGTCTACAAGCTCCATGGGCTTGTAACTAGAAGGTCCTGAGTTAGAACCACGGTGGGTTCGTACTACTGAAGAGCCCCAAACTAGGAAGAAACAGTCGCCCAGTACTCCCAAGTTTTTCAGTGATTCTCTAACCAAATAAGTGCTGTTTAGTTGAACAAGTATGACGCCAGAAGCGATTTTCATCATGGGATTTCTATCACAATTAGTCTGAACTTCATGTATTTAAATGGTTGTCAGATTGTAATCAATATATGTGTATGTTACTGCTTCCCAATCACTGATTGAAAGTGTGTTCATCATTGTGTTTCCCTGTGGCTTGCTTAAGCTTTATGCCAGCATTACACTTATCCCATAGTGTTTTAATCAATCCGAATTGATCTTCATATTTTAGCCCTTTACTTTCCCAGCGGAACATAGAGCTTCGAAGTTTCGGTAACAGTGGTATCTATTTTTTAGCCTCATGACCAAACTTCCCTCTTTAACAGTCTTATTATCACTGGCTTAGCGAGGTAAAGGAGTGCGTCTATGGAGGAGGTTTGAACCCCAAAATACATCAGGGGTGGTTGGCGAGCATTCTGTCTCTGCGCCACCGGCACACACAAAGCCTTGAGCCCGACGTGACCTAAACTAGCATTGTTTTACTTCGTGCCTTTTTGTAAAATACAAGCGAGTTAAGCAATAGACATACAGAGGAATTTGCTATGGTTTGGTTTGCTACAGGATGCAGTTTCCTGGAGTCAGTTCTAGTGAGAAGTCGTGACCAATGAGATCCATCCGGATGTTATGTGTGCGGATGGATGTCCCACCGACGACAACGGTTGATAGTCGCGCTAAACTCATCACGAATTGGTAGAAGTTAGAATTCATGGACTGACTAGCCATTGAGGAATCGGGTCCCAGTGGCTGAATGCTATACGAGCCAGCTTTCGTTGTAACCGGAAGGTTGTGGGTTCTGACCCTAGTAGTGGGTGCGTACTGTAGATGATTCCCAAACTAGGATGAAACAGCTGTCTGGCAGTACTCCAATACTGGTTTTCATGGTTCTCTTGCTGATATGAATCCGTGATCAACTCGTATATACAGAGGAATGAATTCACTTATATCCTTGGAAGGAGTAGCTGTGCTGTGTAAAACAAATATGAGTCCCTATCTCAACGTAACCTTATACTAACCAGATTTCTTATGGAATACTCTTAAATTTGATAGTGTGAAATATTCCCATATTATGAATTAAAAGTCAATCTCAAGGAAGAATATTATTTTCAATAATTTCTCCTCTTCAGGTTCTTACAATTATAAAATATAATATTTGTTATCGTTACAGTAAAGGCCAGTTATGCGGCGGATACATTTTTAACGTAGAATAACAGATTAGTTATGGGTGCCAGCAGAGGGAAATTAAGTGCATAAAAAGCTCGATCCTGTCACACTTGGTCGATACTGGACATAGCATCGATGTCAACACAGCTTTCAGGGTTATATGCCGAATTCCGAAGTCGTTATCACGTTCAGTTCGCTTACGTCTCCTACACATAGTTGAAGCTGTTGCAATAAGATCGACTAAACTGGAACTGTGTATCCACAAATAACACGTTCAGACGCTGTTCTCGCCGTGGTCAAACTTGGATTGATGATTCTTCTTCTCACCAAGAGTACTCCTTCCCCTTAACCCTCTTGGTTTTTTTACTTTGCTTATTATTACAAATATTATTATTACAATTATTATTATTATTGGTCATAGTTTATGCCCTTCATGCAAAGATTCAGTACTATCGAATTTTCCATTTATACTGTCGGACTTATTATTAGTGATATAATCTGTTTTCTCAATATATGCCTCCACCTGTTTCATTTCACACATTCGTTATTTCATTATGAATTTCTTATTGCAGTCCCACTATCACCTCTTTAATGCACACTGTTATGTACTAGCCACTCACCCAGCTGACGCCTTTCATAACCTTGACCTGACTGACTTGTCGCTTTTCCTATCCCAGAGTCAGCGAATCTATTATGACTAATCACCGCCATTGTCTTCCATTTTACAATATGTTGTAATCGATCTCAGCCTAACACGTTTGTACATTGCACTAATCAAGGCACTCTATTCAAACTCACGTAGTCGTGTAAGGGCTTATGGGGAATTGTCATCTGAATTGGTAACAACCAGTGGTGTCCGACAGGGAGGTCCACTTTCCCCATTTCTGTTTAACTTCGTCATAGATATGCTAACGGAAGTATCCTTAACTGAACGTAGTGACTTAGGAATCGACTTATTACCAGGGAATAATCTAATGGACTTAGAATATGCAGATGACATAGTCCTGTTAGGGGAGGATGCTGAAAAAATGCAGAGTCTTCTGAACACCTTGAGCAGCAATCTTCGTATGTTTGGCATGCGATTCGCCCCTGCAAAATGTAAGATGCTGCTACAGGACTGGACCACGTCAACCCCTAACTTAGTGATAGGGAGTGAAGTGATAGAACATGTTGACCACTTCACCTACTTGGGAAGTTGTATTAGCACCAACGGACTGATTGGCGATGAAATCTCAGCACGGATCCGAAAAGCTCGAGCTGCTTTCGCTGACTTACACCATCTCTGGCGTAGGCGTGACATCCGGTTATCAACCAAGGGACGTGTGTACTGCTCATCAGTTCGCTCCGTCCTTCTCTATGGCTCTGAAACATGGCCAATACGCGTTGAAGACATGAAAAGGTTGACTGCTTTCGATCATAGATGTCTGCGATCCCTGTCTCACGTTAGGTGGTTTCACAAGATAAGTAATGTTGACGTTAGGCGTAGAGTGTTGGGCAAAGAGGGAAAATCAATCGACGAGGCTATAAAGTTACATAGACTAAGATGGCTAGGTCACGTGCTGCGCATGCCTAACCACCGCCTCCCCCGACGGGCATTACTAGCTGACATAGGTTCAGGTTGGAAAAGAGCCAGTGGTGGCCAAACAAAAACATGGCATCAATCCATGAAATCCTTGACAGTTAAACTGAGTCAGGTAGGGAGATGCAGACTTCCGGGTTGGGGCCCTCGGGACTCTAGGAATCAATGGCTGGAGACAATAGGTGACATGGCTCAAAATCGTTGTCAATGGCGCAGATGTATTCAGTCTCTGTAATCTTTCATATTCCTTCCTACCATTACCCATTCTGTTTCACTCTCATACTTGTCAAACTCTATTGATTCTCTCCACTCATCTTCTTGTCTACCTCTGTGTGCTATTTGGAACGTGGCAACTCGAACTGCTGCACTTCGGTGCCAAGTTCTATGTTGAATCCAGACAGACAGAACAATGAAAAAGTACTACTAATTTTGGCACCCATAAGTAATCTGTTATTCTGTGTAAAAATAAATATATCCGCTGCATAACTGGCTATCATTATTGTAACGACAACAAATGCATTATATTTTATAATTGTAGGAACCCGAAGAGGGGAAATTATTGTAAAGAATATTCTTGCATTTCTTTCAAAACGTTTTTTTTTATAAAAAGAATATAGTGTTATTTACCTATCTTGCTGTGCTTGAGTCTTTCAAGATTACTGGTGGTGCTTTTTACTCCCTTTGGATTACTCACTATTCATGTTCTTCTAGGTGTACCTGTTCTTTAACTTTAGCAAAAACGTTTCCCCTCTTCATTTCTCACAGCCATTATAAATGCAAGAGAAAATATCACATAGTGAATGGCAGAAAACAGTAAGGCATACAAATATGTATATAAATCACAAATGGAATTTCCAAAAAAAAATAGCCAGCACAAACTTTCATTTTTAATTTTTCTCCGGGCAAGGGGAGAAGGGGTTATTTCTTCTGCCTTTATTTGTAAACAGGGGTGAAATTTATGTGTTGATATGGAAATGCTAGAAATTCCATTGCTTGGAATCAACTGATTATTATCATTGTTATTATTAGTAGTAGTAAAAATAATATATATATGATTAGTCCACTGGCATTTACTTCCGCCGGTGTGTTTTGTGCCAAGTAAAAAGGTCATTTGACAGAAATAACGTGTTGCTTCATATCTAATCTTGATAAAATTCAATCTTTTTTTACTACTACTTAAGTAATGAATTAAAGCAATGAGAAAAGAACAAAAATGTGGTTACCTAGATTTGTGCAGTGACAGTTAACAGTTACACTGGTTCAAGAGTAGAGAGCTCACCGACTACACCCCCGTCCCCTCCACCCCCTTCCTTCACACATGGTCCGAGTTCGGCTCCTGGACATCGATGTATTCCTAAAGCTTGCTTAATCGATATTGAGCCTGGAATGGAGGAAGAGTTAGACGTGAGGCGTGGCAATGCCATCCAATAAAAAAAAAACATTATAAGAGCTACTGAAACTTCAAAGCTGAGAGTCTTAAGTTCCACTTGGAATGCAAAGGAATGGAAGAAAGGCCAATTTTTGAAGTCTCTGAATATCAGTAGTTCATAATTTAGCTCCAGACAACAATCAGCATAAATAGGAGGAATCTGAAAGAAACAGCTTCCTTTAGCTACCTGGGAAGCAAAGTTTCAACTACAGGCGGAACTGACAAGGATATTAAAGCAAAGATCGGGAAAGCAAGACAAGCTTTCGTTTCTCTCAAGTCTGTGTGGAGGTCAACAGCAATCAGCATCAAAAATAAGACCCAGATTCTCAATTTCAATGGAAAGTTAGTGCTACTATACGGATCACAGACATGCACTGAGCGTCAGGAAAGGGGCTTCGAACAAACTACAGACCTTCATCAACAGCTGTCTTCGCTCAATACTACTCAAAATCAGATGGCCGGTCAGAAAAGAACAGCAACAGGGATCTCTGGCAATGAGCGAACCAACCCAGCAGGAACCAATTGTGCAACAAATAAGCAGGAAGAAATGGAGGTGGATTGGCTGACCATACTCTGAGGAAACTATCAAGTGACATCACTAGACAAGCCATCGCTCGAGTGGAACCCGAATGGGAAGCGGCGAGTTGGTCGTCAGTGCGAGGGTGACTTGAAGGAGGTCATGTGAAGAGGAGATGAAAGCATGTGGACAGACTTGGAGCGGAGTGAAAAAGTTGGCAGAAAACACAAGGCAGTGGAGATGCGCAGCTGAATCCCTATATTCCTCTAGAAATTAAAGGATATAATAATAATAATGTGTTTGAACCGAGGACCTTCTGGTAACAAGGCCCAGAATCGGGTCTCACTGGCTCAATGGTCCTCGAGTTCGCCTTGTAACCAGAAGGTACTGGGTTCGAACCCTTGTGGGTGTATGCTAATGAAGAGTCCCAAACTAGGACGAAACAGCTGCCCAGCACTCCTAGTTGGTTTCTCAGTGGTTCTCTAACTGATGTCAGCTCATGATGAAATCCTCCATGCGATCCTCCATACCTTGAATTTTAGGTTTTTATTCGATTAATACGCACTAACAGATATTAGCCAACTTTCATAGAAAAGAACTCACTCGATATTAGTCAGTTTACAGCGGTAGCTGGTTTACACTGAATAGTTAAGTGTGAGTACTGATGACGACCATCTTAAAACCGACGTTATCTCCGCATCTGAAATAAATAATGGAAAATAGCAACTAAGTACCTTGAATCACTTCTTATTTCCCGTCTTATATATCATCAGAAATGTCTAATGATGTTAGTGTGTGTGGGTGTTCTTAGTAAGAACCATTTTTGATGAGTTGATCACGGATTGATATCAGTTAGAGAACCATTGTAAGGCACCAGGGAGTACTGCCAGACAGCTGTTTGATCCTACTGTTGGAAAAATCATCGGCAGTACGCACTCACCGCCAGGATTTGAAACCAGGATCTCGTACACTATTCAGCCACTGGGACCCAATTCCTCAACGGCCAGTCAGTCCATGAATTCTAACTTTGTGACTTTGGCGCGACCACTAACCAATGTCACCGGTGGGACATCCATCCTCACACTTGACTGGATGGACCTCACTGGTCACGACTTCTCACTAGAACTCCAGGAAACTTAGTCTTGTAGCAAGTCACTGGAGAGCATCCGATTAATTTTCTATAGTTGGCTTGTAAGGATTAGATTTGTTTTCACGAGTTTTTATCTATCTTCTTTTCTAAAAGGTTTGGTTCGTACACCAAGTGGTCGAATTCTCCATCCAAATTTAATTGACAATGGTGATGGCACAGTGACAGCACAATTCCAACCGAATGAACCTGGATTGCATGAATTAGAAATCACCTACAATGGTCAACCGATACCAGGTAGTCCATTTAGATTTTACGTCGAAGCTGTTGGCTCTGGTGTTGTAACAGCCTATGGACCTGGATTGTCATATGGACGAGCTGGTGAACCAGCTAACTTCACCTTGATAACACGAGATGCTGGTGCAGGTAAGCATACAAATGAGATTTATAATTTTTACATCTCAAAATATACATGCTTAAGATTTGCTCCTTTACAAGGGAAGTTTCTTGCATTTCATGTAGATGATTTTTATGCGGTTGTGTTCTCTGATCTGAATGGTTTAATTGTCAAGTCTTCATTATCCTTTTCGACAAGATCTTCAGCGCAAACTTTTTAATATGAAGTGAACTTATTTCCAGTTCTCCATGGATAATATAATTATATCTTCTGATAAAACTGTCCTCTGATTGGTTGTTAATTTGCATCAGTATTGATCGTTTTTATTGACTTGAAATTCAACTCCTGTTTTGTCATGAAACTTATTTTTCATACATTTGGTTCCCTTGATAAATTTCGATAAAGAAAGAGAGGAAGATGAAAATGATATCATCATTTTATTTCACAGGTTCTCATCATCTACAGACTAGCTGAAATTGCAATGGTTATGTAGATGGCAATAACATACTCTAATGTTTAAGTGGTAGTAGAGAAGAAATACTATAAAACTGACGCATCGAAAATATAAGCAAAATACCCTGCTGATGTCACATCCATCTGCGTTTATGAATTTACGTGCACTTGCGGGAGCAAGTATGTTCGAATGACAGAATGAAGGGTTTCTATCCGGCTTTCTCAACCTATTCCAAGAAACCTGTGTCTGAAAGGAAGCAAATATTCCCAGAGTGCAATTACCAGACATACACTGTTGATACCAGACATCTTGTAGAGATTTCTAAGTTCTTCGAAATATTAAATAGAAAAAGGGGAGCAAATTTATTACGATTTGCTGAAGCGATCTCAGTCAAACGATTTTAAGCCAGACTTATGAATACAGAAAGAGGGTGTGATTAACCTCTCACTCCCTTGGTAACTGAATTGTGATTTTGACTACATTAATTAGTCATCTAATTCAGTGATCTCATCTCACTGAACAAATCTTAATCTTATAAACTGTAACCGCTTTTGTTTTTCATAGAGTTGCTATGTGAACCTATAAGACAACGTTGTTTTTTTAATTTTTCCTGTTTTCTGTCTTATCCCTCCCCCCCCCGCCTTTTTACTTTGAAAGCGTATAAATTGCCGACCATACGTATGGTCCGGGGTTCGATCCCCGGCCACAGATTCACTCCTTTACCTCGCTAAGCCTAGAAACAATGCTGGTAAAGAGGAAAGCTTGGGCATGAGGCTAGCTACTCCATCTTATAAAAATAAAACCACTGCTACAGAAACTTCAAGCCACTAGCTTGAAGCTCTATGTTCCACCGGGAAACGTGAAGGAAAAAAAACTGATGATGAAAACTTAAACTAAAAATTGTAATGTTTGCATTTTAGAAGCATCAATTTTATAGTATTTCTTCTCTACTACTACTCAAATAATAAAGTACGTTATTGTCATCTATATAACCCTTGTAATTTCAGGTAGTCTGCAGTTAGCTGATGAGAATCTGTGAAGCAGAATGATGATATCATTTTATACTGCAAATTTCATCTTTCTTTCTTTATCGAAACTTATTCTTCATTAATTCGGGGATGGTGGCTAGCACTTGTTTGATCTAGTAATAATGCGTCGTCTGTTGATCACCAATTAGTCTGAATACCAAGCTTCTAGGAGTTTTGAGGATTTCATCATGAGCTGACATTGGTTAGAGAAACATTCGAAAGCCTGGAGTACTACGGGGCAGCTGTTTCCTCCGTCCTAGTTTGGGACTCTTCAATGATATGCACCCACCCAGAACCTAATAGTTACAAGACGAGTTCGTAGTCCATTAAGTCATTAGAGTTCGATCCAGTGGGCAGTCCATCAATTTCAGTTTCTGTCATTCCTAGTCAAATTGATGTCTGTCATTGTCTACATGCATATACTGGTTTGAAAGAATACCTGTCGTATTTTTTGAATGAAAATACTATGTATAAAGAATGTTTCTGAAATAACAGCTGGAATACTAAAACCATTCAGAATAGATATCTCATACACAAACCAAAACAGAGCCAAAGACCTAACACCTATTATTATTATTGTTCCCTTGGGTTCCTAGTGGAACATAGGGCTTCAACTGCACGTCTCCACTTACTTCTGTCCTCTGCTGTACTTTTCACCTGCATCCATGTTAGTCCATGTTAGTCTGTTTCAACTCCTCTTCACAAGATCTCCTCCATGTCACCCTTGCACTGACGTCCCACTAGCCGTGTGCTTCCCTTTCGGGTTCCAATCGAGCAATGGCCTGACCCGCACTCGATGCCACCCAGCGGCGGCCTCCTCAGCGCGTGTCTAATCCGTCTCCACTTTCTCCTGCATATTTGTTGGTTGGCAATTGGTTCTTGTTCTGTTTGTTTGTTCCCATAGTTTCTTGTTGGTGATTCTTTCCGGCCCGGCCATCTGATCTTCAGTATAGAGCCAGCGAAGACAGTTGTTGTTGATAAAGGTCTGAAACAGGCTGTTGGAAATATTCTTTGTGACCTGCCCGCCAAGTTTCTGATCTGATCCGTATAGAAGAACTGACTGACTTGACGTTTGTATTGAAAATCCGACCGAATTTTGTTGTTGATGCTGGCTGAGTGACGAAGATTTTCAGATTGGTTGTTTCAAGTTGATGAATGTGTTTCTCGCCTTCCCGATTCTCTCTCGATTTGACATCCTCGTCCGTTCCGACTGTCTGTAGTTGAGACAATGTTCCCTAGATCAGTGAGTGAATGAAGTAATCTCTTTCACATTCCTCCTATTTATAGTGATTGGCGCTGGATGTTTCTGTTGTTGTTGGTTGATTATTTTCATAACCTCCGTCTTGTCTATGTTCACCTGGAGTCCTGTCTCTGCTATTTCTTCGATCAGTTTTTCAGTTTTCCCTTGTAATTCTTTGATTTTGTGTGACATCAAACATAAATCATAAAACACCTAATAAAACCAAATCAACCCTTTCCACAATATAATTCGCATGAACTGTGATAAGCACTATATTCATCAAAAGTGGACATCCTCTTCGACTCTAAGTTGAAGAAGATAAACTCGCTATGAAAAGACACAGCCTACATGCCTTCATATCAATACATGTATGTAGACAGCTATAGACGTCAGTGTTGAAATTTCCAGGAAGGTCCTAGATATCTGGCGTTTAAACAAATCAAAGACTAACAAACACATTATTGTAGAATAAAATTTATCAACTGATATGGAACACGTTGTTTGACAAGAAAAGAGTAGAATTCCATGTCGATGGAAACTATCAGCAGTGACGCAAATCAGCAACCAGTTACAACAAAGACTGTCAAGAGATACAATTACGTCGTGTCAGTAACACAGCAGTTAGGACGCTCGACGAACATGCACATTGTCCGGGGCTCGATCCCCGGCCACAAACGCACTCTTTTACCTCACCAGATCAGTAATAAAAATTGGTAAAGAGAAAAGGCTGGGTATGAGGCTCGCAATTCCATAATGTAAAAGGAAACACTGCTACAGAAACTTCAAGCCTCTAGTTTGAAGTGGCCCTATGTTCCGCTAGGAACGTGAAGGAATAAAACAAAAACAATTACGTCAATCACGGGGAAATCAAATACGTCCACTTCATACGGAAGATATTCGTCTATGAAGACATTGAAAGCTTCTCAGTTGGGAGAATACAAGCACACAGAAAACTACTTGCACATGGAGATTTACTGATAAGTGTCTCCGGTATGACATTGAAAGGTCAACAAAATTCAACAATACTATCCCAAGGGATACAAAAGCATGAGTGACCTTGAGCCGAGCAATCATAAAAATGAGGGATTTTTGCATTAAAAAAATGATGCATATTTACAAGGAACTGCGCGAAAACACATTAAACAGGGTATTTTTCTCTGAGATGATTTAAAAATGCATCCCTACTGTAACCAAGAGTGTCAGTTTTTAAATCAACCCAATTTCTATACATGTATTCATCCAGATGACTAAAAATAACTTGGTTTCGAGGGCCTTTTTATTGCTCTTATCTTGTTTTGCAGTCTTCCTCAAAAAGCCGTCGGGTGAATTATTATGGTTTCAATTAAGAGAATCGACGACTACTTCCTGGTAAAATGCGAATGATAAAACAAATTTTGAATAAATAATACCAAACTTAAATCTATCCCAAATCGTAACTCTTACCTTAATCGTGAACCTAACCCTAAATTTAACACTAACCCTACCTATAACCCTTATCTTAACCATAATCTTAACCCTAGAGAGCTATTAACCCATTATCCAAACAGTACTTAAAAACGTGTTCAGGGTGAAATTTACACCTGAGTTCATGAATAGCGTTCATTTTTTTTTGATGCTAGAATAATGGTAGGCGTCTTTAGCCGACGGCTAGAATGCGTTCAAGATCATTGGAGCGTTTGTACTCCTGGCACGCTATTGTTGAACTTCACCAAAAGGTCTACCAACTTAATGATGTGTATCCACATATATATATTTATGTGTGTGTGTGTATGTTGGTCTCTCTTTCTGTTTGCTCGCTTAGTCTGTGACCATTTCACTTGTATGAACCTGTCTCCTTTAACAATGTATATTCCATTTATATTATATATAATATGAGTGTTTGTTGACAGTCCGTTGCTTAGTGACATATATCCATATATGGTTGTTGTTGTCATGTCTGCTATATATTTTGCTATATATATATTTCGTTCGCACAATTTGTGTGAACTACTTTACTTACTTATCATTTTGGTGTGAGACCATTTATTTTCGTCTCCTTGTGTTCGGACAATAGAAGTATCATCGCAAACCTAGTGGTCTTCTGATTTCCGCCTTCTTGCGTCAGGACTATTAGTTTCTCGACCAGTCCATAACAATAATTTAGCGATGAGTACATGGCACTTAAACACACAATATATTTTCTATAGTTTGGTTTGTAAAGGTTAGTTTTGTTTTTACAATTTGATCACGGATTGATATCAATGGTTCTTTAGCTGATATCATTCCTTGATGAAGTTGTAAAAACAAAACTAACCCTTACAAACCAAA